CGGACATGTGGACGCCCATGACCACGACCTGGTAGTCCATGAGCGGCGGACCCGGTCGGATGAAGGGCACGTAGATGGGCAGCGTGGCGGCGACGTTGTCCCACGACCCCTGGGAGCGGTACCACAGGTCCGCCTGGATGAAGTACTCGACGTAGCTCTCCTTGAGCGCCGACCGCACCCACAGGCTCGGCGGCAGCCTCTGCGTCTTGACCGGCTGTTCTGAGGATGACATACCACCGCCCAGCCAGCCGTTCGGACTGGGGTCGGCGTACGTCGGCATCCTGATGGCGAACGGCCACTCCCGCCTCGCGCCGGGATCGGGGGGGATGTGGAGGGTGCCGCTGAAGAGCGTCTGCGCCCGCCTCTTGCCGTCGACGAGGTCGAAGCGGCCGTGGCACGCGCCCGAGTCGTCGCGCACTGAGCGGTCGACGTAGCGGCCCAGGACGGCTACTTTCACGACCGCGTCGGGCAGCGCCGTGGGCGTCTCGCGCGACACGCACCCGCGGATCGTCTCGCCGAGGCGGAAGGCCGTCCGGCCGCCCTCGAGCGCGATGCCCAGGTCCGGCCCGCACTGCTGCTTCGTCATGACCATCTTTGTCGCGTTAGGCCCTTGATGGGCTTATGTTTGACCGTGGGGGATTGATTGGGCGTCGCTTCGCCTCAAGGAAGCGTGGTGGTTTGATGAGAAAGGGCTTCGATTTTTCTCATATGAGGTGATGATCCGTGTTTAAATTAAAACAGCCTCCTCCCCTCCCTCTCGCATGGTGGCCGCCACAGGCCCCTTGCAATGATCAGATGATAAGCACTACGCCGTGAGACTCGAGCTGTGCATGCCGGCGATGCAGTGGAATCCGCTGTCAGGACTTTGGACGGGCTCGTGTGGCCTTGGGTTGATGTCATTAGGGGGGAGAGTCATCTTGGCTTTTTCTCCTGAGCCACGAAGCACACAGAAAATCAATCACTAGCACATTCTATCTAATGCTGGTCTATTACAGCTGACAAGCCACTAAAGTACCTCCTGCTTCACTAAAATAAATCACTCTCCAAGTCGATTTGTCTACGCTTGAGTCTTAATACTTGGACCGGTATGAACCCGTTCGGCATTAATACGTGCTGTGAAGGTATATTACGAGGCTATCCAAGTGCCTTTGTCAAATAATACAATGTATAAATGCTCGCATCGCCGTGCCTTGAACCATGCTCAACCAAGAAGGGGGTAATATTTCCAAACCCCCGTACACATGAAACCTCCCAAAATATTCTGTCGCGGAACGCCCCCCTCCCCCTAAAAACCAAAACGCTGGACATTATTCTCGTAAAAATGTATCGCGAGATTGAAGTATTCTTTTTGTTTTTTTTACAACCTCGATTGGCCCTTTCTGCGCGTCCACGGAGACAAGCGAACGACGCTCTCTGGTAAGTCGAGTGCCCGGCCAAAGCTGCGCAGTCTGCCGCGATGCCTGCGCTGAGGCCCTTGCACAGTTGGATTGAAGAGGGTCAGCGAGATGAAGAAGCCCGCCAGACGAGAGCGATCAGCGTCCCACTGGTGATTCTGGGCGCCGTCAGATGACCAAGAGCCCTGAGCGCAATCAAATGTCATGAACTGATCTGCCGGGCAACCGCCGAGTGCACTTCGCCGCATAAATTGAAAAAGGAATCCATTCATAAGATAAGTGGTCCTTTAGCCTCTCCAGGACCCTCTGAACAGGTGCCTCATCAACGCCGCCTCGGGGATGCTCCCGTCGTTGGTACTGGCCGAGTGAGGCTGCCCCATGCCGAAGCCGTCAATCGTCAGCACGAGCACGTCGCCAATCAGCCTGGGCTCCGTCATGTACGCCAGGTCGCGGACCGAGTTGAGCGACGGGTCGAACTCCTTGAGCTGGTCGAAGACGGCGTCGGTCCAGGCTGCGGGGCCCGTCGAGTTCATGACCTCGGTGCTGCTGGGCATGAGGAGCGAGACGGGGGACTGGTGCTCGACTGCCATCTTCTGGACGGACCAGAGGACACGGTCGATCATCTTGCGGAAGACGGGGTGGCCGGGCGCGGCGGCGATGGTCCACTGGCAGAACTGGAGGGGGTGCAGGATGTCGGCCCAGGGCCCGTTGTCGCGCTGGTCAAACTCGATTCCGACGATGAGGCCGACCTTGCCCTCGAACTGCGGCGGGACCCAGCGGTCGATGGGCCGGAGGGCGATGGTGTCGGTGTCGGTGTAGGTGCCGCCGATGGTCTCGAGGATGAGGTAGCGCAGGAGGTCCGACTTCATGCCCACGTTGGCGAGGCCGTGGTAGATCTCGCGGACTTTCGGCTGGTCGGCGTAGTGTTTGTCGAGGAGTTCTTCGCCGCCGGCTTTGCCTACGATGGTGCTGAATCATAGTAGGTGGTTAGTATGGCATTCTTGGGTGACCTGTTGACAGTTGCATGGCAGCGCGACTTACTACTCGTAGTCTGGGTTCAAGGCGAGCCATGTAGGAGTGTCCTGGAGGCCCTTGGGGTCGATGTGAGACTCGGTATCGAGCGGGCTCTTGGGCAGTCCGATCTGCCAGATCTTCTTAGGGATCTGGATCATCTCCGGGATGACCGTGACATTCTCGGGGAGGTGGTCGATGTGAGGGATATCGTGATGCTCATCGCCTCCCACGCCGTGCTTCAGCGCCTCGTCGTCATCCTCCTCCGTGCCATGGAATTGGCCGTCGGCCTCGTGGGTACCGTTGTGCACATCGGTCGTCGGCGGGGCCTGGTCGTGGTTCGTGTTATGAGCTGGGCGTAGGTTGAATGTGTCCAGGGCAGATCCGTGAAGCGTCCAGACGACGATGAGCACCATCAGTGCAGCGGCGACGGCGGCAAACAGGCGGTATTGATGTCGGGAGATCTTGGCCCCATGTCGCGAGAGCGACTCCCCCAGCTCCTTGACCTGCATCTTGAGAAGCGATAAAATAAACAAGCAAAAAGAAGATGATGATGAAAAGCGAGAGTTGGGCAATCGAGTGGAAGCTGCGATTGCGTTGGCAGTTAAGATATGCGGGTTAGGGTTCGGGATGCAGATGAACGAATGACGGCACCAACGGTCTGGAGATGGTGAGGGAGGGCATCGAATGCGTCACAAGTTACTTGCAGAGGGGAATTCAACTTTATTACTGAGGGTTATCCAGCTGCTGACAGCTCGACGAGGCTTGTACAGCAGCGAACATCATTGCATAATACGAGCGTCGGCGGCCATTCCCCCCACAAAACTATCGAAAACCGGCAGGCATTGAAATTGGAATGTTCAGCTAGTGACCTCCAAAGCGAGAGAGCAATGGACGAGCATGTTGGTCCCGCAGGGCCTGGACAGGGCCATTTGGGAGCCAACACACGTAGGCCCATGGGTACGGTACGCTGCGTCCAATTCGGCTAGCAGAGAGGACTGACGCTGACGAGAACTGGCCGTGGCTGCGTGCAGATTCCCAAACTCTCAGCTTGGTGGAGAGCGGGAGAATGAACCAATGAGTGAGACGAGTCATCTGCTCTGTGATGCCCGACCCAGACCACCATCCTTGCAACTAGGCGAGTCTGGGTCAGGGGCTTGCCGATCGAGACATTCCAGCACCAGGATTGACCTGGTCCAGCCCATCCGATCTCCGAGGCACAGCAGAGCGATCATCTCTTGTATCTCGCCGCGTCAGCAATAGGTGCACAGTGTCAATTTGTCAATCCAGGAATGACGAGAATCGAGACAGGAGTCAAATAACCAAATAGTCAATCAGCATTCGTCAATGGATATGTCTCGACTCAGGGGCATCTCGTAGGGCCATTTGCGATCGGCTAGTCGCTGGCAACAAGCATTTCTTCCCAGGCTAAGCATTCACTAGTGCATCTCGATAGCGGTAGTCGCAATTTTCAGCAAAGGAGAAACACTAGGCCTGCTTGGATCCGATTATTGGTGCATAGCCGATATGGGGATTTGCATTCCCTCTGAGGCTACGTGCTTTGTAGTCTCAGAAAGGGGCTCGTCTGCTGGTCTGGTTCTCGACCGTGCATACGTGTTGCTTCGTGTTCTATACGCTTTATTTTCGGCAGATCAACTGCGCCTCGAAGTTTCGGAATGGCAGGGTTGAATATTACTATTCGAGAAATCCATTGTATTTTTGAGCATTTTATAATAATGGGAATTGTACTTTCCGATGGCGAATTCTTGCATGCATATAATTAGCTGCACGCCCAGAGTCCCCAGACCTGTATCTCTTCGTTGTATATACCTACCATGGATTAGTATCCTCTATAATTGATCGAGATTCAATCTTTGCATGTTCTGGAAAACAAGGGAGCTCGAATTGGTGCACATGCTATTATCCATTCATTGTGCTATTAATAACGCTCATTTTATAGCGAACAGAAGGGAATTATGGTGGGCTGGCTTGGCATCTTCTACCGATATCAATCCGCTAACTTTATATTTGATCCTCCTCTTGCATGTGATGAGAAATACCTACCTAGTTGACGTAAAGAAAAATAACAAGCCTGATTTATGGTGAGCATTTTCCAGCAAAACTTGTTACTGGTGGTTTAGGCTCCAGGACGACATTTTCTCCAATATCATAGAAATTAGAATGTCACATTATGAACAAAAGAGGGATAGGTTTCTCCAGCGTGCTTGATGCGTGATACAAATAACGGCTCCGTGAACCATGCATCGGATAGAATACGAGGTGCGTCTGTTAACGTCCCTCATGTCGGATCAGCTTACGCTTTATGCTGCCAGGCAGGATTTAGGCCCCACCAGCCCGACCATTTAGGCTCTTCTCGTCCCATATTGCCTTGGCCTTTCTAGGGTTGTAAAGATAATCACCATCTTGCTGACTGCTGCCTGTTGTGGTTAACTTCGCCTGGTTGTTTATTAAGTTGATGGACCAGCACTTCTCACCTCACAAATTGAAGAGATCCATGCCTTGAGTTCTCAACTACAGCAAACCCCCAGAGATCCAACCAAAGCCAGACACCGGCCACCACTCTAGCAGCACACCATGGGAGGCTGGGATGTCTACTGCGCTCTCTGTGGAGGGCCCATAAGACGAATCTGGTGGGATGCTGATGATAGCCCGCACGCTGCGTACGACCGAGAAGTGTTCGCCAATAGCGAAGATCCGGGCCTGGAATGGCTCGAGGACATCCGCCTCATTGGGGAGAACCCTGCCACTGCCGCGGATTCCAAGTAACTGCCCTCCTGAGCCTGGACGCCTTCTGGTTTCTTGATATCTAACTCTCTCAGGGTTTGGCTTTCAGGCCTCGCGTGCTACGAGGAATATGGCGGCGTGTCCTACCAGAGTGGGGAGAACCCCGACCCCGCGATCTTGGATTTAGAGGGTTGCGATGGAGAGAGTGGGATGATTAGAGTGTAAGTTTCTCCTCCGTCAAGAGGAAAGTGACACCAAACTATGTATGAAGTTCCATGTATCACGAAATTCATGCTTAGGATTGGACCTCCTCTCACTTTCCTACGAAGCATATTAACCGTCGCCCGGATGTAAAGATATAACACTGATGGAGTAGACGATCCGTTTTGTGCTCCTTTCCATACACGTTGTAGCAAGATCCTTTGCAAGTATCTGGGTGTCCCTGAGGTCAACAAAGAAGTATTGCTCGAATCCCTGAAGAGCCTGGCGGAGGACGGTGACGGGGGGCGAGCCCTCGATATCGAGTATGGCGATATCCGAGAACACATGGAGCAGTATTGGTGGCCACAACCCGGCACCGAGCATTTTGTCTGCGACCCAGTAGTGGTCAAGGGGCTGGTTGAATTCTACAATCAACTGCCTACACAGGATACGGGTGACTCCGAGTCGCCCCGAACATACAACACTGAGGGCGACCCTTTTAGTCAGCTCCCCGCCGATGTCCTCTTGGTGCTGATCTCTCTCTTCCCATCGATGTCTGACGTCTCCTGCCTTCGGATAGCTTCCCCGGTGGTTGCAAATCTGCACCTCGGCAACGGCTTTTGGCGAAGACAGCTGAAAATTAGGATGCCGTGGCTTTGGGATGTTCCGGAGCCCACCGATTCGCAAATAACTGATGTGGATTGGAAAAAGGTCTATCATAGGCTGGATTGGGCCAGCAGACCCGAATCCCAAAAGAGGAATAAACTTCACGGCCTGTGCAACAGACGAAGAATATGGGAAACAACCTGTCCCGTGATTGCGGAGGCTTACGTCGATTTTTCAGCAAAAATGGATGCATGGGGCAACCCGGAGGCCCAAGTTCTCAAGAATGTATTGTTCAGCTCTTTCGATTGTATCGGCAGTCGTGGCTGGGCCGGGATGGAAACAGAAACAATGACGCTTCTGGACAACTACTCGGAGATTACCACGGCACGGCCTTTCTTGCTGGTTTCTTGGTCTGAAGACAGCCGCAGCTTCCATAACATACGTGTGTTCAGAGACGAAAGCAAACTCAAGCAGATGATCGGGGCGGGCATGGTGGACATTGTACCTGTCCCGGATGATGACTGGATGACTGGCTTCATCTTCAGGGGCGGCGTGGGATCGCATGATATGGGAGATCGTAAGACATATGTTGTCGGATTAGAGATTCTTTTTGCGAAGCAAGAGCCAGTGAAGCTTGGTGCTGCCAGAGCAGATATTTGTCGACTGTTTCATGCGAGGGAGAATCACTTCATTGTTGGGTTCAAGTTCTATCGCGACAACCAGGATCTTAGCTTGACGCACATGAGACTCCTCGAGCAGCCACTGACGAAAATGGGAGTCTGCTCACGCGTGGTCGGCAAGTCCCTTGGCGGCCTTAACGCTACCAGCAGCATCTGGGCTGGCGATCTACCGCCAAGGAACGTACACACGTCAAAGAATAACCTGAACTTGGCATGGTCCCACGCGGGATCTCATTATCCCACCGAGTGGCTGATGTTGGGTGAATCTACGGAAGAGCAAGCGGATATCACTGGAATCTCTATTGACAGCCAGCTTGGCGGATTTGAAGTCCATTTTCAAAACCAAGCGACCCGGAGGATAGGCTTAGCCTTCCACGCGATGAAGACTCTGTCCATCGATGGGCAGGGTGGCGAGCGCATCACACAGATCTATGTTTCCAAGTCAACTCAGCTAGCGAAGATATTCGCTACCAACCGCGGTCGCTGTCTCTCGCTGGGCACCTCAGTATCTGATTACGAACCGCTAACGTTTGGTGGCGAATGCGACCCAGATGCCTCTAAAGTTGCCATCTGTGGCATATACGGGGATTGGTTCGAGTACCTGGGTGCGAAGCATCTGCTTAGCCTTTTCGGTGCCTTCGGGTCGTCAGAGCTGCCTCTCTGCCAGGACGATATTACGCCCCTGGCACAAGACGGCGACGGCTACTTCTGGGAACCCAAGAGGCCATCAGCTAGTTTGGTGGAAACTGGCCCCATTTACGGTTCAGGAACATATAATTGGGCTCCCTTCTCGTTTGCGCAAGAAAGAAGAAATGAGAAAGTGCCGTCCAAGGGGTGTGTGGTCAGCGCGCTTGATGTCGACCGCCCCATCGTGGAGGTACGCGTTACCTTGGTTCATAGCAACCCAAGATGTACCATCGCTCCCATCGCAGCTATACAGTTCACGTACCTAGATGGAGAGAAAATGGTTGTGGGACCGGATAAATTTCCCAACGACTCTATATGCCGGTGCTGCGGTGAGAAGACGAGCCTCGCCGAGGAGACTGGGAAAGTACCTCATTATCGGCACGAGATCTGGCGTCCTGGGAATAAGAAATTGACCAAACTACGAACGTGGCCATCTGGGATGGGGGGACTGGGAGCCATTCGTTTTGTGGCGGAAGGGGGCGCTGAAAGTCCTCTTTGGGGATATTGGGGTTTCGAGACAGAGGGGAAGGAATGTGAAGAGCTGAACTTTGCAGGAGAACAGTGTGGCACGGCTATTGGGCTGAAGGTGTTTTCCCAAGGTCTTCATCGAGGGGATCAAGGAGATGATACTGTGGTTGTTGCCTTCCAGGGGTTAGCTCATACTTCAGCTCAGGACAGCCGTTGAGTGTTCATTGGCCTCTCTTCGGGTATTATGGATAGCGTACTCGCGAATGAAAGCATGATCAAGGCGGAGCAGAGCAGGGGGGGCGGGTCTATTTGCTCCTCCCTTCCACATATGGATGCCCGCGCGCAAATGTGTAGTATTGGCGGGGCGCAGGTGAGGCTGAGCGTAAGGCGGCTAATAAATGGTTTGCCTACCTTCTGATAATCAAATGAGTTATTTCATCCAGTTGTGCTGTTAAATATATACGTTTTCATTTCAGCCGATTCTTGTCGGCGTGTCTATCTAAGCGATCGCTCATACCCCACGATGAAGATTTACTTGAGAACTTGTCAGTTTGCCCCCAGTATCGAATCAAATGCACACTATCAGATAGAGACTAATATTGGACTACTACCTAGTCACTGGGAAACATGTCGAACTTGACGTGGCAGAGAACGAGTCCGTGGCTCGGGTCAAGGAAATATTCTTCGAGAGGGAAGGATTTCCTCCCGACCAATGCCGTTTAGTATATGCGGGCAAACATCTCACCGATGAATTTACCTTGGATCGTTACAGGATCGGGCCTGAAGCAACTATCCACGTCGTCTTGCGACTGCGAGCCCAGGATAACACTCCAAGCTTTCCTACGTCCGAGAACCCGTATCCACACCCTTCAGAGGCAGAAAGGATCATTTCCGATTGGAACGATCTGGCTGCTAGAGATGGCTTCGATGCGGACACACATATCGTTGACCCGCAGGCGCACTATATCGCGCTGGAGTCGCTTCAGAGGAAGGTCAAGACCTCTTCGGCTCTATATCAGAAAACTGGGATTTCCTGGAAAACACCCGAACCAGAAGATGTAATGCTTCGGCTTCTTGAGATTCAAGCACCTGAATGGATGCACAATCTTCTACTGGATGCTGGGGATGGTGCGGAAGTTGTTGATAGAGAAGCTGTCCTCTGTCTGTTGCATTCCTACGTAATTATCAAGTCCGTTTTGGATAGATTTGACTTTCTAGTGGCCTGGAAGTTTAGCCACGAGTTCTTTAGCATCCTTATCCAGAGGGACACAAAATATATAGCCGAAATCGTCAAGATCCCGAGGACTGTACTCGACAACATTACCTCCACGCTGTGTACAGCACTTGCAAATGCTCGGTACGAAACCAGAGAGAGCATGGCTGAGGTGGTCAAGCACGCGACAGATCCATTCATGGACCTGATCGGTCATGAGCCTCCTTCATCAGATCCTATAGAAACATGCCGCACTATGGCATATTTATTGGACGTCGGCCTAGTCAGCTACGCTGGATCGCACGCATCTAGAAATGACTTCCAGGATTTCGAGGCTGAAACCGCAGATTTCAGTTGCAACAAGGATGGTTGTTTTCGATTTCGGTGCAAGATGCAGACTCTGGCCTGCTTGAACGGATTTCTAGATGCGCGGGAGGTTTGGGTCTTCGAGATACAAAGTAGGAGGACTTCGCCTCAACAGCAACTTCAGCAGGGCGGTACCAAAGAAACTCTTTCGATCCTGACGACGATAGATGCGCTCTCTGATATTTGGGGACCCGTCTATGCTGAGGCTATTCACCAAGACTCCTCAGCCGAAAAGCCGTACCGCGTTAAGAAGTACAACGTCTCCAAAGGATGCATCCGCCCTCTGCCTAGACAAGCTGTCTCTTCAGATGCATATGTCCAGTGCCATTGGTACAGCTGGGCAGAGGAGCAGCGACGGCGTTTCTCTAACCTATTTTCTGGTCGCTCCAATTATCCAACGATGTCACTCGACGACAAACTCCTGATTGGCACAGAGATGACAGTGAAGCCAGACTGCACATTCAACATGACAGAATACGAAATGAATTATGGAAATGCCATATACGCAGCTGGGCCGAAGCCTTCCACATGGAGGTTCGACGGTGTAGCAGTGTCCCTAGAATTGGCAGCGCCGAAATTCGCAATGCTCCAGATCAAAGGCAAGGCGAAAAGAGTCCCGGAGACCACAGTCAAAGAGCATGCTTGGCAAAAATGGAGCTCAAGCCCCGAGTCTGCGAACCCTGGTATCCTGAATAACTATTTTGGCGTCGAGATTAGCAACTGTACTGGAAATGCCAGGAGGGTATCCCTGAAACAGATACTCCTCATGAATCCCATACAAGAGTTGCTTGAGCGCCAGATTCCTGGATGGCAAGCAACAAGCTGGGGGAGGGATTTCAAGAAAGCACTCCAGACGGAGTCTGAAGCCGCAGTCTTCAGCTTTTGGAGACGGCATGTCGACTATCGGGCGCTTGTGGGACGTCTCATATCTTCTGTTCTGGATGTGCTTGACGGCACTGGATGCAACAAATTAGGATTCCAGGCGGCATTCCTGCACCAAGACAATGAAAGCGTTATCAACATTGATCCCAGGGACAACGACTGGGCCGATTTGCTCAAGGACTCGTATCTCACTGCGACGTACGCGATTGTCAATGAGATATGCCTCGAGTATAAACTCCCGGATCATAGTGCTTCGATATGCAACGATGGACGACGGTACTCAGTCTTACAAACCAAGATTGGCATGGAAACAGAGGCGGGACTTACCAGGCGTTTCAAGATCGATCCGCATGGATTATCGTTAAAGAGGATTAACCCCGAGGCCACTGAGCTGCCTATTCTCCTGACACGCGAATCGACAGTCACAACCATGGTTCACCTCGGCACACGAACGCACCGCGCGAAGGAACTGTTGAACCAACAATCGCACGATCGTAAAAAGCACCATCAGGTGATACTACGCGCATCGAGGGAGAGCTTCGGCGGGATGCCGTATCCACGCCAACGTGGTTTGACAAAGGTAGACGAGGACCCTATGGATATAGACATACAAGCTGAGGGCTTCAACCAAGAGGTGACGGAAGAGGCCCTTTCACAGCTGGAGATTGAAGCCATGATCATGGATAGCCTGATGGCGAGGGACGTTGTGGAGGACGAGCAGAAAGCTCGCTGTTGAACCATCCAGTGTGAAAGCTAGATTATGTTTATTGCAATTCGGGGTGTGCAGTTATTTAATTATCTACGCCTTTTGGTAGTCGGATTGGTTAGGAACTATAAGTGATTCCTATTGCAATTACTTGAGGTCGTCATAATTTTCGATGTTTCTAGCATAAATCATTATCGATGTATGTAAGGCGCTACCGACCGCGAATCCACTAAATGGCACCCTTTGGAGTAAAATGAAATGCCTGGCTTCGGTTTAGGATGGTTCCCCTGCAGTTCTGAATCCTGGTTAATGTATGTTGTTATAAAACGGTCGTGGTTGTGTTTCCGATGCGGATGACACTGCGACAGGATCACTACCTTGCGAAAGCCCAACGTCAAGACTCTTATCAAAGGACTTCTAAAGCGTTTGAATTAGGACAAAACTTACTTCAAGATATATCCAGGAGAGTGCAACCCGAGTTTCAGCGCAGATCGTAACATCTTAAGCGGTTTTTCTGGAGCAAGGCGACAGTCATAATTTGTACCTTGAATCTTGAAGCTTTCAACTTTTTGATTTCCCACATGATTTAGGGCAAAGATCATGGAAAATGGGTCGCTTGTTAACTTTACCGTTCCCTTAGTGATACGTGAAGGCGTTTTGCGAACCAACTGCACAGCATCTTCATTGTTTTATTTGCCTCACATACACTAGTTAATCGATAAGAGATAAAGCCCTAATGTTTGCTCATTATAAAAGCCAGGGGAAACGTCAACGCTTCAGGTTCCTCCAATGATGTATACCCAATCATGGAGAAAATATGAGCTAGGTACAGAAAGATTTCTTTGTGTCCCAGCCGTAGTTACAAAATCTTCCAATTTCACTGCACTGAATTATCCGTAAATTAGGTTTGCTGACCAGTTTTCCTCGAAGTGATGTCGAGCCGCAAGTTGAGCCAACAGATCACAAGGAATTCCTACTTACTTGTTTTGGAGGCCAGCATTTCACAGGTCTATGAGGAACTGAATGCCAATAGCGCACCACTGTCCCATCCTTTCTCGTTTTTCGGCCTTTATCTACCCAATAGTTGAATCGGCAGGTATTGGTGACTCTTTCGCACGTCTCAGTATTTGGCATGTTAGTAAGTTCTCGATACCAAAATCATGTTATACAAGCTGTCTGCTACAGTTGTCGTTGACTAGGTAGGGTCAAGGCGAATTAAAGGCCACTATCATACCCCGGTGAAAGGTATCATCCTGACAATCGGGCGTCTCATGTCCCGGCACTTTCACGGCCACTTACACAGCCTCGAGCTTATGGACAATTATTTCCGTCATACCATGATGGATTTTGCCCCTTCCGGCCTCTATAACTTCCATGATGTATTTAATTAGAGATATACCGACCTTTCCCCTAACAGCTATATAAAGAGAATAGAGCTATTTTATTCCATGGTAAAGATCTCTCCTATTATTAATAGTGTTTAACCTATTTGCCTAGCTCGGCTTCAGTTTTATTAATGCTTTCTAATGAGCAACTTATAAGTCTCTGCAAGTCCTTGTTTGCAATGTCAACCGAGAGCTTTTTCTGGTAACCTTGAAGGGATTGCTTCCACCTTGGCCAGAACTCCGGCTCAAAAAAGTCCTCGTCGTCGCTGCGACGCAACTGAACATCCGTCCAAACCTTCTTAGATGCGTGGATGAACCACATGCAGGCTACCCGCACGTCTTGCTTTGTAACTTCCTCTTCCTCTTCGAATAGCTGTGTCAAGTGGGCAAAGTCCCAAGAAGTATCCTCAAATAGGTCCCAGAATTTAAGTTCCGCGAGCTGGGCAAAGAAGGCTACTAAATTTGCCCAGTCAAGACTCTTCAATATATCTTCGGAAGGAATGCCAGCTAGAAAGTAGAGTAGATGAGGTACTCCCTTCCCACTGTTTCTGTCTTTCGTAAATTCCACTTACGGCCTCTCAGGGCTTCCTCAGCTAGGTTTATGGAAAATCGAGGCATGCCCGACCAGAAGGGGGTCGTCGCAAGCCCGTCTTTTAAGTGTAGTATACCCCCCTCTGTCGGATCGGGCACGACGGCCTGGCCGAGGCGAACAGTACCAATGCAATTATAATAGCAGTCACGATGTCCGCGTGCCTTAATAATGCATTATTCTGTTGTTCGGCGCGCTCAGCGGCAGCCGCGGCCTCCACAGCAGCTGCCCTAGTCAGTGCAACGATTTCTTCTACAGCGCTTTCTGTAGAAAAATCATCTTGGCTAGCCATTCTGAGGAGGATCTCGCGTGGCGGACATTGATTAATCTATTATGGATGGGTTAACCTTCCTTCTCCCCTGGAAACTCAGAGAGCCGGCCTACAAAATCATCAATGGAAAGGACGGGTTTCGGAGCCTGGTTTTCAGAGGCTGTAGCCATGGTAGCGGTCGTGTTCAAAGTAGCGAATATATGAGAAGTGATGCGGTGTGGTCGGGTGCGAAACGTTTGTAATGTAATGGCGGAAGAACAGAGGCCTCGACTCAAACATTCACTCTTATCTAATTTTAGGCCGAAGGCCCCCAGGCAACAGCGGGACCACACCATCCTCAGGTGAAAATATTTCTGGAGAATCTTCGACAAACAATCAGCCTGCCGATCCTTCTAGAGACAAGCAACATGCAGATTCATCAGCAAGCGAAAGGAATACCGGGTCCTCAGTAGCAAATAAACCTGCAGAGGCCTTAGACAACAAGGGGGTTGGAAAGTCCTCAGGGGGAACCAACTCCGAAGAGCCCCAGGGCCAGAAGAAGTTATCCAAAAGTGCGGCTAAGAAAGCCAGGAACAAAGCCAACAAGAAGACAAAAGAGCAGGAGAAGAAAGATGGGAACGGGCCAAGTCTTTGTGGTAGAGGCCAAGGTGGCTGTGGGTCACAGTCAGAAGGAAAAAAAGCTATCAACAACAAGGACACCAGCGGAGGCAAAAGCTACGCCTCAGTCTCAACCTTTTGCTAAGGCTAAGGGTTATCGCAATGGCAAATCCACAAGCAGACACAAAAACCGAAGTGGTGGTAAACACAGAGGCAAAAGCAAGAACAGAACCAAAGCCAAGAACAACAACAAAGGCAAGGCTGCCTCTCAGAATTTTCCAAAGCCACCCAAAAGCAAAGGCATAAACAGGAACAGAGTCAAGTTTGATTCCCAGAATATCGGGAAGGCCACAGGTTCTAATAAAGGCAAAACTGGCTCCAGGAACTTTCCTCAAGCCAAATCCGCAAAGGGCAAGGGCAGATCCCGGGTTAAATCCAAAAATACTTCCAATAGTAAAGCTGGACAAGCAAAGGCTAGGCCTAAGAATACTGCGCAGGCTGGCAAGAAAACGGATAAGGCTAAGGGCTCTCGAAAAGGTGACGCTAGAAGAAAAGGCAAAGCCAAGACTAAGACCAAAGGCAACGCTAGGTCTCAGAACATTGCTAAGTCAGCATCGAGGAGAGGAAAGCTTGGATCGAAGAAGATACCTAGCAAAGCAAAATCTGGATCCAAGAATACCTCCAACACCAAACCTGGCAAAGGTAAAGCCGGTTCCAAGAGCATTGCGAAGAACGGATCAAGCCAAGGTAAGGCTGGTTCTCAAAATGCTCCTAAGAATAACGGCGGGAAAGGCAAAGGCACCTCTAAGAACATTCCCAAGTCTAAGTCTGGAATGAGCAAGGTTGGCACTATGAAGAGCAAGTCGGGAAGTCGAGGCAACACTGGAAAAGGCAACACTCCTACTAAAGGACAAGGTGGCCCCAAGAATACTGCTAAAGAATCTACCAAGAAGAAAGCGGTCAAAAGCAAAGCTGGTAAAGGCAACTCTCCTGCTCAAGGCAAAAATAGTGCTCATAAAAAGGCTGCTAAAGGCAAAGCACCTACTAGAGCTAGGGGTGGTTCCAAGAATTCTGCTAAGAATACAGGAGGCGGGGGCAAGACACACGCCAAATCTAAGCCTGGTTCGAAGTCTATCACAAAGAAAAAAATCGGCAACGGAAAGGCCAGCACTGAAGGAAAGACTCCCGCCAAAGGAAAGAATACTAATAAAGGCAAAGCTGGTCCCAAATTTAACTTAGCTTCTCAGAAAGCACCTAGTAAGAAGCCTGCTCCTAAGAAAGCTTCTCCTACAAAGGCCGCTTCCAAGAAAGTAGCAACTACCAAGATCGCTCCTAAAAAAGCAGCACCTAAAAAAGCTATGCCTCAGAAAGCGACTCCTAAAAAACCTACCGCTAAGAAGACTGCTCCCAAAGCGAAAACTGCTCCAAAAGCTGCGAAGGCTGGTCCCAAGGCGAAGGCAGGTCCCAAGGCGAAGGTGACTCCCAAGGCGAAGGCAGCTCCAAAAGCCGCAAAGGGTCGTAAATAATAAGAAATGGGTTTGATTCATGCATACCGAGTTTCTCAATTTTCATTTCTTTATATCTCACGTCATTCGGATCTCTCTCATATATATATCTTCTTATCTCTTTATTTCTATCCATTAAACAATAGACATCTTAGTATGTAGCTCGGTCTGATCTCAACATGTCAAGAACGTTTCTATTCATGGTATTCTTAAAATTCCTCCAAAAGATAATAAAATCGCGTTATATATTTTATATCGGTTGAAAGGCTTGGAAGGGTTTTTCCACCACAATTCACCCGGTCCCTGAGAATGTTCTACCCTCTGTGGTATCAGCATAATTCACTGATCACTTGCTTGATTAAAGAATAGCAGAGCCAAGATACACTTGGGCAAATTGCTTTTATTACTAGGGTGGGTAGACGTTCACTCGTATTTAATGGTGTATAACGTGTCCTTATATCTTCCTTTAGGTTCAAGCAGAGGTTGAGATCTGTTGTGCTGGTAAATAATCATAAATTAAGCAGTGAACTTGTACCCAGATCCTGTGGCATTCTGACAAAAAAGAACAAAGTGTCTATACATTGCTTGCTTTAAAAAAAAAACCTGCAATTTAGAAACACAAGAAAACACTCATGGAAAGCAAATGCCCACCTGGTTGCCAGCAACTCGAGGCAAGTTGCGCGCGCCAGCAATGACATCGGGGCGAGCTAAATGAAACAGACTATTTCGCTCCTCCTTTGCCCCAGAGTATATTTCAAGGGTAACATTCTTTAAAAGAGTCTCGTAAAAATGAAATGAGAAAAAAAAAACCGAAAGGCAATGCTGTCGATGTACCTGGGACTCGAACCCAGAACCTTAAGCTTAGGAGGCTTACGCGCTACCATTGCGCCAGCACACCACACGACGAAGTGTCCGGGAGCAAACGCCTGTTTCCTCATACCATAGGCTGACAACTCGGTTTGTTCGGTTGTGGATAGCTGATATAATCAGCTGGTTGATGTCTAATAAACAATTAGGGGATGCCTTCATTTTCATAATTTGGTTATGCACTCGGATTTAACGGACAATCACTCGAATGTATTGAGTTTCTCATAGGTACGCTGGTTGTCCGAACCGCTGCTTTATTTGCTCGTTGCTCAAAGGTGGCATTCAGCGAACCTTCGTCAAAGACCGTCAATTACATTATTTCAAATACCCTAAATTGCACAATTGCCTATTGCCTCCAATTCCCATTCTAAAGAGAGCCATTGGCGAAGCTTTCATTCAGATATATGAATCGTGTAATGTTTTAAATTCTCAACTGGCCTTGAAACTAACGCTTGACTCTAGGGTACGCACAACACTTGGATTGCCGTCAAGCTGCTACTTATCAACATCCTGACTTCACACCCGCCCTGTTTCGTGGCCCGGGACAAAGGTCATCCCAGATATAGTCTGAGAGTTCTCCTTTGAATGGGGAGGGAAATTGGCTGCATCTAAAAAAGAAGAGAACTAAGATGCTCATTCTGGCGGAATCAAGTTCTACTGAATGACAGTAACAGTATTGTATTGCCACCTTTAGCAAAGAGATAAAGAAGTTAAAATAACTTCTCATTGTCTATTTCAATCCTAGAGAGCTTGAAAATCAGGCGGAACCGAAAAGACCATGTTAGAGCAAAGGTTCAAAAGATTTCGCGGTATCCAACACGGATTGTTCATATGGAATGTACTCTATGCTAGTGGCTTTAACCGCTTTAGAGGCATCGAACTGCTGGTCTCCTGGGCTTTTGAATCCTGGCAGATATTCTTCACTAGGGTTGCCTTCTTTGACCTTGCCTTGAGGGTACGCTTTCCGCAAGATGTCGGCGGCGGCTTGCTGGGGTCCGTACGCAGCTATCAGAAGATAGCGCTCTCCATCTGTGACAGTCGGGTTGTCCAAACAGAAAGTGACAAGGCGAGCCACGTCACGTACATCGACCCACCAAGGATTGGCCATGGCTGCCGGAACATCACGCCCAGATAGGACTGCAAAGATAAACCCAGCAGTTCCAGAAACCGCATCTGGGGAGCTCGGGATGACTAGAGGAGGGCCATGGACAAATGATGGATTGATGGAGGCCATTGTGAACGTGGGTTTGCGCTCTTCCTTAAATTTCCAGAACTCCTTTTCCGAGGCGGCCTTGCTCGCGCCGTAAATGACAGGGCCTGGAGTGTTATCTCCAAGCTTCCGGACCATTTCCTCCGCTTGGTGATTCCAGTCTTTCTCTGTAAATGTATATGGTCCATCTTTTTTCGATCTGATGGCAGCATTCGAGGACATGAGGACAACAGTTTTGACAGAAGGCTCCTTGACAGCGGATTCAAGGACACCTCGGACGACAGCTTTGGCTGTGTTTATGACTGGCTCAGCCTTGGTGAATGACAGAGAGACAGGGGACGCAAGCTGCGCAATCCCAGAGACGCCTTTGACCGCTTCATCGAACGCACCGGGCGAAGTGATATCCGGGACTTCAACAACATCAAAGCGGGATGAGTACTCTGACAGTGCAGCGCGTGTTGCCTCGGCGGATTGAAACGAGCGAGCGGTGCCCCGAACGCGGTAGCCAGCTTTGAGAAGAGCTTCAGCTGTTCGCGCAGCAATATAGCCGTTCACTCCGGTAACGAGTATGGTCCCTTTCTCAGACATGGTTGGTTCCTTGTGCAAGTTGAAGGTGGAATGGCCTTATCAAGGAGTTCAACTAAGTTTGGTGAAAACAGCTACAATTAAGCACGACAAAACTGAAAAAGAATAAGAAACAAGATCAATTGGTAATTTGATATTTATATCCTTTCTGGTTATCTCGACCTCCACAAGCGCGGCAGTTCGCCTTCGGGGGTTTATGTCATATGCCCGTGTCCAGGTTTCCTACCCACGACACGATTTGAGTGCTACGGCTTACAAATGTTGAAGCCTTGATTACACAGGTATAGTAAATTACGCAAGGTTTGAGGTTTATACTTTCACCGGATAGCAGGCGCCTTGCTACAATTGATAGCTCCACACTGCCGGTATGAGTGACTTGAATACCTCTATTACGCAGGGTTTCTCAGAGCAGATTTTGATAGGACTAAGGGAGTAAGATGAGGCTAATTTCGAAAAGAAAGTCTAGTCCTGATTATTATTCCATGAGCCATCAGACATTTACGTTGTGATTCCACGATCAAGAACAATTAACAATGGGTATAGTGATTATTTGCATAGAAGATCATGTTATAGATGGAAAAACGGGCACTTTCTCATTTAGCGACACCAACCCTGTAACTCTGGTACTGCAATGGTATATCACCAGGCAGAGGAGTTAGCATATCACCTCCGTCTGTCGTTGTCGTGCTCGTTCTAGCTGAAAAGGACTGAATAGGCAGAATCTCGGAACTGCTTCCGGTGGGCGATGGTATCGTCATGCCTGTGGGGTACGAGCGCGGTCGCTGTTTATTGCCCGTCCCTCCCCCAATAGTCACTAACGTTGGCCGCTGTGAGGAGTCGCCTTGATTTGTGGATTTTGTTGCCGATTTCGATTTCGAGCTACCGTACAAACTGTCCAAGATGTACTTGGGCGTTGTGTGCTGGAAGAACTTACGTAGTGTGGGTAAGGCAGCACACATCACAAATAAGTTGGCTTCGACGACGATACAGATGGAGACATTGGTGATTTCCCAGCTTTGATCAGCTGATTGCGTCATAGCAGGGAGAACAGCAGCTCTAACAATTGATGTGATGATGGTCCTGTGATGAGCGAAGCGGTTAGATTATGATTTACAACAAGCAGGGGGTAACTTACAAGGAGCCGACTCCAAAGATCAACAACAGCCCAAATTTTTGAAGTTTCTTAACCTGAAGCTTGAGAACCATTGGCACCGGAAGCACAAAGAGAATCACGTCGGAGACAATATTCAGAATCGCATTGGCCATGCTTACGGCGGGACATGTGAGCTTATCGTCTCCGCCCAGTCTTCCATCAACAAACTTGCATCCCATAAGCATCGTAGGCAGTAGGGCTACCGTATAGGCGATGACAAAGCCGATAGTAGTCCACGTTGCAATGTAAAACCATCGCTGAGGACTCAGACGGAGATAGAAGGCGAGCAGTGATAACTTCGCTAGAGATCCGCAGACAATATAGACGGCCCACGACATATATGTGTACTATCCTCGTGTCAGCCCATTTGACTCTTTGGTGCCAATAAATATTGCAAGAACTTACCACCAACAACGAGCAGTAATTCCATTCGGAGATCTCCCACGCATGAACGCCGGCGTATGTTTGGACAAAGGTGAGGAGGGTTAGGCCTATTGTTGCTAAGGCGCTGAGATACGCGAATATTAAGAGATCTGCGATCACGATTGTTAGTCTCTTAATCCTCGATTCCTCGATCGGTTACCTTCACTGCAGCAATGACTGCGGGGTGCTCACAATCATCCGCCTGTATCTTCTTGTCTATCGCCGCTTTGGTGTAGAAGCGCTGCACCATGCTGAGGAGCGACAGCAGACATGCCACTCCGGTCAAATAGTAGATATCGGGCACCCTGCGGCGTAACGGATTCTCGAAATCGACGTGGTAGCCCTCGGGGGCCTCCATATGTACCAGCACTCCATCGATGTATGCAGACATTTTAGGTGACGGGGGACACGAAAGTCGAAGATGAGCGCGCTACTTCACGTCACGAAGATCTTGGGGTAGTAGATGAGGGGCAGTGCCGTGCCAGAAAGTGTCTCAAATCGTCATGCTGGGGACTCGCGTCAAGGCATCCATTGGCTGGTCAGCTCCCACATGCAACTGATCGGACAATCTGCATTGGAGGTCAAACACGAGTGCCGCGTCCCAGTCCCTGGGTTAAAAGGGATTTGGAAGAAAGAGGATGGGCCTCATGTTTTCCATGTGGCAATAAACGACCTGCTGCTGCCGTCGATGTAACATAATGTATCCCACCACCAAAATCAGACCGGTAATGGGCTAGGGCGCCATATGAGTTCCATCTGACTAAGTGTGTGACCAGGACTTTTGGCGCCGGGAGAGGTGATCCCGGATGATGAGCTACGGAGAGTCTCGGGGGCCATGCAGGAAGAATCCTCCATCTTATCAAGAAGCCTGATTGGTTTCAACTGTCTGAGGATGCAGCCACATATTAATATCAACTGACCTTTGGTGTGGATCATTTGGATCCTCCTTGCACATCGCCCGGATTGGGTGAGACGTAAGAAAGCCTGCAGCAGCCGCCCTTTCATTTACCTCCGTAGGGATGGCAAATGGTTAGTGACTGGGTACAAGCCATGCCACTCTGTCTGCCTATGTACGACATGAGAGTAGTAAGACTGTAAAACCGCAAGTTCCTCTGGCTGAGCAATAGCCGACGTAGGATCCGGCACTGCCCTAAATGGGCCTGTTCGCTTGGCGATCTCACCATCTAAGGCTAAGAATTAGATAAGAAGCTTGATTCATGGGAAGTGCCGTAGCTCCCATTCCCTCGGCCTGACCCCATCTTACCATCCCTGATCCAGTCCAGGTCCAGCCCTTTCCGCCTTGGCTTTCCCATGTTGCAAGACCTCCCGTGGATCATGGCTCATTTAGCCCCGCTTCGGGATTTGCCCCTTTACTCACATTTGTCGGCATTATTCATAAGGATCTCATTGCCTTCATGTAGATCATCAAGCTGGAGCTATACTTTCACGTCCTGATGCCAATCCTCATCGTGGGTCAGGTGGGAGGGTCAAAACATGACTATCTCGTGAGAACGCCACACCGTATCTACCGCGCTGGCTGAGTTGGGGCCCGTGTCTCAAACTTATTGCATATGCTACTGTAAGCTTCCTTTTTTGACACCAGCTGAAGCCCTATAATTGCCTGTCCCCACACAATGGCGACCGCTTGGCGTGAGATAGGCACTGAGCTGGGCTTGGCCCCAGCCGGAGACCCCTTCCTTCTGTGCTATCCCGGAAGATTCTCCCCGAGATCCAGGCGTAGATGGAATTGGTACCCACTGTCAGGACACCACTGGACGTCTTTACCCAAGAGGAACGCGTGGCCTTGTTCCCATTACGCTTTGTAGGCACAGGAACGCACCGCAAAGCGTTTGTGAATCTATTGTCCCTACGCCGGAGGACTAATTTACAACAATCGGTTCCTTGGTATCATGGTCTGCTCATCGCAGCGGATAAGTTTGGCGCCATGGTCGCCAAGCCCAGTCCTCATTGGCCTCGGGCCGCTTCTCTGGGAGCCGATGGGTGCTTAACCAAGGATCTTACCACCCACAGACAGCGTCTGCTTCTATGCATGCGTAGAACTTTAGTATTATCATCTTGCTCGTGGATCAATCAATTAGGCGCCAAGTCACTGAATCACTTCTTCCCCAACTAATCATATAGGAGTTATACACAGGTTCCCCTCCCCCCTTTCTGTTGCTACTCTTCCCAACACTGGCGATCGCTTGATACGTGCTTGTAGTTGCTTCTAAGCGCTATTGGCAAGGTCAGGAATTCTGCGTGAGAGTGGGATCATCACTCCCAATTGATCACCTACACAGTTTCTTTTGCTAAACATCGCATCCCGTATCTGCTCTTCAAGTTTTTACACACGAACAGCGTCGTCCCTGACCATACCACCGACTGATGATTTCCGCCAACAGCGCTCAATGAAACACCCACACATGAGAATTCGACCCGTCACGTCTTATTGCTGCTGTTGGCCCATTCTTCAGCTGCAGATTCGTCGGTCGCACAGAAGCTCGCCGGTCATTCATAGCCGAAGAATGTTACATGAGCAGCCGAAGGCCATGTAAGTAGGCTTGCGGAAACAGTACGAGATTGCTTATGCAAAGGCCAGCCATCTTCATGATGCGATTGCGACTCAGCCAAGAGATTCTGTGACCACCAGTTCCCCCCCCCTAAACTGGTACCCGTGCATAGGTACCCGAGCACAAGGCTTCCGCAGCCATACCTACCAACGGTTCTGTCACTCGGTTAGATGCTGTCCCACAGGCTGGAGGGTAGAGTGACGCAGCCGTTTTCTTGCTAAATAGCAGACGTCAGAGAGTCGAAGATGACTTACATAAACCAGATACCGGCTCTGCAATTGAGTCGTTCTCGCCTGGCTTCTCGGCGTCCTGTGAATCCTTCTTCACGGCCTCACGCACCTCTTTCTCCCAGGCCTCACGCAAAGCCTTCTTCCGTTTATTTCTGTCCTGGCTCGTGACATACTCTCTGAGCAAAACAATCGCACCAGTGGGCCACCTATAGATATCATATAACATTAGCATGACAGTCAAGAATCTACCCGATCGATACAGAAGCTTACACAAATGCTTGCACCCAAAGGAACCAGATTCTGTCTGTGGTCAACGTATCGGTAGGCCAGAAGTGTGAGTTAAGCAACAGGCCAAATGCTATCCACGCCCCAATAAGATGAAACGAATTTAGAAGCAGGGTCAGAGAGAGTGATGTCAATGAAGGTTTTTCGGTCTCCTCCCGGAAGGCGCGAACTGGAAGATAGCTCATGTTTACAAGTGAAAAAGAGGGAAAACACTAAATTATTTGATTAGAATGGTAAATCTTGAAAAGTTCAGTATTAGATCAAATACTTACAATACTAAGACTATAGTAAATCATTGTCCGTGGTATAGTGCCCCTTAAGTCTATTAGGATAATAAAGGCTGCCAGGGCACTAATCCTTGATAGATAGACCATTAGCATTAATGCGCCAGGGATCAGCTGGGAAAGCCTTTGGCTTGATTTTCCCATTGTGTTGAAAGAATGGTGTTGTTCTTGACAAGGATGGGTAGAAGGGAGGTGAACGAGGGAAAGTAGCGGGGAGATTGAACAGTAGCCCAGCAGAATATTTATATCCATAATTGAAACGCAGCACAGCCACAGCTACCAACGGAAGGCAGACACGACAATTCACTCCATGTTAGGCATCTAGGTACTTTCGAATATTTATATGCTGTTGGTTCGAAATGACTAATAAATTGCCCCGCAGCCACCCTTTCATCGTACCATCCCCTCACCCTTCCTTCTGGTACTACTCTGACCTCATCTACCTCCAATTCCTCCCCACTTATCCTCAAGAGTGTTGGTTAAGATGGTCTAGAATCTCAATGGCATCCGATCTCTGGCCTCCCTACCGCGCGAAGAGCGTCGCATTTTTCTGCCACCCCTGGTTCTGAGACCATCAATTGACCTTGGTAGACGAGCTCTTTTGCGCGGAACAAAATGCCGTTCTGCTGTAGCCGCTCGCCGAACTACCTGCCAAACACCACCAACCATCTCGACAACCCATTCTCCACACACAAATACTCCGTCTTTGATTTTACCACATGTAGCCTTTGCCTTGTCCCCGGCCTTCTTGACCGACACATCCCATTGTTCATTATCAAGAATCCCTGCCATACCACTGGCCCAGGTACAACAAATCACACCTGCACTGAACCCAGCAACTTGCATCGTCGTTCCTTTGGTACTGCAAACAGCAACTCCGATAGCGCAACCCGTTGCGACGCTCAGCCTATGTCAGGTTTAATGTGAGAAGCTAGCTTTGAAGCGAGATTGATACATGTGTACATACAATCCAATTGCAGATTTCTGTCTGTTGCTGAGTGGCTTAGCAGACACGACAGGCGCGGGAGGATCGGCCGCAATGGCCAGTTGGGTGGTTGCCAAAAGGGCACAGAGGGTGGTGAAAAGGTTGAAGCGCATGATGATAACTTGGCAGTGGTCGATTCTAAATGAGTAGGGCGAAAAGAGGAAAGAGATGGATAGAATAGATTCTTTGATTTAGTTTGTAGATAGTGTGTAGGAAGGAGCTGATGCTGTTTATATAGCCATTGTGAAGCTCGGCTTGGCTTCTTCCTCTTCCTCTTCCGATTATCCGTTGAATCTGTTGGCTGTTGACTGTTGGCTAGAGTGTTCATCAGCTTGCAGCCGTGCCCCATCGCAATTTCTTATAATAACATGGCATGACACTTCACATTGAAGCCAATCATAGCGAACAATAATCTATCTAGTGTTGCATCTTCGTTAGGACCTTTGGCCAAGTCCTGACTCGGGACAAAGGCTTCACTATTGAAAAGAGAGAGAGAGAAAAAAAAAGGGAGGGGGGAATGATCCGCCATATTCTACAGTACCAACTTTAAACACAACGGCGCTATCCTCTCGTGATGGGTTTGGAGTGAACTAATAGCAGCAAAGTGAAAACCTATGTTCTTTTCCTGCGGCGAGTCTGGCCCAACCCAGACTCGCCGCAACGCGCGGAAAGGAGTGGGCTCTTCGGAGCTTCAAGTACGTGCTAATACATTACGGTAATGTCCTCTCGTAATATGCATGGGGTGCACCAACAGCAGTAGAGTGGAAATATCCATGTTCGCCTCCAATGTAAGCCCCCTTTGTTATTTTCGTTAAGGCATCAAGCTAAATCGTAACATTCGATTAATTGCCTCGCGAAAGTGCCCACTCTAAGACGGATAGCATCTGCCGCCGTGAAGGGCGGTTAAGCGGCTGGTCTGGGTTTTTGTGAACACAGACTTGAAGCCTTCATCAGCATTGTTACGGACAGGGCTTCCCCTGCGGCTCGAGTGCTGGGGGGTGATCTTGGCGTCACCGTCGGCATGAGGATAAGCGATTACCAGCTTGCGGCCAGGCAGCACCGTGGCGGCGCCGGGGCAAAGATCTTATGGGACCAGGTGCCCATGTAGGGCTGCGCGTGTGGGCAGTACACTGGTCTGAGATCATTCTTTCGGATGCTCGAAAAGGCATATGCGGCACGGCCAGCGTGAGTACGGAAGACCTGATTCCTGAAACACCTGCGTTCTGTTTCGTAGTAGCTAATTATTAGCCACATTCATTCACAATTGTCACGGGGCACTATGGATGTCTAGTTTAGGCAATTTAGTATACAATTAAAATCTTGTTTGAGCACTTGCGCTCGCTTGATGATCGGTCTTGGAACCGCTCTTGATCTTTCTTTCGTCGTGGTACGAAGGCGCTCAATGCTCGCGAGCACGCAACCGTTTCCGATCTTACTCACGTTGTCCGCCCACCTCCCGCCAACTTACTCCTTTTTTCAATTGATTAAGAGTTGTCTCTAGAAATGCTCCAGGCTAAGTTATGCATCAAAAGGTCATGTTTTATATTATTCAGAGGAAATCAAGTCTACAAATCTGTCTTGCATTAGTACAACTCCTAAACACCTTGTTCAATTAATCATCTCATCTAATAGGCCATCTTGGTCTCAAGCTGAGATCGACTCTTGGGATAATGAATGCCTTGACATCCAGCAGTTTCTATGCATGTTGTTGATGTCTTTACTTCACCTTGAGCCGAACGGAGTGGACCGCCGGATATTTATCCTGGACGTTCTTTTGCATCGACGCCGCCCGGATACCGACCGGTGAGAAACACAACTCGCCAAGGCAAATGCTGGTTTATTTGTCGGACCAGGTATATTCCGGAAAGTAGGTAGGGACATGTGAAATTGGAACCACTGTGCCTGCTTGGCAATAATTAGCCAAGAACTAATTCGCAGTGAATCCGACATGTGGCCTCGGCCTAACCGCCGACACAAATCCGCCGCATAACTGCTATTACCCGGCATCGGCCAACTTCATTTACTCCATCGCGTAATTTTACTACCGCGGGGTTCTGCATCAGCCTGCGCTTGAGACTCTTGTTATCACGGTTTAAAAGTTAATTACATCGGCACAAGGAAACATGGGGAAAATTGCGCAAATCGAGTACTTTCGTGTCCCGCCGAGATGGCTGTTCGTCAAGATCACCGACGATGCGGGCAATGTGGGCTGGGGAGAAGGTAATTGATGACTGCGCGAGACTGAGAAAAGATGAGCTAATTAAAGAAACAGCGTCTCTTGAAGGCCATACCCAGGCCGTGGAAGGGTGTCTAGATGCTTGGATTTCTCAATACACTGGAATGGAGGCAGAGTAGGAATCCCATGGAGTGGCAACGAGAGGGGAGATTTGAACAAAGCTGACATGTGCTAGTGAAATCGAGCAAATCTGGCAAAAGTCATGGAGAATGGGATTTTACCGTGGCGGCCCTGTCTTCATGAGCGCGCTCGCAGGTATTGACATCGCGCTTTGGGATCTCAAAGGTACGAATAATGCCGCTAGCGTATTATCCGAGGGCTTGCAGGCACATTTACTGACATTAAATCATAGCGAGGAAAATTGGGCTTCCCATCTATGAACTCCTGGGCGGCAAGGTCAGGGATACCATCAAGGTCTATGCGTGGATTGGAGGTGACAGACCCTCCGATGTCAAGACCCAAGCGTAGGTCATAGCCCAACCTCCTCCTTGGATGCACCGGATGGACTAACTGCTTCTCAGGCTCTCTCGAAAGGCACAGGGATTTACCGCAGTTAAGATGAATGGGACGGAGGATCTTGGCTGGCTTGATTCACCATCCGCTCTCGACGCCTGCGTTGAACGGGTACAGACAGTCAAATCGACAGGCATGGACGCCGGAGTAGATTTTCACGGTCGTGTCCACCGGCCGATGGCCAAGCAGCTGGCTACTCTTCTGGCACCGCACCGCCCAATGTTCATCGAGGAGCCCCTTCTATCGGAGCACATCGAGGGGATTAAGGAATTCTCACGCTCGGTGAGCTGCCCTGTCGCATTGGGAGAGCGTCTTCACAGTCGCTGGGATTTCAAACCATTTCTCGAAGCCGCTTGCGTGGACATCATCCAGCCGGATATCTCTCATGTAGGAGGAATCTCGGAACTTCGGAGAATTGCAACCATGGCAGAGGCGTACGATGTGCCCATCGCACCTCACTGCCCTCTCGGACCTATTGCACTGGCCGCCAATATACAGGTGGACGCAGTGACGGCTAATTTTGCTATCCAGGAGATGAGCCTTGGCATTCACTACAATACGGGGGGACATGACCTCTTGACGTACATCAAGAACCCTGAAATTTGGGATGTCAAGGACGGCTATATCCAACTTATGAAGGGGCCTGGCTTGGGCATCGAGATAGATGAGGACAGAATTCGCGAGCTGAGTAAAGGTGCTGAGCCTTGGGTTAGCCCTGGGTTTGTAGGTCCCGGAGGCGAGCTTCGTGAATGGTGATTATGTATATAGTTTATGGGGTAGATTTCAATGAACATGTATACTTAAGGAGCAACTGATACTGGCGCGGGAGAGGGAGAAGGGGGGGGGAGGATAAGTGGCCAACTGCAGAATCCTGCCCTTTACTTTCATCGATGAGGAGGAATCTTATTATGCTGAAATTGGGACCATACAATTTACAGGCAAACAGGGTATAGGTTGTTGCATAAATGACAACCTGGTAGGCATACATCAATGTTTAGCCCAGGACAGAACACGAGGCTCACAAATGTTTCAGTTATTCAGGTCAAATGTGCCCATAAAAGATAGGATGAGGATAAAGGATTTTGGAAACAAGATAAATTGACTTTTGAGGGCTAAAGATTGTATGCAGGTCAGCTAAATATCGTACAATGTTCGATTCCCCTTCTCCCCGAATGAGTGGCAGTATGCTGAGCGGCAAGGCCGACTAAGCATCCCATCCTATAATACACATTTTTTCTGGATCAACAATCTGGATCTCCCCCCAACCCTCCATGTCAGCATCAGCATGTAGGGCAAAATCAATATCATCGCCCTCAATTGTCGAGTCATGGATATTCACCGAGGTCTGAATATCTATTTCTTCTTCCCCACACTGACAGGGATGGTGACAGGGATACTTCCGATCTCATTACAGTTGAGAGCTTGGATATTGATAAGCGAGCCCTAAGTATTCGTCAGTATTCAGTTCCACTTAGAGGGGCATCTGATCTCGGGTTAATGGGCACACTTACAGGTGAAGAGTTGGTCTGGCAGCAGTAGACGGTGGCGGAGTTGGTTTGACTGCAGCTCACAGAGTTGCTGGAGCCATCATTTGATCCCTGGGCGACGTAGCAGGCGCCGCTTTCACAGCAGACGTTCGATTCGTTAGGTCCACATTGTTGGTTATTGTTTTGGGTGTTGGATGGCGGCGTAGAGCCACCGCCGCCGCCGCCGCCACCACCACCACCGCTGCCCCAACCACCACCGCTGCTACCGCCGCGGACCTCAAACTCGGCTGGAGCAGCAAGAGCGAGGGCAGCGAGGCCAAGAGTGCTAGCAGCGAGGGAGAACTTCATGTTGACGGATAATGGATAAGTAGAGGCGTGGAGTTTGTTGGTGAGTTTCAAATTGAGTCCAGTAGTTGGAGGTGAGGTTGCTCAGTGAGTTTGTGATGCTCCGAGATAGAAGGGTTTGAATTGAGTCTGTAGTAGTTGGATCTAATGTTTTTCAGTGAGTTTGTGATGCTCTGAGATAGAAGGGAAACTGGAGGGAGAGTCGAGCGAATTTATAGATGTCTGAGACTCTAACAAGCCCACATCGAGAGCCAACATCCGGTTCAGTGATGCCGTTGGTGCCGTGTGAGAGACTCGAATTCATCATTGACCCATGATCAGAGAAACGTCTCAAGCTTCTTGCCATGCTATGCTTGTAGTCCATTTCACAAGAGGCGCCAATGTTTGATGATGTGGCCATTTTCATCAACAAATTATGAGGGCCACCAACATCACCGGCATGTCACCACTGTTTACACTATCGTTTTGAAAGCTTCCCAAAAGACCAATAGCGCGAAAGGAATATTTTCTCCGTGTTTAATGCAACTGAGACTAAGAAGACGCCCAATTGTGTCACTGAATGTGCTCTTTTGACGAATTTTAGGATGTTCCATTTTCTAGCTTGATGCCATGCTCTAGTGTGGAGAATGTGGCTTGTATGCTATGATTTTTCTTTTGCATGACCACAAATAATCTAAGATCTATAGTAACCTGATATTGCAGCCTGATCTGAGCAGGTCTCACCAAAAATCATCAACTGTGCCAATGGAGGCCTCCCTTTTTGTAGTTGCTTTCTGGCTTTGTCCCTATCTCTCGTAAAGCGAGTTGGGCAACTAGTTGCCCAGGTTTTCATATACAGGGGGGGCAAATGGAACTTACCTAAAGGCAATCTATCAAAGCCACGTAAAGGCTGTTTACAAAAGGTAATTTTCACGTAGCTCAGAGCGAAATATCGAGGAGGGCATGATCGTATTCGGTGTTCTCCTTACTTGTTGTCCTTGCAGCGAGAATCAACATGTCCATATGAAGTCATGTTTGAAGCCGTTTCATCATATCAGTATTAGACTAGCCGCTAATTGGATCAACAGGCAAGCCAAAGCTAAGAATAGCCCGGAAATGATGAGTGGCGAAGGACTGCCCTACCAACCCAAACCAGGCTTGATTCAGCCAAGGCTCAGCCTATTCTCCACGTAACTTCCAATCAACTTGAAGTGATATGTTCTGTCACATCTCATCAGATAAAAACTTAGGAGCCACAGAGATCACGACCCTGAACGAAGGGATGACGTAGTTCCCTAAACCCATTATTTCCAGGGCACCCGGAGATTTTATGCGAGTCCCAGATGGAGGGGCTGCTTTTTGTGCGAAATGACGATGAAGGCGGAACACATGACATCAAAAGTTGACGAAGATTGAATTTTCCCGAGGCAGCCCTCTACCTGCGATTTCTCCAAGGATGATGCTTAGTGAGGTTTGTGGTATTCACGAGGGCCTTCTGTTTCGAGCTACCCGAATGGTACTACGGGCCAAGTAGCTTAGCGATGACATTAAATGAATTCATTAACATCAAACCCTCAGTATAGGGAATGCGTGAATTTGTTGTTGATCAACAGGCGTTACATCCCGCTTCGGAGAAGGGATATGGGCGATCATGCCCCAGCGACTAAACTTTCGCCGTGTGAAGGGCCCCAGCGCCTTCAGTTCTGGTCCAAGGTTTTCCAAATAGGGATCGGATTTTCCAATTGTGGTGCGGGAAGCGCGGAACTGGAATGCTGGCTGTGTGAAGATCCTAGGATCGACAGCGCTATAGAGCTGGTATCATTTAAACTAACAACTAGCACGAAAGAATCTGGGAAGTTTCTTTACTCATCGAACGGTAGCCAATAAGCCTCCTTGGCCTCCAACCATGGGAAGTCTCGGGACCACTGCATCGAGCGGGAGTAACTCCATCCGGCGCACTACCAATACGAATGTGGCGATGGTTGAGCGGATTAGGAACCCAACCAACCAGTTGAGAAAAAAATGGCTATTGAAATTTCCCATTACTTTCTTCCCTCGGCACGAAAAAGGAAAAAAAAACACAAAGTGCTCTGGGGGGTAATCACTCTTGAAAGGAAGTATCTGCTTGAGCGCGAAGCGGTTGCCCACAACTTGAATGAGACCATGTTAGCCGTAAGGTGAATTCCGTTTGTTTTTTGTTGTTTTTCTTTTTTCCTCGGGGTGCCTGATTAGCTAAACTAGGAGGATATCTAGGATCCGGAACCAGCAGCATCCGTGAAGAGATGGCACCAGAGTTCACCATTTCGCCACAAGCATATATGCACCAGGTGCGTCTCAACGACACTAACCTAAAAAGAATTAACGAACAATTGATTTTATCTCATTACGCACCTTTGGAGGAACCATCTACCCGGAGGATGGCCCCTGAGAACACATGTAAGGCAAGCGGAAAGGAGGGGACCCCTGGCAGTTGATGCAGTCCCTCGTCATCAATCCCCATCCTGAGGCGACTCGGATTTTCTTGAGGCCACCATTTTCCTGAAAGAAAACACGCCTCTGCAGATCACAGAAAGCATCACATTTCAATACGTAGTCGAAAAATTCGGAGTGCTGATCTTTTCGAGGACGAGCCACTAACATGACAGGCCGATGCAAAATCTCCATGTTATTGCCTCTGCTTTCCTCGTTTTCCATCCTTTTACGACGGATGATCGCCCTATCTAAGGGGCGTCCGCGCGAATCTTGTTGATTTTTCGCTGCTTGGCACGAACTAATTCTTGTTTACACTACGTCAGGAGGTTGAGCGGCTGAGTAGGGGAGGAGGATGCCTGCCCTACCTGGCGAGCGCGTCAAGAAGGGGTCAAGGCGATAACTAGGAAAATGAATTCGGCATTCACCTGCCATACTGTAGTTCCTACAGTTCGTTAAGGTAGCGACGGGACAAAGAATGAAGCCATTATTAGTAAGTGAGGATGACAAGGCAGCACGAGGGCAACTCTACTTGCCGTTTTAACTCAAGTACCGTTGTAGATAAGATTGAGCTGATATTTCCATCAAGAAGACCCAGCTCAAGATGTGCGTGTATATCTCTAAGAAAAGGGGGAAAAAGAAATAAAGAATTTTAAAGCTGTAGTAAGGAATGCACGAGCCGTTGGTAACGTCATGGTGGAGTGTTCATCATTCCGCAGAGTCGGTGATTCGCTCTACCGTCATGTCAAATGTTGTTGAACTGAAGATGTATATGATAAATAACAGCGATATTCAAAATTCAGACTATTACATGAGTCGATTGAGTGACGCTCTTCCAGCAAGCGAAATATCTTTGGAGTGCATCTCAACGAGAGTTTGTTTTTCCATCATCTTACTGTTCTGAATCCTCTGAAAGGTATCTCGACCAGCTGCAGGTTCTGTTGGCCGTGGTAAGGCTCACATAGTTCTACCTCTCCGCCCCAAACAATGCGCGCCCATACAATCTCCTATGGTGCCCGAGGCTTTTGACCGTAAACGACCGTGCTACAGATATCCTGGGTTAGCTAGCAAGAATCAGAGGGGCTTTGTGGTTTATCTGATGTTCGCTTACATTGGCCAATAAGCGTGGATAGTGGGATCCCTCAATTCCCGTTCGACACCTTCAAGTAGCGTATTCATCTCCTCTGGGCTCCAGCCTAGGATCCGGGTGAACACAGCAGCGCTCAATCCTTGGAGACCAGAGCTAATATTCTCGTAACACCATGATCCTATATCCGAGACATCAGTAATCGATTCACTATTAGAATCTCCCACGAAAGAATATATCTCAGAACAATAGCGGCAGGAGAGATCAAGTAATTGGCCACGATGGAGGATGGATGAAGTAGTTCTTACCGAGTTCCTTGTGCTTTGGGTCTCTAGGCCATCGATTTGTTGGCCATTTATACATAACCTTTTTAAGATTTGCGAAGCCGGCAGCTTCCATCTTTTCATAGTAGGCCTGATATCCTAGAAACGATCTGTCGATTTTGCTGGTGCCTTCAATGAAGAGGTCAACCCAACGAGATAGGAATCCGTCCTTCTTCAGAGTACCATCATCGCACGTCACAGCACCAATGTCCATTATCTCCATGTAGCCGCCGGGGTTCAAGTTCGTATAGGACTGCTCAAAGTAGCGCGACCAGTCCGATATGGAACATGTCATGTGGCGACTGTAAATAAAGTCGAATTTAGTGTTATACATCCACTGATCCTCAACATCATCGACCTGGAAGGTGACGTTGGGCGGTACAAATGGGCTTTGGATAGGACTTAAATCGACGCCATATACTTGAGTCTCAGGATTCTGTTCGGCAAAGTCGAGAGCCCAAGTTCCAGTTCCGGTGCCGAGATCGAGGACGTTGCGCAATGGGATCTCACCATCACGGCCTGCGGGGCAGATGTAGAGCTTATTATCCAGTGTGCGCAGACTGAGGTGATGCTGAAGGTCGAGGCGCTCCTGTTCAGATTGGTCATTAGGCAACACGTACTTTCCGTCTTTATATGCATGGTAGGTGCGGCCATTTTCCTCATGGTAGCGGAGGATGCTGCTGTTTATGGAGGCGGTAGAGCTCTCCGAGTCGGTGCTCTCTCCTGCTAGATTGTTCTCTTCCTGATCAGCCTCTATGTATCCCACGCCATCAGGTTCAGATTCCTTGGCTGGCGCGGACATTATTTTTCAGGAAAGCTTCTGTCGAGTCAGAAGGGCAATCAAGTGCTTGAGGTGGTAGGGCTGCCTCTGGTGGTCAATAGATGGGTTCTTCGAGTGAGATGACCGAGAACAAGGCGGGGAGGGTAAATTAAATAAAGGATGATGTAAGAGTAAGACTTGTCATATTGTTGTCAGCTGCGGCTGGGCAGCTGAATATAGGATGTTGCATGGGGTGGATTATGGGTGCACATTCAGGTACTGTGCTTGGTTCTTTGAGAGGGACACGGATCTGATCATCTTGGGCCATAAATCCACAATTGGCGGGGTTAATTGCTATTCTCCCTTGGCATTGACATTAATCAAGCTCCTCGATATACTCTCCACAGAACGACAAGTCTTCACTGGCCAAATCTCGACGCCTTTGCACGACCACAGGATAGATGCAGTAGCACCATATCCCGCAGTGGTTCTATGGTACTAGTGTAGAGCTATACTCTGCTTATTGGGTCTGGGAGGTAATACAAGCATTAGTTTCTTATGATCTGTTTAAGGGCTATTGGCTGGGCCCGGGGATTTTGAGCGTGGTTGGTTCGTCGGTTGTAAGCTCTTACAGAAGTCCCAGCTAAAGATCGTTCGTACCAAACAATCAATGAAATAGTGCCCAAGAAGTAAGAGTTTTTGATAAGATACAGCCTAGCACACATCAACGCTGTACTAATATGATTAAACCAAAAACAAGTTGACTTCATTGGTTGAGGTCATGAGAACTACCATTCGACCTAGGATCCGGTTCCTACCCATCGCGGACAGCGGGCAACCATTCATCTGACCTGCTTATTATTGACTTCAACCTGTTTTACATCTTTCTATCTGGTGCTGCGACGATTTCTTTGTATGAATAATCACTAAATGGTGATGCCGCTCTTTCCCTCTTTGTTTGCCATCCTTGTTGCTTACTTTTTCGTTGCTGGGGATGAAAACTGACTCTCCGACTGCGGAGAAGCTAATGAAAGGAGGATCCAAGAGTTATAGGCTAACAAAACCTAGAATATACTATGATCTGTTTGAGTAGCTGATCATGTCTATGCGATGGATTGAGTAGGGCTGTTTGACTCATGGATCCGGACGACCAAGGTCATACTGATGATAGCACTTTGAAGCACCTAATTGCGCATGGATCACCGTTATGTAAATATCACTGCCTATCTGTTTTCTCCAAGTTTCGAAATTAGGCTTGTTGGCCGTTTTTTTTTCTTTTACTTTCCCTTTCAATATCTGGGAGCCTAATTCGAGGATAAAGAGAAAGAGAAAAAGACTGAACTAATAAATGCGAATCGGGATCTTTGCTGCGTATTAAGATTAATTTTTTTTACACTCAATCTTGCTTGACTTCTGGGCGACCCCGCTCAACGATTTATTGCCTGGTTCGCCGAGGCGGAAAGTCAGTTCATAGACCAATAGTAAACCGCGAACGTAATAGGCAGCTGGAACTGAACCCTGGCGCAGCTGAAAATCGGCTAGACAATCAACGTCGCATCATAACAGCCGCTACGATATCACTCATCTTAGGCAACATGAATCGAATATCAGGTATCAGGTCCCCGGATTATGTTCGATGACTTCAATTACTACTTTCCGCATCCATGACCTGCCAGTCGAGGTCTTGAGCCTTATCCTCGGAAGCTTCCCCGGGGAGGAGAGCAGGCACGAATTTCCCTTCTTTGAACTCCGCCTCGTCTGCCGCCTATGGAATAAAATTGCCTCGCCGCACGTGTTCCGCACAGTTCAACTCGGGCGCGGCCGCCGCACATTCCAGCGCTGGAGAAGGCTGTTGAGTCGCAAACGAATCAGAAAACACATCCAGCATGTCCGCATAGATTGCCAAAACGAGTACCCTCCATACCACGAGATCGTCAAGTGGAAGTGGCATTTCGCCAGGGCTATTGACCGGCTTAAGGACCTGGAACAGCTCAACGAGCTCAGTATACACTTCGAGAAGAGCTGTGACTTGGAAGGATGGCGTGAGGGCGTCACTAGCAATTTCAGATCATTCTTTGCCACGGGTGCGCGAATATGGATACTGAGCAAACTCGCTGCAGCCCTCAAAGAGCGTGCCGTCAAGGTGCCAAACTGCAGGCCTGTTCGCTCATTGACCATCTACAATCTCCAGAACTTTCCAGCCTGGAATATGGGGGGCTTTGACGAGTCTACAGATATCTCGTTCCTGGCTCACAGTCTTCGTGAGCTGGACTTGACCTTTGTCTCCGAGAATTACACAGAGATCGACTTCTACGACCATGGCGATTGGGATCTCGGGAAGGTGAAGCGCTGCCAGTTCACACCGTACCTTCGCCACAACTGGTTGGTCCCTGCCATGGATTACTTAACTTCGCTATCGATCTCTTCCGTCGAGCGCTGGGGAGCAATACCATCTTACTTTAATGGAAAGGGCCTGGAATTTCCCCAACTCAGAAGCTTGGCTCTGGCGAATTTTGTCATCGGCCACCACGACCATTTTGACTGGGTCTTAAGACAAAAGTCACTGCGGTCGCTTTATCTCCTTGACAACGCTATCCTCTCTTATATCTTCCATGATGGAATCATCAAAAAACAGGCAAATATCCCTATTCACGACTGGATTATGCTTGGGGACTCTCAATACTACTTCCCTGGGACGTGGGAGGCATTATTTGATCGAATAAGTGAAGAGTTGCCACGCCTAAACGATTTTTGGTTCTGTTCAGACGCTGGTGTCTACCCTCCTCAGCCTGGGAAGCTCTGTCACGTAAGATATATTTCATTTCATTCTTGCGAGCGTCCTATCTGGAACACTGGTGCTCGTACGGATGGAGATCTCGAATGGGATTGGACTACAAACAGGGCCAAGAAAACATTTCGAGGGGATGCTCGAGCGTATGAATCTTTACTTCAGAAGGTTATCAAGCGCTGATGTAGGCCTGAATGGTTTTCAGGTGAAGAAATGATAGTATAAATATATATATTATTTTTTTCGATCCGTGTTCTTCTCCAGGTAGGAACAAGAACAGCTGACACCAACGAGTTGTAGAGCCCCAGGTGTGTGTTCCATACCTATATCTCACTCAATAACATTGAGAACCTAATAAATGTACCTATACTCAGGGTTGTAATCGCCCAACCTGTCAATTTGCTCAGGAGTCTTACCCTCAAGGATGTGATCCCTCTCTCCCCTATCGCGCTTCTTGTTCTCACGGCGAAGCAAAAGAGAAGCCAACCCAAAAAGACACCCAGATGCAAAGACAAACCCGAGAGTTGCGCCGTGCCCAAGCTTGTACTCTGGGCTATCGTTGGTACGATATAGGAAAGCGGCATAGATTCCCGCGCAGTTGCCAACCGTCATGCTTGTTCCCTGACCGGCGGCACGTTTGAAATGACTGGGAAGGTTGTTTGGCATCCACGAGATCGGGATACCGACGGCCACGTACAACCCGGCAGCCACGATGACGCAGCCGGCATATTGTGCACCGGCGCCATGCTGAGGCGTACCGAGAAGTATGGCGTACCCGAGGCAGGCAGTGAGACACCCACCGACGGCAAAGATTCCACGCTTGCCAGTCTTGTCCGAGAAGTAGGCAATGCAAAGATACACCACCGCGCCCGCGGCATAACAGGGGATGGTGAGCAGCTGGGTGTGGATGCCGCTGTATCCCAGTGCGCGGATGATGGTGGGCAAGAAGGTGCTGTAGCCGTACAGCATGACCGTGACGCCGTGTTGCGCGAGGGCGATAGTCCAGACCTTCCAGTCCTTCCAGGCCTCGAAGCACTGCTGCCAGTCAATCTTCTTCTCGTCGCCTGCAAGACCCAGTGACGTGCCGTCCAGATGAGAGCGGATCTTGCAAAGCTCCTTCTCCCGCTCGGTCAAGTAGTTGGTGCTCTGCGGATCGTTGGACAGGATAAAGTATGAGGCGATACCAAACAGGATTGTGGGGATGCCTTCGAGAATCATGAGCCATCTCCATGCCCTGAATCCACGGACTCCTTCCATGAATCCAATGGCGTAGGCGAGAAGGCCACCTGTTGACCCCGAAACCGCAGAAGCAGCAAAGAGAAAGAAGATGCGCAGAGCAAGCTCTCGCCGTCGGTAAAAGAAGGTCAGGTAGAAGCAAATAGCAGGGAAGTATCCCGCCTCGAAGAGGCCCAGAAGAAGTCGGAGGGCGATCAACTGCGTCTTATTCTGCACAAAGCCGATGCAGAGAGACACAAGGCCCCAGCCAAGAGCTGTGGCTGGGATGAAGCGCCGCGGTTGGACCATCTTGAGGAGCAGGTTGGCTGGCATCTCGAAACTGACGTAGGTGATGAAGAGAAGGGAGACACAAAGTTGGTAGTCTTCGCCTTTGAGCCCTAGATCTTCCTCGAGGCCGTAAAGACGAGCATTGCCTGCACGAGAGTTTGTCAGCCTGTTTGTCACATCTCGTGTTTTGAAATCAGTTGCTTACCAATGTTGACTCTGTCGAGGAAAGACAAAATGTACAAGGCGATCACAATTGGAAAGATGTGAAGATCCATCTTGCGAACCATAACGCGTTCCTCCTGTGGAGTCATGCCGTAGTTCGTGACATCGCCGTTAGCGAATTCAATGTTGTGTGCATCGAGTGTGACTTTGAGGTCCGAGCCCTCTTTGACACTCTTGTTAGATTCAGCGCCCATGTTTGAGATGCTTTCTTTGCCTATTGCAAATGTGACAATTGACAACTTGAAGGTGGTGATCTGGAAGCCCATTCACAGGGATACTTTCAATGGAGGGTGATTCTTATACAAGGTTACCAAGAGAAGAAAGACTCATAGAAGTGCCGTTGGGACCGAGCCCAGATGCCATAGCCAGGACTGCATCGTGTCGCCTGTGCGGAGGCAGAATCTGGGGAAGAGAGACCGTCCTGCACCAACGTCTGGGGCGAGGTGATCTCAAGTTGGCTAGCCCTTGCGGGGATGCGTGGACCATTGATGAGAGCCTCCACCCACATGACTCAACCTGAATTTCCCACATGGAGTTTGAGTCTGGTAGGCTACGGTTGCGGTTACGGTGGTTGTTGTTCGGCTATGGTGAAACCGCCGGATGTGGGGCAACCATAACCGAGCTCAACGAGGTGGAATTGCTCATCCAGGCTGTAGAGGGCTAACTGGGAGAGGTGAAATAGATTCCGCGACTATTCTGAGACAGGAATGTTGGGAGTTAGGCTTGATCTTCACGTCGAAATCATACGACGAAGGCAGGTTCTCAGCCGATGGTAGTTTGTTACAGATGACCGAGTCCCAAGGATGGAATTTTCCCATTCCTATTTGATACTTGTAACATCCATTCATTTGGAGTAGAAAGATGATTAAACCGTTATAACAATCGTTTTAACAAGATAGTCAGTGATATATTAGCAACGCGGAAATCCGTTCACACTTCTTTTACAATGGCGCCGTATATTGGCATTGAGGAGAAACAGCAAGTAGGCGAATCCTCTACGTTGTCATTCCTCCAGAAAGACGACGAGAAGAATTTTCCAAAAGACATATCTCTCCCTCTGGTTGCTTCAAGCAATGCACCGCAGTTATTTGGGTGGCCCATTGCGAGTGAAAGTGGATATCGCATCAAAGAAGAGCCCATGGGCACCAGACGACCTTTGAAAACCATTGTCCTTGGTGCCGGTGCTTCTGGCATCAACTTCACCAAGACTGCGCAAGATAAACTCCAAAACGTGGAAGTACTTTGCTATGAAAAGAATGACGAGATTGGGGGAACTTGGCTAGAAAATGTGTAAGCCCTATGAGACTGTGTATCGTCCGACCACCAGCTAATGAAAATAGGTATCCGGGAGTTGCCTGTGACATTCCCTCAGTGTCGTACCAATTCACTTGGGAGCCTCATATCTGGCCCGAATACTACTCTTCTGGGCACGAGATCTGGAAGTATCTGAAAGGCATAGTTGATAAGTATCAACTTATGAAATACATCAGATTGAGCCACACGGTACGAGGTGCCGAATGGATTGAGAACATCGGTCAGTGGAAAATCTCAATCGAGGGACCTGATGGAGTAGTTTTTGAAGAACACTGTGACATTTTCTTGAACGGAGGCGGGATTCTCAAGTAAGTTTTGTTATTTATACTGCCATTTTGTCCTTTCACTTATTGGAGACCATAGCAATTGGCGATGGCCGGATATCAAAGGGCTTCATTCCTTCAAAGGGAAGTTACTTCACACTGCCCGTTGGGATCAATCATATGACATGAAGGATAAAAAGATTGCAGTCATTGGTGCTGGCAGCAGCGCCGCACAGGTCGTTCCCAATGTGCAGCCTCTTGTGAACGAGATGCATTGTTTCGTGAAATCTCCAACCTGGATTACTGCAGGCTTTGCGCAAAGATTCGCAGGGCCAGACGGGAGCAATTTCCAATGTACGTGAGGCTTATTAGGACTTGGAGGTTCGATGTTAACGCTGCTTTAGACTCCGATGCACAGAAAGATATTCTCAGGGAGCAGCCTAAAGCGTACCTGGAATACCGAAAAATGATTGAGGCTGAAATTGGCCAGCGATTCCGCTTCCTGATGAAGCGAGGACCTGAAGCAACTCAGGCTAGACAAGTACGCAGTTGAACAAGTCCAATGGCACCGATTGTTCACTAACGAAATCGGTAGTTTTCTGAAGAGGAGATGCGCATGAAGCTCAAGAACAATGCGGCTATTGCTGATGCCATCATCCCAAAGAATTTCCCCGTTGGTTGCCGACGTCCAACCCCAGGCGAGGGCTTTCTTGAGGCCCTTATAGAGGACAACGTGACAGTTCATACGAAGCAGATGCAGCAAGTTACAGAAGATGGTGTGATCACACAAGATGGAAGTTTTCATAAACTTGATGCTATTGTCTGCGCTACCGGCTTCGACACCTCCTGGGTCCCACGTTTTCCGATTGTGGCCTTTGGTAAGAACATGCAAGACGAATGGACCAAGGCAACCCCTCTGTCCTATTTGGCTGTTGGTGTTCCTGATTTCCCCAACTATTTTTGTTTTGCTGGCCCAGTAAGTGAACGCTTAACCTCACCCTGACAACACGGATGCTAATATGTGGTAAAGCACGGTCCTCTTGCCGTGGGCTCGTTGTTGCCCATTATCGAGCAGTTGACCAACTATATATGCAAGGTCGTCGAAAAGATGCAGATTGAGAATATCAAGTCCCTCGCTCCCAAAAGAGGCCCGTGTTTGGCGTTCAAGGAACATCACGACCTCTACGTGGAACGAACAGCTTGGAGTGATCCTTGCTCCTCTTGGTTCAAGAAGGGCGACCCCAGCGGTACTCTGACGATGTACCCAGGGTCTCGCGTTCACTTCTTTGATCTGTTGTCTCAGCCGAGATATGAAGATTTTGAGATAAACTATATGAGTAACAATCAGTGGGAATTTTTAGGAAATGGCTTTTCCTCGAGGGAGTTTGATGGGCGCGATACTACGTATTGGATGGGCTTGTTGGACGAAGTTGACGAGCAGCCGAAGTTTAATGAGCAAATTTTATCCACGCCGGATGCTTTGTAGGCAGAGGGGCAGACATAGACAGAACGAAGATTGCATATTTCCAATGATTTTATTCGCCTCAATGTTACTTGCGCTTGCCTCATATGGATGCAATGATGGAAAAGGAGAGGGCACAAGAATAAACCCTTAGCCTTTGATTCGCAATGTCCCCCCTAATCATTTTTGAGAAGGGGAATAGAAGATGTCTTTGAACAGAATGCCATCAAGAGATGAAACGAGTAATCTCATCTCACTATATCTAGAGTTATATTTTCTATGCGTATACTCACAGAGGTTCTAATAGGTAGAGTATTGGAGAATGCTTAATCAATTAGATCTCATAACAAACTAAGGTAGTTCTAGTCTTTACATGCTGTGTGCGCCACCGTCTAAGAAAATCCTCGCCCCATTTACATAGTCGCTTGCTCGGCTTGCTAAAAACACAGTAAGTCCCTTGAAGTCTTCTGGAGTTCCCCATCGCCGTGAAGGAACACTGCTGATAATTTTGGCATTTGCTTCTTCATCGTTAATGAAACGCTGAGCGAGCGCAGTCGCGATCCATCTAGTGTCCGTCAGCATGCAAGAGAAAGAAATTGTTGGCCTGTTTGATAAACTTACCCAGGATAAATAGCGTTTACTTGGATATTGTATGGACCGAACTCGTTAGCAAAAGCATTTGTCAGTTGTCCTACTGCTGCCTTCATGGGCCCGTAGACAGAAAACGTCGTCATCGCTTTGTGAGCTGCCAAGGAGCAGATATTGATAATCTTTCCTCCTCTCCCACGCTGAACCATATGCCGCGCAACGCATTGGGATAATACCCACACTGAATTAAAATTGATTTGAATTATCTAGAGAGAGTTAGCTTCAAGTCAACATTAGGCAGAGCAGGGCTATCCTACCGAATCCTTGTGCTCATCCGTCTCGTGCAAAATAGGTATAGAACCTGATGATATCCCGGCGACATTGCACAAGATATCAATCCTGTGTCCATCGTCAAACACTCTTTGGATTGTCTCTCGTAACATTTTCATGTCCCCCATGTCACAATCATATACCGAGACTCTGCGCCCAGTCCGTTCGGACAACTCTTGATGAAAGTCTGACTTTTCTCCGGGGATTTGGAAAATGACAATATCGGCCCCGGCTTCTGCCAGACCTGTTGCCATACCCCCACCGATCCCGCCGTTTGCTCCTGTCACCAATGCTGTCTTCCCGCCAAGGGCGAAAAGAGAGAGTGTGTGAATTCCGCCAGCGACACATGACCCCGGATTTTCAGGCGGGAGATCAAACTTGGGAATTGATGTTTTGGGAGCATTTGCTGAGCCGTTAGTTCCGCCATTAGTCTGCTGTTGTGGTAATTTATCTTGGTGATATCCGTTGATTTTGGCCTTTGCGAATTCCGTGGCTAGGCCATGGCCATTGGTTTCAACATCTGATGAAGGCATACTGATGGAGTGATAAGTTCGCAATTTGGATATTATAGGACCAAAGGAACCAACAAGAATAAATCTAAGAATCAGTATAAGAACTGATAGATGATGATAATATGGGCTTCAGGGGCGATGGGCTACTCTGAAAAGAGAGATCACGTTTGCCTATCTCGCCATGCTTCGCTGATCCTGCAGTCGCCCCATAAAATTGGCTAGACTGCGGAGTACATCCCCAGACTTCCCCTCAACCGGCCCAAGCACAGGGTCTTGTGACGGACGCAAGTTTGACCGTAGGCTATGGAGTGTGTACCATAACCGAGGAGTGGATAGCCTACGGCTCAAGGCTTGCCGACCAGCTCCCCGTAAGAGCTGCGAGGGTTGAGTTTGACCCCGCCGATGTGACGAATCATTATTGTAGATACATTGGCCATCGCACATTTTCAGAAAACTACTAAGCGGCACTTATAAGCAGGATTCGTCAGGACTAAGACCAGGACGACGAGCGAATCATCGATACTCAAGTCATCATTACAATTTAACTGTTGAACATCTACATACTCCAAATCATACCATCGCTGCCAATTATGTCGAAGTCTCAGTTCACACTCTACTCCACCGTCGTTGGGCCCAATGGTGAGGCAAATGAGGCCAACCCTCCCTAATATGCAAGCTCTAACCGGGATAAATAGGCTGGAAAGTCGCTATGATTCTTTCAGAGTTGGGGTTGACATATGATACCATTTTCTTAGATTTCTCCAAGAGTGGGTTGTTCTATGGATGCGAATGCAACGGTCGAAGAGAAACTGACACAGAAGCAATTAGAGGAGCAGAAGGCCCCAGAGTTCACGAAATTGAACCCTAATGGGCGAATTCCCGCTATTATTGATCATAGCAATAATGATTTTGTTCTTTGGGAATCCAACGCCATCATTGAATACATTTTGGCCAAGTATGACACGGAGCACAAGCTCTCTTACTCCGACTTTAACAGCCAACAATACCTGCGCCAATGGCTCTACTTTCAGGCATCTGGACAAGGCCCGTATTATGGGCAAGCGGTCTGGTTTATCAAGGTGCAAGGCGGAAAGCCCGAAGAATGTGTCGAAAGATACCAGGCCGAGACGAGAAGAGTGCTCCAAGTCCTAAATGGTGTGCTAGCCGAGCGTGAGTGGCTGGTTGGTGACCACATCTCAGCTGCAGACGTTGCTTTTCTACAGTGGAACACAAGCGCAGACAGGATCATCCTGGGCCCAGAGTATATAGATAAGGAGGCTCCTCATGTGAGACGGTGGATGAATGCTATGATAGCCCGTCCTGGAATCAAGAAGGTCTTGGATGAGCGGGTTCAGAAGCTTTCTGGCTAGCCATATAGAACATAATAGCAAACATAACTAGTTCTCAATTTCAAGTGAAACACAGAGCAACAGGCTAAAGATTACCCTGGGCTCGCTTCACCTCTGCCAAGCAGCTAATCTAGCACGCTATTTAATAGCTGCCCCCATTATGACCTCGGTGATCACATTGCCTGCTGCTAATGTAATGCAATGCCCGCTTCTCCGCACCAAGATGAGATGTTGAGTGTGGGGGAAAGGGATGATCGATCTCATTTCTCAAGGACACTCTTCTTGGAGCTCTCCTCCTGCTCTCGTAAAGCTTGATTTGGTCTTTACCCTCGCACCCCAACCTGGGATAGTCTCCGGCAACAAATCAGAACCATGCAAGATACTGACCCCTCTTCACCTAAGGTGCTGAAGAAGCGCCGGAGTCGCATAGCTTGCAAACGCTGCCATGACCGGCGAGTAAAGTGTGATGTATCCGTTATCGGCACTCCATGCTCAGGCTGCACCGCCTCCAACCTGGACCCTGAGTGCCAAATACTCAATTCAAGGCGCGTGCGAGGTGGAAATGGGCGATTTTCAACCCGCGATGGACCAGAAATGTCCCAGAGACCTCTCACACCACTCGAGAGCATCTCCGGGCAGACCGAAAGTGTAGGAAACCAGCCATCCCCAGAGGAGACTAAAGGCAGTGGTTCAGCTTCGCAGCCAGCACCTGCAGATGAGGCCGACATGTGGTCCAGGGTTGTTTCATATCAGACCAGGCTACCATCGGATGGCCAACGCGTTATTTACGTCGGCGAGCCATGGACTCTTGCATATGTCATGCAATGGAAGGGGCGGCAACGGCAGGGCATGGTTGATGTCGCCGGGTCTCCAAATGGGCTCTCAACTGAATCTCCAACTGCCATTCACGTCTCGGTGCCCATCGAAAATCAGACCTCACCCGACTCACAGCGGCAACCCCAATCCTCAACGGGTGCAGTTTCAACCGCCAATGCGTCGGATCTCCCTGCTGATATCCAACAGGCTCTTGTCAAATCATATTTCTCTCGGCACAACATTTTATACGCAGTCTTGGATAGCCGCCGCTTCAGCGAGCAGTCTCGCTCTCATACTCTTGATCCCTGCCTGCACCTCGCCGTTCTCTATGCTGGGGCACTTCACGTACCAGACCCTATAATATACCGGGCTGGCTTCGATAGCCGGCAAGCATGTCTTATTTCACTCTACCGGCGGGCGAAAAAGATCTTCTTCCAAAATGACGATGATGGCACGGTGGATCAGCTTTCTTATATTCAATCGGCCTTTTTACTGCACAACATGTGGCAGGGTCCTAACGCTACCTTGGATCCATGGACGTGGTTGGGACTTGCTATTCGTATGGCTCAAAATATTGGTATGCATCGGAGCACCCAGTCATCCTCGCTACCCGAGCCGGACAAACGCTTGTGGAAGCGAATTTGGTGGTGTCTTTACGTGAGTTGCAAAATGGAAACTTGCACTTTTTCAAGTGAGGTAGAGCTAACCAATAGCTATATGTAGACTAGAGACCGACAAATTGCAAGTGCTCTGGGGAAACCATTAATGATTCGGGATGAAGACTGTGATGTAGAACCTCTGACGGTGAGGGACTTCGAGGAAGGCGACTCTGAACAGACAAGATACTATGTGATCGAGCAGGCAAGGCTAAGTATTCTATGTGCGTCTCAATCCCTGAATTTCTTTTCTCTGCAGTATTCTGATCAAGGTCTAGTCGGTACTACTATATCCAAACTCTTTACTGTGTCTCCACATGATTCAGCCCAGAGGCATGCAAGCAGAGCCAATCTTCTGCAGCAAGTCAACAAGTGGAAAGACGAACTCCCGCCACTTCTGAATTGCTGGAGCTACCGAGGCCTCGACGCTGTTCCGTTTCAAGGGCTGTTATTAGAGGTTTTATACAAGTAGGTTGTTGTATTATCAACATGAACATCGAACCGATATTGACTTTCTGTAGTTGTCTAGTTCTCCTCATCCAACGAGGGCCACTGCGGACAGGTATCAACAATCCGGACTCGCAGGAGACATCTCGCATAAGCTTTGAGTCTTCTGTCGAGGCAGCGGAGAGGATTGCACGCGTAGCCGAAACAATCATGAACCACGGTTCCTTGACGGACTGTCCTCTCTTTTTGTAAGTTCCTGATCTTTCTCTTACAGCGGCGTGTGGCTGACCAATGTATACATGTAGCACCTCTGCTCTATTTGGTGCAATGACAATCCACGCTATCCGAGGACAAGAGGCCGAGCAGCAGCTTAGTCTCTGTATGATCGCCATGCGGCCACTATCCACGATGTATTTCGCTGCAGGCTGGATTCGCAATCTCTTCAAAAAGCTGAATGAAAAACGAGCCAACAGCGCAAGGCGTTCACGGCCTCCATCTCCCGTTCGCCCATCTGAGATGGAAACTGAACAAGCGACTCCTTCTTGCTCGACAAATGATCTACTTCACGTGATCCCAGGAAATGCATCGCAAATGTTGGAAAGCGACGTGCATAGGGAGAACAGTTGGCCTCAGTTCGATGCTTGGCCCCCAAGCGGTGCCTTCCCAGCCTTTGGTTTGATAAGTCGGAATGTGGGTGGGTTTCTCGACTACCCCACGATGCTTGACGGCGGTTTTGGAGGGATGGATCCTAATCTGGCAGATTGTTGGCAGGATCTACTCAATGTAGAGAATCCCTTTACTAGTCAAGATCAAACTCGTCAGTAACCGGCCTAGTATGGATCTAGAAGTCACTAAGCATACCCAGAAATCATTTCACGAGAAGCTTTATGGGACCGCATCCGTAGTTTCTTGCCGTTGATTACTTGGAATAATAAGACTATGGGGGAGTTGAAATCCTTTGGATCGGCATTGGGTCGGCAGTACGGTTCTCTGGGAACACGCCTCCATAGCCTATGGAGCCCAGACCCTCTCGGTTATGGAACCAAGGTTACAATCTAAATCCATCCTGGCATAGGCCAAGCTTGCTCTCATCATATTCCAATTATTTACAGTTGTCTAATACAGCACGGAGTTATGTCATTCCGACATCTCAACAATGAATACGAACCGCAAAATTAGGCTCTACTAGCCCAAGGCTGCAGCCATGTAGAATGAAAACTCTGTAAACCTTCATACTGATCACTCACTTGCCGTCGGTACGAGCCGCTCGTCAGACTCACATCGAATATACCTCTTTCACCTTCGAACACTCGTCTTCCATCACGTCAAGTTTAAATCTGGCTCATTGGTACCAAAATGCCCATCTTCACTTTGCCGGGGAGCTCACGAGCTTTGTCCTACCACCTTGACGAAAAGCCAAAGGGTGGTTCCGTCGTACTCTTGGCAAATTCACTCTGTGTCCCGTTCACCGTCTGGCACCGCGTCAGAGACGTTCTCAACCAAAATGGCTTCCGCACCTTGCGTTACGATCAGCCTGGTCACGGACAGTCGTCAGTACCCGACGACTTGAGCACAACAAGCTTTACGTCCTTGGCCAAGGATGCGCGCGACCTGCTGGAAGGGCTAAATATACAGCATCTCCACGCCTGGATTGGCGTATCTATGGGAGCCGCAACGGGGTTCTACTTTGTCACACAGAACCCGCAAGTGGTGAAAAGGTTCGTTGCTTGCGATACAATCAGTTGCTCTGCTGTGAATGCGGGGATTGACGATCCCTTTGCACCCAGGGTAGAATCCGTCCGAAGGGAGGGAAACGTGGACAAACTTATTCAAGGAACACTGAAACGGTGGCTAGGGAAATCCTTTTTGGAAAAGAACCCAGAAGAAAGTTCTCATTTGAAGGAGTTGATGTCACACATCAGTCTTGACGGGTTTGAAACTTGTTGTCACGCGCTAAGGAGTGAGTCGTTCGATCTCCGTCCACTATTTAGTCAAGTGGGCGCGAGTGTCGAAGACGCGCTCTGTATCGTTGGGGAGAAGGACGCCAATCTTCCGGAGACTATGAAGACAATGAGTGGAGAGATGGAGAAGGGTTTCAACTCTGCGGGTAGGCCACGCAATGTGGAACTTGTTGTTATCAAGGATGCAGGGCACGTCTGCTTCATCGACGGGTTTGAGCAATTCTGTCAGACGGTCCTCTCATTCCTGAACGCCTGAAGAGTGGGAAAGCAACCAGCCTTGGTCCATCGAACTCAAGTACTGAAGTTAAGAGCAAACGCTTCGGCATGTTCGCCAATGATTGTCTGGCCCGGATGCACCTAAACAGCTGGCTAGGCTATAGCGATGTGTAGTAATAGGAAGAAATTCGAGGCTTTTAATAGAGCAGGAGCGAATGCGATTACTCTGGCTTCTAACCTCGCTCTCCACTGATATATTTTGCCACGGGAGGGAAGAATGTGCTTATTGTAAGTAAGTCGAGCAGGTTTAGGCAGGCGTTCATCCTCTCCAGGTCCTCACGCTTCGCTTCAAGATTATCAGGTGGTCACTTTAGTAGAAGATGGATCAGTGTGTTAAGGAAGTTGAATTTTTTTTAGTCTTTTATGAGTTTAGCTACCCCATCACCATCCATCCGTCAGATGGACACATGGCGCGTCTTGTCTAGTAGAGACCGACAACGACATCACCCTTGACACGGGCGGTCAAGTGGACCTCGGCCTCGAGGTCGAGCTTGATGCCTAGAAGAAGGGCGGCATCACGGAGGCTACCATCAGCCTCGGCAGCACCCTTGATGAGTTGACCTATTTTAAGTGTTAGGATCGGTGATGAGATGACAATTCTGGGGGAGGGGGTGAAGAAACGTACCAGCAGGCTCGGAAAGGCCAGTGGAGGTGGGCAGAGGGACAACAAAAGGCTTGCCGGCACTAGAGGATCGTTAGAATCGATTTGAATATTTTTTTCGAGATAGATCTGTTTGTCGAAGACTCACGAAGACATGTTGATGGATTGGTGGGTGAAGAGGGTTGTTGGTTTGGTTGTTGATGTGGAAGAGATGAGTAGTGGGTTGAGGAGGAGAGTCAAAGGCAATGAACTTGAGCCTTCTTATACCTTATTTTCCAAAGGATTAGTCTAATCATTCTTCGTTTACTTTTCACTTGTATTCAGTGGCACAATCATGTGCATTGTCATATTTCTGCAAAAGTCGCATGAAACCCACGTATTGCAGCCGTCGCATAATTTAAAGCAATCAATTCTGCGGCGACAACACAACACCATAATCTCCCCTGCAGCAATTCGGAGCAAGGAGAGAACCCCCAAACTTTTACCCGACCCGGGGGAGCTCAAGGCACCACTCGTGGATGAATTTCATTCGCCACTTGTCTTTCATGCTGGAACGCTGTCCAACGGAGAAAAAGCGCATTTGCAGACATGAGATGCAGCAGAGGCATAAAATGAACACATCATCATGCCCCGCCCAATTCTAAGATTGGGGGGAATCTCCACCCGCAATGGTAACGCCGAACATCTGTTGTCCAATCAATGCCGTCTACTCAACGATGAGTGAGAGTCTCTCACGGGATTTTCAGGGACCATGAGATCAAGTGGGTAAGTAGGGCCTGACGCTGGCTGAATGAATGAGCGAAGCATTTATCTCAATTGTTTGTTGTTTGGAATCCAAATTACAACATGGTGTCTAGTTAGAAACATCAAAACATGACAACGAGTCCAAAACTTGAGCGTCCTTTGTAAATCCGACCCTTTCATGTAAAGCACCAACATTTTACATATTCCAAGGAGGGGATCACCTTTACTCTGTCCTAAGCCTGCCCGTCACCATGCAACTTCTCGTCGGAACTGGCACGAAAGTGCCATCGAGGCCGAGCCCGGGTGGTGGCACGTCTCCTTTCAGGCCAATGTAGATTCCCCTCTCTTCTGCCGCTTTAACGGCCTTGGGGAAATACCAATCGCCACCGGCAGTGTGTTGCAGAGATATTTGAATATAGCCCAGCATGACAGCCTTAAGATTGTCATATCGCGTCGACTTAATTGCTGCCTCAATTGCCTCGTCGACATATCCCAAGTTGTCGCGATTGCCTCGAGCAAGCTCACCAGTCAACAACACACCGGCAGTTTCTTCAAAAAGGTTGAGCACTAAGATCTCCATCTTATTCGGAAGACAGAGTTGAAAAAGCCTATACAGTCGGTCCAAAAGCTCTTCTCGGGGCAAGTTCTCATCACTTTCGGCCAGGCTCATTTCCACACCGGGCCAGTCCAATTTAACCACTCGAAGGTCATCAAATAAGCGCATAACCTTTAGGTCTAAGCCTGGCATGAAGAATGGCCAGTCAGGGAATATGTCGGCGTCGAAACAAACCCGCTGTAGGGATTTGCACTGATGCTCGGAGAGGGCTTCGGCCAATGACGCCGCACTTCGTGAACGCTCCTCATGATCGTAAATGACTTGGAAGCGGATGGCGATATTTTGAAGTGCATGCGGCATCTTAGCTAGAAAGCTTATCAACTTTTTGCTCAGGCTATTTTCTAGATGATCAAGAATAATGGTCCGGACGGGTGATGTCTTGTCGAATGGGGCTTGAGGGCCGTTGGTGAACAGATCTACGCCCAGATCAGAAAGCTCAAAGTCTCCATCCAGGTGCGCGAAGTATACTTCAGACAAGTTCGGGAGACATAGTAGAGCGGCGAACTCATCTGGACCAGTATTCAATCTTCGATACCCACCATCGGGGGGGATAGAGACAAATACCTTTTCAAGCGTTTCCAATCCTGGCAGCCATGTCCCAGCAGCTTTGCACCAGTAGATATACTCACATAGCATCTCAACCCATGGATGCCTTTCTCGACCAGCCTTAGCACAGCGTATTGCCCTGATTCGCGGCAGATGGACCAGCATGAGGCTTTTAGTGATGGTCTCGCGGCCAGTCTCTAGCCCATAACGGACATGTTCGCCCCACTGCTGTTCGTCGGTCTTGGGAAAGAAATCCGGTACCTTCAGCAGTTCCTCGCAGAAGTAATCGATATCAAACTCGGGAGGCGACCAAGGAAGCGCCTCGCTCCTTTCATCGAGTAGAGCCTCGTCAGGGTTCGAGTCCACTTCTGAGTCCTCATCTATGTCAGAGTCCGCTTCCGAGTCCTCTCCCCAGCCAGGGTCCCTTTCGCCCCAAACCTCGAACTCCCTGACGTGCCACGCATCGATATGGGCGACGCCATGGCTGAAAACACTCCAGAGGAGGTTGAAAACGGTTATTGGGTCCAGATCTGATGTAATTCTAAAATTTCGGTACGCTTCGCGGTGAAGATTGAGAACACGTTCGCTGTTTTGATACAGGTACCGGCATGTTTGCGCAAGAGGCCAGTGGCCCGAGGGATGTGTCTGGTCAATGATGAGCTGCAAGATCTCTGCGGGCAGAGTGCTGAGGTGCGGAGCGGGATCCATGGGGAGGCTTGGACGTTGACTGATCCGGAATGAGTGGCAAATGAATAATCGTCAGAGTTAATGATAACTACTATCGATATCGTCAACGTGAAGTTAGGGGTTGATGCACGGCCAATGAACCATTCACCGGCAGATATGTTCAGTTGTCAACGCGCTCACGCTGTGGGCCAGCGTGGGGCGAAAAACGGAACATGGTAAACAACGTTGAACTGACCAAGAAGCCCTAACTTACCCTATATGACAACAATGCGAGGCTTGACAAAACGGGTGCATTGAAAGAAGATGAGGGTAGGTTTTGCATTCAGAGTTCTTACACACTTCTTGTCTTTGATTCTATCTCTAAGGTAAACATTTCTGGTTGAGAATGGAGAAATTAGTTGAGTAGGTAAACTAACGTCAAATTAACGTCAAACATTGAAATTTATCATCTTGCCAAACATAAGCATTAACCACAATGCAAACTGCAAACTGAAAATCGTTCATCTTTCCTCTTTTCCCCTATTCTCATCATTTTACAACGAAAATTTAAGGCTAACTATTACCAGGCCACAAATTCCCCACTCTCTTGTCTAGCAGCAACTTGGTTCATCAGCTCAAAGGTTGTCTTTATAATTCTTGGCTCCATTGACTCATTTATTGTTGGATTGTCCCCTCTAGCCGTAATTTGATTCCGCATATATTACACGGTTCCCCTATCTTCTCACTATCGAATAGCACATTGTAAGGTTTAGAGTACAAAAAGCTACATTGACCTTCCACCATTTGGATAGTATTGCCCATTCATGTCCTCGCCGCTCCACTCGCTTATCGGAAGTAAGGGCATGTTGGGTGCCAATGCAGCTGCTTCGAAAAATGAGTCATCTAAAGTGATGATTCGATCCATTTCGGAAAATCTCTGATCCATAAGAGCCTGTGAAATTTCCATCAAATCTTCTGGAGGATATGGGCTAGCTGCATTTATGGAATAAGATGATCCATTTCCCGCAGTGATATGGGTACTTTCATGAGTAGATGGGGTAGGTAGTGGTAGCTGGATCGTGGAAGAGCTTGGGGCTTGCCCAGATGAGGCATCTCGTAGGTGTGCGGATGATACTAGCTGACCGGTTGCATTGTCGAACGAGGTAGAGCCGATATTGCTCGGAACTAATGGAGCTGCATGCGAAGATTCCACGTCACTAATACCAAGATTGTGTGCTCGCCGCCTATCTCGATCGAGAATGTCGTTCGATGTATACGATGCTCCCGAGCAAAACAGATCATCTTGATAGTCAATGAGATTGACCTCAAAACTCGGTTGTGCTATGCATTTCTCATAAAGATTCCGCAAGTTTATTGCGTATTTGCCTGCAAGGTTGGGCGGAAGTTCCGCTCTGCCTGTTCTCGGGCCTTCCCAACGCCTCGACATATGCTCAAGGCTCCTGACAAGAACCCAAAATTCGGAATCGAGTTTCTTATTATTGTTTAGCCAGTGAACTGGGACCGGTGTCAGTACAGAGGCGCAAGGGTTCAAGTCAGACTCCCACTCACGAATTAGAAGTCGGGCACTAATGAACGTGCATAGGGCCATCTGAGGAGCCACAATGATTTCTTCTGGGCAGATGCTGAGCCACTTCTCCATGATGTTACTGGTCTTAGTAGCTGCTAGTCGACATGTTTCTGCACTACAAGCGCTGGGTAGAGGGACATTGTGGCACCATCCAGCCGGCGGGTATGCGATGCGATGATGAAGTAATATCATCGACGTGTTGTGGGTGACATGCGCAAGGGTCATGTTGTGGTCCAAATCTCTCGGTCCGGTGGAGGTATTCGGGGCTCGGTTTGGGTCGCTCCATTTTCGAGGAAGAAACATCTTCCAGCTAGGTCGATATGTTAGCTCTGCAAACGTACGAGGATCGAGATCACTTACTGGACCAGTTGGAGATCTAGTTCCTTAAATCGGGTCAACCAAGCTCGTACATCTTTCTGGTTGGCAAAGTTGACATCTTGGTGGAGTACAAATGTCGAAATCCGACGAAGGTATTCCGAGGCTTCGATGCAATATGCGAAGCCACCGAGCCAAGATCCGCCGGACGACTCGCTACTGAGTACCGGACTTCCAGCATCCACGGGAATGTCAGGTCGGGATCGATCACTGGTATGGGCAGAAGACTTGTCCATTTTCTGTTCAATAGTGTTAGTCTACTTTACGAGGCTTGGGACAAATTGTTTGCAAACCTCAACCCCGGGGCGACCTCCAATATTAAAGTACGGACACCCGACTGGCTCTTCTGCATACCAATAGCTCCCGTTGGCTGGTAACTTGAGATTTATTTTGCTTGTATCAATGATAGCATCCCATCTAAAACCGGTTAGACGTGAAAAGGAAGTGGCCAAGCAAGGGACCTCTCACCCGGTTGTGACAGAAAAGTATCTACTTGAACGGTTAGCGCTTGTATGGTCTTCGGTGGTAGGAGTTTCACCTACCTATCTAGATTAAAAATATTCCAGAATATCCTTCTCCTCTCTTCTTGCTCTACCCAATCGTCCGTCGTTGGGAGTGGACTCAAACGCCTTGTACTGGTTTTATTTCGTTGAGATTCTTCTGTGGTTAGCTGTAAATATTCGGCAGTTCGAGTCATCGATCCAATTATTGACCATGATCTATTTGGAGTTCCGTGACCAATCTAGGTCCTGTGTTAGCAAGACCAGGACAGAAGTGACAGCCTCGATCTGGAATTTGACAAGGCTTACGTCGGTGAACGCCAAGATAACAAGCGCTTGCAGGTTCTCGATATTCAGGTTATCCATGGCAGCAATAAGAACAGATTTCCTCTTCTCAGTTGTCAGGCGTGTTATGTCTTCTTCAGATAGTGAGTGCTTATGACGATCCACGAAGCGTAGCGTCGCTATTAGTATGGCGTCAATGACGACACTCAGTCTCCTTCTTCCTTCTACCAACCTGATTTGATCCTTGAAGCGAGATCTGTGTATCAAAGGAATCCAGTAGAAGACTTTGGCGAAGTATAAATGAACGGCCTCGTCTATGAGATCGTGGGTAATTTGGTCATCGGACAAGTCTAGTCGTGGCTGAGATCTACTAGAAGCAGGCGAGACACACTGATAATTGGACAATCTTCTTCTCTTCGGAGGGTGACTTTGTTCGACAGCATCATGGTCTCCAGCGACTTGGGGGGTAACTGAATTGATGGGGGCCGAGACATCCCGTTGACTCCGTTTCGATGTGATCCCTTGTATTTCGGAGACGAGAGCAGTTACGGCCCCTATGAGTTGGGCGGTATTCTCTGAGAGCCGGCCATGGCCAGTATTTCTCAAAGCCTTTTCTTGTTGTTCTCGATCGTGAAATGATTGCTCAAGGACTTCTGTAGTGGGATGCTTCAACATCAGCTGGCCGCCACCAACCTGAACAACAACTGTGATATGAAAACGTACCGACTCGTTTGCTGAGAGCTTCGACTGCCCCGACCTTCAGTCCTGGCTTATTTTTCTTCGCATCGTATACGCAAGGGATATCTTCGGGGATCAATATCTTTACAGAGGCAATGCAAGGGTCAATCGCAATTCACTCACTCTGTCGGAGGCAATACGAACATGCCGGATCATCTCTCGAACATTTTTGCTTCCGACGACGACATTCCTGACAGGAAGGCTTCTCTCCGTCGATTACCGCATTAGCCGCTGATGGAGACAGACTCATCGTGTTGCAGCATAACCCCTGGAAATGGGGGCTGATGATCGGAGGTGGAGGAATGAGGACGGTGAATTAGTGCGGCTCCGACGACTTTATACACAAAGCCCAGTAACATGCCCGCAACACTCCACCTTTTGAGGGCTAGTATAGTTGGAGTTTGATGGGGCAGAACACCACCCAGTTGCAAGTATTGTGGAGTAAAGAAACTAACACGTCAAGGAGTGATCTCAAGGTCAATGTAGCGCGACAACTGCCACTGAAAACCACGCATAGGTTTGTCAGTCATCTTATTACTATTTAAGCAATTAGTAAAATGGGACATGGTGCATACAACCTGACGAATCAAATGGTGTACTATTGGAAGGAGGCGGTTGACATTCTCGAGAACCTTTGACCTAATGTGAGACGTTAAACGCTACTTATTGGTTTATCAATTCAAAATTACAAATTTATTGAATGACCTCACGTGTTTTTGCTTCTAGTTTGAAGCTCGAAGGCGGACCAAGGTAACTCTCCCGAACACCACCGTAGTCAATGATCAACCTCTCCAGCAGGATATTCTGATGGCGCAGCCTCACTTTAAGCGTGTGAGTCCCAGATTTCAATCCAGTTAGCTCATGATGTCTCTGCCAAACGAGGTCAGAAGCCGCCTTTTTCCAGCCATTGGCTCGAGGGATGCCGTCAGCTAAGCCCTCCTTGATGCTTTCTTGTGTAAACTCTTCGAGATTATGGTGTGATACCGGGCCTTCGTCTAACTGTAGGTCATATGAATTGACATCTTCATCAGATGTGCTGAGTGTGATGCCGAAGACAAGCGTGAGTTTTGCGGTAGCTAATGCCGAGAACTGGTAGAACGGATAATTGAGGAATGAGTCCACTTCCTCGCTATTACTTTTCGTTACATCAAGGCTGACTGACCCGCACGCTGTCCTCCCCGTATCAGGGAGAGAAACATAGCCAGGCACGGAAGTAGTACTTGAAGCTGGAATGGAAATGTAGCCGGAGCCCTCGATGAATCCCGCCTTGAAAGATTCAGGCACGCGGTTATTCTTGATTGGGATGTGAACTTGCTCAAAGTCTCCAATGCCGCTATGGATGTCGACCAAAACTTCTTGATCAAAATCATCGGGAACCTGGTCCCAATCCAGAGATATCTCGATTCGAGAATCCTGTCGGCCTGGTACCAGAAATCCGGAATACTGAGAGAGCTGAAGCCATGAATACGCTGTTGAGGCTGTCCAATGAATGGTAGGGGTACCGCGAGTCCATATCTCAAACCATCTGGTAGCAGGGCCATAATAGCTCATCTCGCCAAGTGTCAACCCTGGCACGAGGTCACGGCGACTGGGATGCGTACGTTCAGACTCCTCATTGATGAGTCCTGAGCGAATTCCCGCGTGGCCTTCAACGGATACTCCCATCTGTCCAACGATTGGGTTGGAATTTTGGCGACGCTGCACAAACCCCAGGCCTGTTATCATATCTCGGGATGGAGCATGCCATGTGTCTCTAAATCCAAGATGAGTCTGCCGCAACATGTGATTCCACCTCCCGCCCAAGAGCGAGTGGAATTCAAGTTGGATATCAAAATCAGCGTCAAATAAGTCAAGAGCATGCTGAGCCGTTGTGTTGGCTGTGTTGCGTCTCTGGAGAGAATATAGCGTATTGCGTGCTTGCGTCACGCGAAGCTCGATGAACACTTGCGTAGATTTGACAGGGTGGAGGATCAGTTGATAACCTGCAGGCTTTTGTTCCTCTGAGAGACGGCTGTAGACGGACTCAGCCTCTTTTCTTAGCTGTGTCCATTGGTCAAGGATCTTCTCAGCTTCTTGGTAATGCAAAACGGAGAATGTTTCCGGCTCAATGAGTTCGTGTTTACGCATCGAAACGAGGCGATCATATTGATAGTAGACATCGCCAATCACATTTCTAAGCTTCGAACCAAAATTTCGCTCTGCGGTCGCGCGCAGGAAGTCCCGAAGACCAGTAGCGGTGATATTCTTAATATTCCATGCTAGATTCATGGCCCATGTAATTGGAGTCTCTAGGGGCTTGAGATCCCCAACATTGAAGAGCCAAATTTGACGAACATTTCGGGCGTACGCGTGCTGGAGCTGATGCCATGCTTTCCCCTATCATATATATTAGTTACCAATGCACGATAATGGTTAGGGTCTGTGACCGATGAAACATACCAGAGACACACTATTAGTCCACTTGTAGCTGCGTGGCCAGCCGACGTATTCAAAATGGTAATATAACTACAAGTCGTTAACAAAATAAAGACAGGGGAGACTATTTCACGTACACCAGACCCCCCTTTTCTCTGCGCCTCCTTCTTGTTGGGGAGTCGACGGATTGTGCCATGATTGTCATCCTGGAAAAGCAGCGTAACATCATCGGGAATCTCTATACGGCCAGTATCGTAGATCTGCTCAACATCTCTATACAAAGCAAGAAGCTCTGGGGGTATGTTAATTTTTGTTCAGGGTGGTTCAAGAACCGTGTTCTTAACTTACGTAGCGCCTGATCCTCGCCCCCATAGACATCTCTGATCACCTTTCGTTGGGTTTTGATAACGTCGGAGATGATCAAAGCCGGATCAGAACCACCAATCGGTTTGTCGTACTCACCTCTCATGCCTATCGTGAAGTATGAGTCGTAATCTTTGGCTCTCTCTGCTCCCTCGTGGAAAAACTTGGTGATGTTTTCCTTATTTGTCTCCCAATTCCAGCTTCCGTCGGGGTTATCTTGAAACCACTCATTGGACAGGCGCTGCATAGGTTCATGATGAGATGTTGATATTACAATTCCATACTCATCAGCTATCCGCTGGTTGTCGGGGTCATCTACGAAGAAGTTGGCACCAGGGTTGGGATAGCCAGGCCACATTGCTGGCCACAGAAAGTTGGCCTGTACTCATCAGCACGAGGTCATACAATGGTTGGCGTAAATTCGTCCTCGGATGTACTCACTTTGAGGCGAAGCAATAGTTCGAAAATTTTCTTGTAGAATTCCGAGTTGTACTTGCCAAACTTCTCGAGGACCCAACCCGTCAGTGCTGGGGCTTCGTCGTTGAGGAAGATTCCTCGGTATTTCACGCTTGGTTCCCCATGTGTCGTGGATCTTGGGCTTGCGTAAATTGCAGAGTGATTCTTTGCAGGCACATCGGCCCACCAGTACCACCTATAACACCGTCAGTCCATATCCTTTTTTAAACGGCGTTGATGGCTTACGGTGAGACACCAATCTGCTCAGACAAGGTATAAAGTCCGAAGATTGCACCCCTTTTGTCACTGCCAGCAATGACGAGAGCATGATTTGACTCATCACCAAAAGGATGGTTCACGACAAACGTAGAGAATGACTCGTATTTACCACGAATCGATGTAAAGTCAACCTTGCCATCTCTCTCCAATCGTTGCAGTATAGGGCTGGAATCTATACAGCCGACGACAATCGCCACCTTGAAGTTCGCCTCCTCGGGATTACTTGATACGAGGATAGGACTATCGTCTCCTTTGGTCACGCGGGCGAAATCTTGGGAAAGATTGTGCGCCGCGATCTTGACACCAGGATGATCTTGCTCGTCAACTACAATGGTTGCGCCAACGAGGTCTATCGCCCGTTCGTCGGAGGGGATAAACTCGACAATCTTCTCCTCTAGCATGGCTGCAATATGCAAAAAAGGACCGGGTGTGAATTCCGATCAAGCCTCATTCGTGAGTCGGTAGGGGTGGCATGCAGCGACTTTAATAACCTCTACTACGCCTCGGTACAAAATACAGGCTTTAATTTAGGGAGACGTGAGAAACATGGGAACGCGTGAATAGATCCAGCCCCGTTTGGATATCCTTTTACCCATGAAAAAGACTCGGCATTGTTGGCACCAGCGAGCGTCCTTTCCTGCCATGTCTCCGCATTCAACACAACTTAGAGGGCGAATCTGCGGGTCAGAGACGGCCCTGGTTTAGACTCGAGCGACTCATGCTGTCGGAGGCGGGAGATTGAACCATCCGGCCTGTTGCGAAGGCCGATGAGCCAATCAAACAGTGTCTCCCATCTCCAGTTGAGCAACCGGATGTGGATATTCAGTGTTAGCGGCGGTTTCGGGAGAAAGACGCGCTCAAATTGTCGCGATGGATTTTGTTACCCTAGAGGCCCACACAGTGGAAAGATTTCTGAACGGCACGTTTAGCTACGGGATGGTTAGCAAAGCCAAGTATCAAAGAATAAATATATTGAAAATAGACCGAAACTGGGATCAACTTTGAAAAATTGGAAATGGGAACGAGAAGACCCGATGCTCATGTGTGGAATCAGTAGGTCAATCGATTCGACCAAGCAGTTCCTTTGATGTTTCGGTTAGCATCAAGACGTCCACTGTGCGATGGAGAATGACTAGTATAGCGTTGGACCAGAATAACTTCCATGCAGAGAGCACGAAATCTCTGGATTACCCAGCCCTTTCCCCAATTCTCTCCACCTCTTCTTCCCCGTGGGGGCTTGCTATTTCTCTGTGGTTTGAAGAAGGCCTGGAACCCTTTATACCTCCATGATGCCAGTTCCGTCCATTATTATTTGGTTATAAAACGGCTCATCGCCATCCTCGACTCTCCCGTTCAAACTCTCGACACTGCACTATCACGATCCCTTCTCCTCAGCTGAATCCAAACACACACTCTTGAATCACTATGAAAGGGGACGGTGACAACAACCCGACTCACGTCGAAGATGGCGAGGTTGGCAAGAACCAAACCAACCTAGGCCTTGTCGACAACGAAGTTGCCCAGTACGTTGGCGAGGGTAGAGTTCACATCGACGATGCCGAGAACAAGCGACTCAGGAGGATGGTTGACAAGCGGATTCTCGTGGTCATGATTGTTACGTACTTTACACAGTCGCTCGACCGAGGAACCATGTCTTTTGCCTCCATCATGGGGATTATTGATGATGCAAAGCTTGGGCACAATCAGGTTTGTTTCGCAGTTCCGCAGACCGAAAATACCCACTAAAAGTTGTGTAGTATTCGTGGTTCACAACTATCATGTATCTGGTTGTGTTGGTTGCAGAGTATCCAGTAAGCTTGTCCTCTGCATCTTTGCCCATGTTAAAAATACGTTATGACTCAAGATCTAACCTTTCTTTTTCTTCTTCTAGGAGAACTGGATCCTTCAACGTGTCCCAATCGCAAAGTGGCTGTCGATCAATATCATTCTTTGGGGAGCCGTCCTCGCTTTGCACGCGGTCGGATCTAATTTCGGCGGTCTTCTTGCCCTTCGTGGATTGTTGGGACTGTTTGAGACAGTCTGTCAACCAGCCTTCGTTCTTCTCTCGTCAACTTGGTAAGTCCGGTTTCAACAACGTAATCAAGAAGATTTACTCACTCTAAGTGTGTAATTGGTACAAAAAAGAAGAACAAGCGAGCACGATTATATATTGGTACATGATGAACGGCTTGCAACAGATTTTGGGCGGCCTGGCCGCATTTGCCTTCTCCTTCGTTCCTCACGACTCCCCAATCAAGTCTTGGCAAGCTTTATTCATGACCTACGGAATTGCGACGGTTTTCTGGGGCTTCTTTGTCCTTTTCTGGATGCCGGATTCCCCGATGAAGGCCAAGTGTTGGTCTGAAGAAGATAAGAGACTCATGATCGAGCGAGTTCGCGAAAATCGTACTGGTGTACAGAATCGTGTTTTCCGCAAGGAGCAAATATACCATGCGATCGCAGACCCCCAAGGTAACCGGTGATTTTTGAATTGTTAATATAGGAGAAGATTTACTGACTATGGTAGTCTATGCCTTTGCTCTAATTCAAGTATGCACAACACTACCTTCGGGTGGAATTGGTGCATATGCCAACATTCTGGTTAAGTCATTCGGGTTCTCAACCTGGGAGACACAGCTTCTCCAGATGCCAATTGGAATTGTCATGCTGACGGTGATGTTGACATCCGCCTGGGCTGAGCGAAAGTTTAAGCAAACGATACTCGTCATGATGCTTGGTCTACTACCTACAATTGCCGGTGTTGTGGTTCTCATCTCCGTGCCATTTCACATCGACAAGAGGGTCGGGCTACTAATCGCCTACTACATAATCTACTCCTTCTGGACATGCTCTGGCCTGGCACTCTCCCTCGTCTCCAGAAACGTGGCTGGCCAGACGAAGAAATCCGCTGTCATTGCCAGTAACTTCGTCTTCTGGGCGGTGGGCAACGCAATTGGGCCCCAATGCTTTCGGGACCAGGATGCTCCTCGATATTTTCTGGCACTTGCCATCATCTTGAGCTGTTTCGTCTTTTTGGAGATTGTCCTCTTTGCGCTGCGAACCTATTATATCTGGATCAATAAGCAACGAGACGCAAAGGTTGCTAGCGGAGAAGTCGTTGATGACGTTAATTTTGCCCACGCTTTTGAGGATATCGCTGATAATGTAAGACCTGAACATCTCACACCAAACGGCTGATAGCTAATTGAAGTAGAAAAATCCTCACTTCAGGTACACTTTCTAGTCCCCCACCCCGAATTCCTTAAGAAACATTGGACAGAGTTGGCGGAAATGGTTTCCATTATATTCGACTGCACTCGAGCGGACGAAATGTTTGGCAAAATTGCAGAAGGCATTCAAGGCTCTCTTTAGCTCAAGTTTTATCACCATATGTCACTTCCAAATTACGAAGTTTCATATATACTAAATTGCCTTTCAACGTAAGGTGGTGACGTAGGTTCATGCTCAAAAGCTCCTGATGTTGGCCTGTGAGTTTTCATAGATCGAAATTATTGGATTTGCTTCTCCGTACTTGCAAGTAGACCGTAGAATAAAAATAGGAAAAACCAAAAGTTGGAATTGAAACATTCTGAAAGTTTTCATAATTTGGAAACTTGAGTTTTTAACTAAAAGCATAAAGAATCCCACCTCTTATTAAATCCGATGCTTTAAACTATTACGTTTTCTTTTCCAATTGGAATCTCTACCCTTTCCTCTAAAACATAACATACCTCAATATCAACAACTGAAATCGAGCTTTAATGAGAGTGCAAATTGTGTCAAGACTTTTAGAACGAGCTCCCGAAGGCCTGAAATTGTAGACACCTTTGTTGCTTTCACGCTATCTTTTTTGTAACTTCGTGTTGATCGATTTGGAACTGTTTTAATGAGAATGGCCATGATGATGGCCACTGTGATCATGGGCGTGATCATGATCATGCTCACCGTCATCATCATCTCCTGGCCAATCAAGAAATCCATCTTCGAAAGCGTTTCCCAGAGCCTCATACTTAGATTCGTCATCTCTTGCAGTATCTCTCATGATTTCCTGCCAAGTCTCGTATTCCTCGTCAGTGAGCAAGCAACCATCGAGTAAGCCCCTGAGCCCATCGTGGTCTATGTTTTCGCCAATAAAAACTAACTCCTGATGACGGTCTCCCCACTCTCCGCCCTTTTTAATATCGTGCTGCACAAGCCTATCTACGCTTTTGTCGCCAGTAGTGTATTCCTCAGGTGAGAGCGTACAGAACCAAGGGCGACCGCCAGTAAGAGAGAGTATTGATCCCGCCTGAGACCATTCGCCAGCCCTATGTGGGCGTGTGGCGAGAAAGAACTCACCTTTGGATCTGAAGAGCGGGGAGAGAAGAGGGTGGGAGCGCTTATTGATCATGATGGTTTCGTTTGAGGGAAATGGGAACTTGTTGTGCAGGGCATCTGCCATCTCGCTGTCCTCCTCAAGCAGACTGTCAGTGTCTTCTTCCATTCTCTCGTCGCCATTCTCTTCATCATCATGATGCTCCCAACTGTAAGATGAACTTGTCATAAACCAATCCATATAGCCGCTCTGGGTGGAAAGGCCGGTACTGTGAGTAAACGAAACTTTGAACGGTGTAATCCTGCGATTTCGATTTGAGCGACACTGCGTTCCCACCATTTATCTAAATATCGTCAACAAAGGCCTACAGACCACTGAATATGGATGTTAAACATAGAAAAGCAACATACCTCTTGAACAGTCATCGCGTGCAAATCCTGGAGCCACCCATATCCTGTCTGGGCCACCTCCAAATTAAACAGTCCCGTGTTCAAAATCCGCCTTGGGTCGATTCTGCTATAGCGCGTTTCGAATACTCTTGCTCGGTGATTCAGCTGCTTCAACAGTGACAAAATCCGACCCTTCGTATGGTCATCTACCTAGACCCAAGGCGTTAGTAGAGAAGGTTACTGAGACAGTATGAAAAGCAAAACCTAAACCCTAGACCTACCATGTCAGTCTTATTTAGCAATATCACATCGGCAAACTCAATCTGGTCGGCCATGAGATCAGAAACAGTCCGCTCGTCTTTCTTCTCGACATGCTGCCGATCTGAAACCAGCTCATCTGTTTGAAACTCTCCGAGTACGCTAAAAGCATCCACGACAGTCACAGTAGTATCAATTCGAGCAATCTTTTCCAGACCCCCGAGTTCCTTGCTAAATCACCGTCTCAGTGTGATGCCGTTGTGAACCATGCCGAGGGCCCAAAACTTACATCTCTTTCAAAGTCTCCAGAGTTATTTGGTCTATACCCTCACCAGTACCTTCCAGATACTCGGTAAGGCGAGCATCAAACGTCTCAGCAACCTGTTCTGGTTCTGTTATGCCGCTGCACTCGATTAGAACATAGTCAAACTGCTGCAGCTTCCATAGATCTAGAAGCTCTTCCAATAGGTCTCCACGGAGATTCCAGCATATGCATCCATTCTGAAGCGCAACGATCTTTTCATTTGACTTTCTTAGCCGGTGGGTTTGTCTGATGAGTGAGGCATCGATGTTGATGCTTGATACGGTATTCCGATTCGCCATTTATGAAATGGGCATGGAAGACTAAAATCTAGGACGACCTCTTACCCTGCCATATCATTGACAATGACGGCGACACGAAGGCCATGGTCACTCTTGAGGATGTGCTGTAAAAGTGTAGTTTTTCCTGCTCCCTGCGAGCGAAGATTAGAAAACCTATTCCTACACTTGGACAGAGAGGGAAGCTTATTACTAAAAATCCAGACAGCAGGGTGATGGGGAGAGCAGTACTCGGTACTGTAGGTCCAGCCGTCTCCGGATGAGGACTCTCAGAGTGCTGGTTACTCGCCATATTCGAATGCGTTTGCCAGGAATTAGATGGCCAGGAGGTGCGCACAAGCAAATTTCTCCTGCATAATCCCTTTTCCCAGCTCTGCAACCATGAGTGCCTGTGTAATCAGCTTAGGGCTACTGAAAGCAGTGTCCATCAAGGTTCACAGTCTGTTAATATCCTTCCCAATGACCACTGAGTTATCAGATCCATATAGGCGTTGACCATCAAGGTACTTGAGTTAAGCTAAGCGTCATCTGCTATATCCATAAATATCGGATATCGTGCCGTGCGGCAATTAACTCTTCTTGAAGAGAGTAAACTTCTCTACCTACTTCTCTTAATCTTGAACTATCGCCGCTTGCGTTGGCAAGGATCGAGTCGTTGCATAACCCATAGCTCAAAATAAGAGTCTAACTAGCCATCCGGGTGTCTTCTAGTTGGATCTTTCAGGGCACGCCTACAATGGATAAGGATGGATACGCTATTAAAGTCGTACTCAGTAGTATCTTTCCCAAGACAAAAATCTCAAATCAATCAAGTTTCACTACGTTTCTAAATATTTCTCCTGTCACAGCCTCTAATTCAAACAGTAATAATCAAAGCCGCTGCCATGGATCCCGCAAGCAGCCTTCGAGAACGTAAAATCCTCGCTTTGCGCGAGATATGCGAAGAAGCGGGTGACGATGCACCGGAATACAATCTCGGCCTCCATGTCGCGGCTCTCTTTGTTCTACTCGCAGTCTCCTCCCTGGCAGCCACATTCCCGATCTTTGCGAGTAGATTCTCCTTTCTACGAATACCAAATACGTTTTTCTTCATTGTTCGTCACTTTGGAACAGGGGTTCTGATAGCAACAGCTTTTTGCCACCTATTGCCGACAGCCTTCAGCAACCTACATGACCCTTGCATGAATGAGTTCTGGACGGACACATACGAGGCTATGCCTGGCGCGATTGCTCTTGCATCTGTCTTTGTTGTTATGTCGATTGAAATGCTCGTCAGCCCCTTCCGTCGAGGTTCCACGCTGGAGCTTATGGACAGTTCGGGTCTAAGAGTGGCTGAGTGCTGCGAGCCATCTCAAAGGAATACGGATGAGAATAAAACCGCAGAAACTCATTTCGTTCCGATTGAAGAGGCAGACTTACCGAAGCGTGTGCAAGTGCTACTCTTAGAAGCAGGCATCATATTTCACAGCATCTTCGTAGGCCTCACATTGAGTGTCACGACAGGAAGCGGCTTCGTATCTCTTTTCGTTGCCATTATCTTCCATCGTAAGTCGTGCATCCAATTCTAGATATTTGATTAGAATCCTGATCCGAGACTGCCATAGAAACTTTTGAAGGACTGGCTCTTGGGTCACGGATTGCCGATGCTGGCTGGAGCAGCAGCTCATGGCGTCCATGGGCCATGGCCGTAGCCTACGGCTGCACGTAGGTGATCCCCAAATTCTTTTCTCCCAGCATTTGAGCAGACTACTTATACCAGCCAACAGAACCCCCGCCGGCCAGGCAATTGGCATCGGCACGCATACACTATACAGCCCTGACTCCGAGATTGGCCACACGATTGTCGGCTTTTTCAACGCTGTGTCATCGGGGTTCTTGCTCTATGCCGCACTGGTTGAACTACTTTCAGAGGACTTTCTGAGCCGGAAGAGTTGGTATGAGATGCGTGGTGGGAAGCGTGTGGCGGCATGTATCCTTGTCTTTGTCGGTGCCTTTCTCATGGCTCTCATCGCCTACTGGGCGTGAGAAGTCTTACAAAAAGGTGATTGCTGACTATCTGATTCCAGTAAGCTCAGGGTTAGGTCTTGGACCAAGATCGGGCTTAATTATACAGTTACGACTACTACTACAATTGAACCTAGGTTTCATAGTTCGGTACTGCATATTGAAAGAAGAAATTTCAAGCGGAAGATGCCAACTGTTCATTTCTATATTTCTACTACATAATTTTTCTCTTCAATAAATATATGTAGACTTCTTCTGTGACCGGTAAGGGGCTCTAGGGTGGCTATTGAGTGCCACTCCCGTTAACCGGGCCAGGGGTTATCACGTTCTTAAGCTACACGACAATCAACAGATTACACAGTTCATTTATTGTAGCTACTAAAACACAGTGTAACACACATCAGTCAGAGCTAGACGTCTGATCCTGGATACCCTATGTATACGGACATATTGAAAGCTACTGTTAAAGTTGGGACGTCTGATAGCCGTTTACTAGTGGTAGGGAAGAAGGCCACGTCTTATGATAGGCTTTTTAGGTACTGCATACAAGGTTAGGAGCTGTTGCAAGCTTTAGGCCGGTTCAGTTAGCATGACGCCACCAGACTTCCCCGGACCAAAACACTGACGTCGTAACAAGGCGAATCATGCCCCTGGCACGCAGTCCCCGAGGCTTCCTTGTTCTGTTCGTTTAGTTTCAGGCACTAACGTATGTCAGCTCATGGTTATGGCCCACAGTGGACCGCGGTAATTTTCGTATATAAAAAGACAGGGTGTGCTTAACTCCTACCAGGATCACGACTCTTGGTACCCCACTCGAACCCATATCACGAGAATTGGCACAATGGCCTGCTCAGCTACTAAGCCTTGAGAACCCAGTGCCAATGTACTAGGAAGCCAGAACAAGTCAAAATGATTATCAGTTCTGATCCTTGCCCCGGGTTGCCTCCAGCTGAGCACAATCCTATCACCGTCTAATAATCATAAAATAGTGCCTGCAAAAGAACAGGCATGATATGCATGATAAATTACGTACTAATACCTTGTGAGGAGGTGTCGAGCTTGTGGATTGAGCTTTATAAAACAGACCTTCCTTGGTGAAACAGTCTCGTCCAGCTGCATTGCCCTGCAAACCTTGGCCAAAAGGTCACATTCATTCTCTACCTGCGGGTTTTAGTCTGGTATAAAACGCATGAAGTCACTCGTTTTTTTCATCATGTTGCCATCATTCAGAACACTATTTTCATCCTTTTTCTTCTCATTGTTGGTTTCTAGTACACCCATCAAAATGGCTACTCGCGCAGAATCCGCACCAGGGGTTGATCCTGAGCTCGCCCTGATCTATGGCGCATATCCTGTGCCTGCCGTGTTGACTCCTGAGCTGATCCCAACGCTCAGGACGGCACAAGCCGCGCTGTATAATGAGGTTACAATGACCGCTACGCATCCAGTCTCCCACAAGGAATACAGTTTTGAGAGCTACGACGGCTACGAGGTTACTGCTTCCGTTTTTACGCCTACCGGCAAGACACACTCTAATTCCTCCCGTCCCTGCATCTACTATATTCATGGAGGCGGTTTGATCATTGGAAATCGCTTCCTGGGCATCGACATCACATATCCCCTCGCGCAGGAGTTAGGTGCTGTCGTCATTTCGATCGAATACCGACTCGCACCAGAGCACAAGGCTCCCTCAGCGTCTGAAGACGCCTATGCTGGCCTATTGTGGGCTGCAAAGAATTATGCTACTTTGGGAATCGATCCGAAAAGAATACTTGTTTGGGGATCAAGCTCCGGAGGAGGTCTAGCTGCTGCCCTTGGATTGATGGTTCGTGACCGGAAGCCTTCATACGAACTACATCTGAAGGGCCTCCTCTTGCACTACCCGATGTTGGACAACCTTCTCGATGAGGATGACAAAGAGACCTTCAGCGGGAGGGCGGCACCTGCATGGAGCTCCGAGACACACAAAATGGCTTGGGAACAGTACTTGGGCAGCAACTCCAAGCTTGCCGAGGACTCCCATGTGGTACCAGCGAGAGCCAAGGACTTGAGCCAGTTGCCTCCAGTTCTGGTGGACGTGGGTAGTGCTGAACTCTTCCGTAGGCCAGCGGCGAAGTTCGCGCAGGGAATCTGGGAGGCTGGTGGCTTGGTTGAGGTGCATGTTGCTGGCGGTGCGTTCCATGGCTCGGATCTCGTAGCAACGGATGCCAGGGTTACGAAGAGAGCAATCCAGGCACGGACTTCCTGGGGCCGTGACATGCTCGAATCTTGAGGCAAGGGTTTTGTACATAATGGCCAATAAGACGGGCACCCTTAATGGAGGACACTCTAGCATTCTATTTGCTGATTTACGACTTCAACCTTGATGTGTATGGCATTAGCCTCTAATTTTTAATAATTAATTGTAATTTGAAGTGATCAATGCACAAAATAGACTGAATGGCGTCACGATTGCATGATTGGTATTGCTTCCAGGGCTGCATTGGCCGCACATGCACGATCTCATCTGATCGTGATGAATAGCAGCAGGAACCCTCTCTGGATCGAACCTATCTGTTAAACGAGATGTGTCTGTATATCCACCTAAGAGATTGAGATAGAGCGTGACACACTGGAAGGAAGTCTTTTCACTTTCTGATTAATAATACTACAAACGATGATGATGGAAAACGGAACTATTTCGTGATATTGTGCTTAGTAAATGCATTAATTAATTCGATATGATATCGAAATTTAACGCTATTATGCCCGCTTGTCACCCAACTGCCATCCATAGCGGAAGGGAGAACACGGTGGTACTAGAAATGGAAATCGGAGCTGTAGCGAGTAGGCAATGTTACCCGATCCTCCGGCACTAACATTTGACATGATACATCCCCTGATTATCTATGACATCCACTGAATCCTTTTGCCACACTTTCAGGGGTAGCCTTGTCCGGATCAAGTCCCCCGAACCATATCAGCTAAGGAATACCGTGTTGTTCATAAGACTGCCTGTAGTTTGGGACCAACGCAAAGGTTTCTAGTTTAGGGGACCCCCTATCGAGCCAAGCCACCCCAGCCAAGAACCAAAACCGTCCTCGCTTCCTGTTTCGTTACTCCAGACTGATTAGATGCATCCACATTCAAATTCCTCTCACGGTCCAGTGTAGAGATGATATTTGTTCGACTGAGATTCTCCACAAAGTAGAAAGCCTCCGAAATCCCATGCTTCGAACGAAAAGCTACTCTACAACTCAATGGCCACCTTAGACTTGAACTTGCCGGCGGGATTGCCTCCTGATGGCGTGACACCGAATTTCGAAAATCCGTCCAACAACAATGCACTGGCTTGGGGTGTCCTACTCCTCTGCCAGGTGATATCTACTATTTGCCTGGTGCTTCGCGGCTATGCTCGAGTGTTTCTATTGAGAAAGTTCAATGCCGAAGAAGGTATGAATAAAGAAAGATCCACTACAAGGCATATGCTTTTGCCTTGCTTTTTGCATTAATACTAACAGATGTGTTTAGTTTTTATTTTACTCGCATTTGTTCGTCGCCGTCTCCGCTCCGCTCTACAACCCTTCCGAATGGAGAATATGTCAGTTAACAGCAAGAACAGGGAGCATTTTGGGGATGCAGTTATGCTATGTTCAAGATTATCGAAGTTCCCGGCTTTTTCGTTCACCAATGGGATGTGCTTTTACGTGATGTCATTCCAATGAACTACGTGAGTTCAGCCTCAATTCTCCGAGTTTCAATATTCCTGATCTTTCCCATATGGCTTCCTTGATTTCTACTCAAGTTTACGTAGAAAATCACTAATAGTCAAATGAGCAGAACGTGTACATTTACGGGCAATGCTATTCCTTCGCGATGCCGTTCTTGAAGATAGCAATTCTCATCGAGTGGATCAACATCTTCGTGCCTAGAGGATTCGACCGAAAAAGCATATTTTTCTGGGGCTGTAGCTTCATGATATTTGTTCAAGCTGCTGCACTCGTCGGAATTGTACTGGCTTTGAATCTTCAGTGCAAACCTCATAGGGCCATCTGGGATATTCGAGTTCAAGGAGACTGTTTTCCGATTAGCACCATACAAATCAGTTCTGGAATCATCTTCTTGATCTCTGATATTGTTATCTTGCTACTGCCACAGCATATCATATGGAAACTCAAAATGAAGACGTCCAAGAAAATCGGTGTATCGATTGTTTTCGGCCTTGGTCTGCTGTGAGTCATAATTCAGCCCTGCCCCTTTGGGCAGCCTTTTCTCTCATTCTTTTTTCACCTTACTAACACAACTTCCAGTGCGTGCGTATGTGCCGCTGTTAGATTGAGTGATACGATGAAACTAGTCCACAATACCAACGACGCAGTCTATTTCATCGGCGTTGTGGGCTTCTGGGCATTCGCTGAGATGACTTGCGGTTTCTTCATCTGTTGTCTTCCCTGTATACCCAAGATTCTTCACGACACCGGCGTTACGCGTTCTATCAAGCGAAAGCTGGGTATGAACACGGCTACTACCGCCCCCAGCTCTGCAAATAGATATGGCACCAATGGTTCGTCTAGCCGAAGGAACTACGAAGCCAACCATTCCACGTCGTACTACAAGTTGGATGAAGATGGTGTACCTATGACAGCTATTGGGGGGACGCAATCGACAGAATATTTACATAAGGGCCAGAATGGAAGCGACATTAGCCGGGACATGGGCCAACCGACGAACCCCTCCACCACACGAGGTGCTCATTCTACAATGGACATGGACAAAGCTTCTTCAACCAAGGCATGGCGACCATGAGGCGCAGTGGAATATTAGGGGATTGTTATGTATAACAGATTTTTCATCATCTAATATCTTGTCAGAATACACTAGGTATTCCCATAATAATTCTACTTCCTTCGCCCCTATTGAAAACGGAGCCGTCCATGACGTTTAAAAAAACATTTCCGCTAAAATATGACCCGCTTGTTCGGGGGCTCCTTTCCGGCAATAGTTGTACCAGAATGGCACTTGGCAAGACATTCAACATCCTGGCCCCCTGTTCTATTTCCCCATGCAGGTGGAGGATGCGCTACATATGACCTGATTGGGTATAATCCGGATACTCTACCCTGCAATTATTCAAGTCTCTCTCTTCTCTCATCATCCTTGCCATGTCTCCGGAGCTAGAGATCCAGATGGTATGTTTTATTGATAAGCGGGGTTGGAAACATCGTCTTCCCAGAATTTGCCCCTGACAGTGAACCCCTGATGCGGGATTAGAAAGGCCCCATTTTGGTAGCTGGTCTATCCACTTCAAGATGGATCATGCAGTCGGATGATCAGTTCAGACGGAGCAGCGTGTGGGCCAGTGTCAGACAAAGAGCCACCTGAATTACACTACTGCCGGCTCCTCGAGGAATACAAATTCAGCCCGATCAATTTCGGCTGGAGGGGGAAAACAAAGCCCGCGAGGAGCTGTCGTAACTTCTAATCCGGGAATATGAGGTTTTTGTGCTTGCATGGTCGGGGGACCTGTGCTCAGGTGAGTTCCATAAGCATGAGAATAATGCAAGCATATCAGCTGACAGCATGCCTCCAGGCCCTAGAGATGCAAAGTAGTACGTGCTAAATCGTTTCCAAATGTGTCTCAAGTTTCTTCCTAATCCCAATTCATAGGCAGCCTTCGAAATCATCTCGAAGATCATGAATTCGTTTTCGTCAATGGCACGGTGCCAACGAAACCAGTTGACGGTTCGTCCCAAGGACTTGGACCACCCGGAAAATTCTCTTTTCAGCTATTGGGAGTACCCCAGTAAGCTTACCAGCATGTGACAAGCAGACCACGCTTCTAGGATCATGGACGAGCACTACGGTTACATTAAGGACGGGCCAGACGCTGATCAATGCCGAGAGCTCCTGTCAACCATGATCGAGTTCGTTCATGACAACGGCCCCTTTGACGGAGTTTTTGGCTTTTCGGAAGGTGCTATGATTGCAGCTCTAATCCTGATTGAGGACGCCCGCAGGCCATTCGCAGGCTTCCGTTGCGGTATTCTGTTTAGTGCCGCTCCACCCTTTGACCCTGACATTTCTCAGACTACTGATGACAACGTCCGGGCACTTGGGATGAACGATACCGAAGATGGTGTCATAATCAAGGTGCCGACAGCGCATATCCGCGAATCTAGCCCACCGCCGTGGCTCTGGCGCTTCTCCCCACTCGCTCCTCTGTGGGCGAAACACGATATGGGCAACCCGACCCGCCTCAACGAGGCGATGATTGGGTTGTGCGATGGCGGTGTACGCGAGGTGTTTACCCATCATGATGTAGGCCATGATATCCCCGGTACCAAGTCCAAAATGGAGTTAGCCGGAGCATTAAGAGCTATCGAGAGGACAATCGAGCGATGCCAAGACTCGTGAACCCGCAAGCGCAACAGCGGTATTTTGCACTTGGGGATGGCGGGATTTTGGTTGATCCTATTTTCTTACATCAGGTATTCCATAGTAGCGGTATTGTTTCCTATTGGCAGTTTCTATCTAACCGAGACCGTCGTGGGTATTCACTTCGAACCCGGAACCATTGAAGCCTGAAGCCGCGTCCGGAACCTGTCACCGGCCAAACACCATTTGCTGATATGTGTCCTCGAGAATCTTAAGAGAACTTACGCTATAGAGTGGAGAGGTCAGAAGTAGAGTAACTAGTTACTGCAGCTGTTGTAGGGGCCCCTGACTCGAGTACTCTTCTGTGTAGGTCAAGTACACGAATGCCATGAAAGGCATATACGCGAGCGTAGGAATTGCGGTAAACATGAAAAGTATATACAGTGCTCTATATACTCCTGAGCGGAGAGGTTTTGCTGTTTTCCAACTTTATCATATATCCACAGAGAAAATATGGCCGAGTTTTCAACTAGCACACAGCCAACTGAGCTGACAACCACAACACCGACGGAAGACATAGCCATTGTAGGATATTCGTTTAGATTACCCCAAGATGTCAACGACGATACGGCCTTCTGGGAGGTTCTCCAGAATAGAAAGAATCTCATGACAGAGTGGCCTGCGTCGCGAGTCAATGCTGACTCCTTTAGACACAATCCGCAACACAAGGTAGGACCACCGCCTCTATCATATCTGGTAGAATTACCTCGATAATCTTGCTCACTAAGTGCCGCCATAGTTCACCGGAACAGGAGGACATTTCTTGAATGATGATGTGCAAGCATTTGATGCCCCCTTTTTCTCCGTTACGGTTAAGGAGGCAGCTTCGATGGATCCAATGCAGCGATGGACCCTAGAGGCTTCCTATCGTGCGTTGGAAAATGGTGAGATTATGTCCTCCCACCAAGGAAATACGCACTTGCACCAAAGTTATACTGATCATAAAATGCTTCAGCTGGAATTCCGGCTGAAAAACTCCGAGGATCTCGGACTGCCGTGTTCTCCGCGTCCATGATTGAGGACTACTCTAGGATGACAGCAAGAGACCCCGACAACATCGAGAGAATGGCAGCAACAGGTGGTACTGTTGCCTGCATCATTCCAAACCGAGTCAGCTGGTATTTCGATCTCCGAGGACCAAGCATTCACGTAAACACAGCTTGCTCGAGTAGTATGTCTGCTCTGGACATGGCTTGCAAATCTATTCGTAGCGGAGATGCTTCATGTGTAAGAATATGATCGCCAGGTGCCTATATTTACTGCAGAAAACTGACTGCCCTCACTGCTAGGCTCTCGTTACAGGCTGCAATGTTATCATGGACCCTGGCATCATTCAGTCGTTATCAGATCAGAACTTCCTTTCCCCTGATGGCTTGTGCTATAGTTTTGACCATCGTGCCAACGGTTATGCAAGAGGGGAGGGTGTTGTGGTTCTTGTTCTCAAGCCTGTTGCCGAGGCAGTTCGCAATGGTGACACGATTCGAGCCGTTATTCGATCCATAGGGTCAAACCAGGACGGCCACACTCCAGTTCTTACACAGCCCAGTGCCAAGTCTCAAGAGGACCTCATTCGCCATGTATATGCTCAGGCGAATCTGCCACTTTCTGACACTCGTTATGTCGAGGCTCATGGTAAGTGTCTCCAACTTTGATCACTTATCCAAAGTCGTTTGAATTACTTTCTGATACATATGCATGCAGGAACGGGAACTAAAGTCGGCGATCCCATTGAGATGAAAGCTATCGGACGCGTATTCCGAAAGTATCGCTCCGCCGAGGAGCCTCTCTATGTGTAAGTATCAGACTTCGAGAAGGATGGCGGCTTGATACTGAATTTTACTAGAGGCTCTGTCAAGGCAAACTTCGGCCACCTTGAAGGAGCAAGCGCCCTGGTCAGCGTCCTCAAGTCGATTTGTAAGTGCTGGCTGCCTTTTTCCGAGTAATGCCCTTTGGGTGCTATTCACGTAAGCTGATCTCTATATTCAGCCGTTGTTGAAAAGGGAGTCATTCCGCCCAATGCCCTCTTCGAGAAGATGAACCCTGATATTGATAACGACTTTTACAACACAACTGTAGGTCAATGCATGAACCGATTTCTGAAGATTTAACCCAATTGTTGACTTATTGTTAGGTTCCTACAACAAGCATAGCATGGCCCAACTCTGGCCTGCGAAGGGTGTCTGTGAATTCTTTTGGATTCGGTGGCTCCAACACTCACGTGGTAATCGATGATGCTTATAGCTATCTCAACGATCGAAGGATGGCGGGCATTCACTGTACCACGTCTAGGCCTCATATCAACGGCATGAATGGTAGCAAAATCCAAACCAATGGGCACCACCAGACTAATGGGCACCATCAGAATGGAGATCATGTGCCTACCAACGGGAACGGCCATGGCCCCCTCAATGGCCACCATCGAAGCAATGGAACCAACCACGAGACCAAGAATGGCCATTCTATTGAAGAGCATGATAAAAGATCCTCTGCCGGCCTCGATCTGCCCAAACTCCTCGTTTTCAGTGCAGCTGACGAGAAAGCGATGAAACGTGTGATGACAGCATACGAAGAATATTTTGTCAACAACACCTCGAAAGACAGTTCCAAATTGGCCAAATTGGCTTACACCTTGTCGGATCATCGCAGCCGCATGCTATGGAGATCATACGCTTTTGCTAGGCCTGGCTCAGAGACAGTTGAGCCTTCGTTCTCCCCAGCAAAAGCAATACGCAGCTCGGCAGATGCGAACCTAGCCTTTGTTTTCACGGGCCAGGGAGCGCAATATGTTGGAATGGGCCACGACTTATTGCAGTTTCCAGTATACAAGGAGACTCTCCGTAAGATCGATAGCATCTACAGGGGATTAGGTTGCGATTGGTCCATCCTCGGTATGCAAAACTGGATAAATCATGACAGGATCAAAGCTAATAGACGATCAGCAATCGAAGATTATCAAGACCGGATCGATAATCCTGGTTATAGCCAGCCTTTATCTACAGCTGTCCAGTTGGGTTTGGTGGATATGCTTAAAAGCTTTGGGCTTGCCCCCAAAGGCGTGGTTGGACACTCGTCTGGAGAGATAGCTGCTGCGTAGGTCGAGCCCTCTTTAGTATGCTGATTTGCCGCTCTTAACACATCATCACAGCTATTCAATTGGAGCATTGTCTCTCGAGTCTGCCTGCAAAGTTGCATATTTTCGAGGACAACTGGCCGGAAAGCTCAAGAGTCTTCATCAGTCTTCACCTGGTGCAATGATATCCATCAACCTATCGAAAGACGAAGTCTCCAACTATCTCCAGTCGGTAGAAGGAAAAGACTTCAGAGCCTCTGTGTGCACCGCCTGCATCAACAGTCCTTTGAACTGTACTCTCTCCGGGCCAGAAGAGGCTATTGATATGATTAAAAGCAAGGCAGACAATGACGGCATATTTGCGCAAAAGCTCAAGACTGGAGTGGCCTACCACTCTCCATTCGTGAAGGCGATCGCAAATGAGTATTATGATCTTATGGGCACTCTTGAGGGTGGCGAGATCGAGCAAATACCTATGGTATCCTCAGTCTCTGGAAAGCGTGTCATTCCCGCCGAGTTAGCCAGTGCCCAATACTGGGTTAATAACATGGTGTCGCCCGTTCGATTTACAGATGCCCTTAAAGTTCTTACCCAGAAATCCTCGACGCTGAAAGTTGGGCTCAACGGCTTTAGCGACATCATCGAAGTTGGTCCTCACCCTGCGCTCCGTCGGCCTGTACTGGATACAATTCAACAGGAAGGAAACCGAAAGAAGCAAATTCGTTACACGGGGGTCTTGCATAGATCACGCCCGGCAGTAGAAACAACTTTGGAGGCCGTAGGGCAACTCTTTTGTCTGGGCCACCAAGTTTCTATCTCATCTGTCAACCAGAGAACGCCCTCGGAGTCTTCTGAGTTTCTTCTCGATTTGCCGGAATATCCTTTCGATAGAACGCATCGCTATTGGGCGGAGTCACGGATCAGCCGTGATTACAGGCTTCGAGGAAAAGTTCATGGAGAGACGCTCGGTGTTCGAGCATCGGACTGGAATCCCTTGGAGCCTTGTTGGAGGAACTTCCTAACAGTAGAAGCAACTCCTTGGTTCAAAGACCACGCGGTAAGTAAGGGAACTGGAGACGAAGACCGCGCGTTTGATGATTGATTCATTATGCTGACTATGCGACGCGCTAGGTTGATGGGGCAGTTCTTTTCCCCGCCATGGGCATGCTTGTCATGGCAATGGAGGCAGTCTATCAAGCTGTGCCGGAAGATCATGCCGTGGCAGGCTATTACTTCCAAACGGCCGAGTTCAAGAATCCAGTTATCATTCGGGAGACTTGGGAAGAGCGTATAGAAACCCAAATGCGTCTTCGAACAGTCAACTCCCCAAAGGTTGCTGGGGAATCTCAGTGGTTCGAGACAACTCTTTATTCGTATTCCCGAGACCAGTGGACAGAGTGTTTCCGGGCTACTCTCAAAGTAGAGTATGAAGCAGCAACAGCTTCCGAGGCTAGCAAGCAAAAACTCGAAGGTCATGAGGAAGTTCGACACTACTATGACCAGGCCAAGTCATTTTGCAAGAACTTCATCTCCCCAGATGCATTTTACCGGGATGCAGCTAAGAATGGTATACAGTGGGGACCGACATTCCAACTCGTCCAGGATGCTTTCTACGATGAGAAGAGAAACATTGCCATCGGCAAAGTAGACATATCAAAGGGGAGGCATGTCACTAGCAGTCTTGTCCACCCTGCTGTGCTTGATCAAGCGTTCCACATGCTCCGACTGAGCGGAGGGCAACAGCCGTCAGGAAATATTCCCATCCGAATCCAAGGCGCATGGTTCGCTGCTTCCGGGTGGCAATCACCGCATACCAATTCTATCAGAATGGTGGCAAACTCCAAAGTCAGATCAGCTGTCCATGGCCCAAGCGTTGGAGAGGATGGAAGCATCCATGCTCTAGCTGATGATGGGACAGTACTCTGTTCCATCGAAAGAGCGGTGACTTCTCCCGTCGCCAGGAACGAAGACAACGAGGAAAGGAAACTACTGTACAAAATAGAGTGGAAGCCTCAGCTTAGCCTCATGACGAACGAGCAGCTGGAAAGAGAGTGCCTGTCACAGGTCGCTGCTCGAGATGAAAGCCTCATTTTGAGCAACCATATCAAGCTTGTCAATGTCTTAGGTCTCGTTGCGGGCCGTACACTAAAGGCAATAGATACCTCCACTGTTCCTCAGAAGTTGTCGCGACATTTCAAGTGGCTTGAGGATCAAGTCAAAAACCTCTCTCCAAGCCAGAGAGAGGATGTTGACAATCTCAGCGATGAAGAAGTGGAAGCACGACTTATCGAAGTTGAAGAGGCACTTCCAGCTTGGGGTGTTTATATCGCCTGCGCAAGGAACCTTCAAAGCATGCTGGCGGGCGAAGTTGACCCCCTTCAAATTGTTTTCGAGTCTGACCAGGCGAAGGTGTTTTATGAAAACCTATTTCTGACCCTCTGCTCTGACGGGCGGTTGTTCCCCGTTCTGGACTTGGCTTCTCACCAGAATCCGGCTCTTCGAGTTATCGAAGTTGGTGCTGGAACTGGAGGCGTGACGAGACATCTCTTCAAGGCCTGGGGTGAGCGCGAGAAGCGCACCGGAGCCCCCAGCTTTGCGCATTACACTTACACGGATATATCCCCGATGTTCTTCGAAAAGGCCAGCAGCTTGTGGTCTGACTTGGTGTCTCAAGACAGGATTTCGTTCAAGACATTTGATTTGGGAGTACCAATCCAGGATCAGGGCTTCGAAGCGGGAACATACGATCTATTGGTCGCTGGAAGTGTCATGCATGCCACACCAGATCTGGAGTTTACAATCCGCAATGTGAGGAAGTTGCTGAAACCCGGAGGAAAGCTTCTCCTCCTTGAAACCATCAAGCCAAGTGACATTGCTGTCAACTTTATGGCTGGTCTCGTTCCAGGCTGGTGGGTGGCAACGGAAGAGTGGCGAGCCAACTCGGCTGCTGTGGACGAATCAGTTTGGGAAAGATGCCTGCGGAACAACGGGTTCTCAGGCAATGACCTTGTCATCCGTGATTATGAGACAGAACAGTGCCATATCATGAGCATTATTGTCACTACTGCCGTTGAGGAGCCGAAGCAGGATGTTCAAAGGGCGACCCCGAGAGGAGTTGTTGTGGTTACCGATTCCACACCGTCCGACCAGCAGAGCAACTTGGCCAAGGCCGTGGGAAACAAACTTCAAAGCGATGAGGAGCCGAACGTGTGCAGCTTCACCCCTGCTTCACTGCAAGAAGCGGCAAAGAGTTGGAATGAAGACACTGTCGTTATCTTCGTTGGTGAAGTTAACAATAGGCCAGTCCTAGCCAACCTGAGCGAGCATGATTTCTCCGCTTTACAGATTTTGATGAAGCATGCAAAGAATCTGATCTGGGTAACGGGGACACATTCCGATGATGAAAACTATCCAGATTACAGTCTCGTCCCAGGATTTCTCCGCACAATTCGCGCTGAGCAGCCAGAGAATCACATTGTGAACATTGCTATCGAGGATAGAACCAACGAAGAGGACTGTGCAACTATCATTTTGGCTATCTTTGATGATGCATTTGGACAGTTACCAAGCAAGGAGTTGGAGTACAATGTTCAGAATGGACAGATAAAAATTGGCCGTGCAGTTGAAAACGTTCCGGCGAACGAGGCTCACCGGGCCCTCGTCTCTGCACAGCAAAAGATTCTGAAATGGGTAGATGGGCCTGAGCTCCAACTCTCTGCTGGAAAGCATGGAGATCTCGCCTCCCTGCGATTCGTCAGAGACGAATTGGCAGACACGCCCCTCGGCCAGAATGAAATTGAAATCGAAGCTCATGCGTGGGGCTTGGGAAAGCGAGAACTTGACTCAGCGCTTGGATTGATCGACGAGGATCAAGACAAAATAGGTGGCGATTGTGCTGGTATTGTGGCCCGGCTAGGCCCTGGTTGCGGAACCTCAATCCAGGAGGGGGACCGCGTATATATGAGTACCAGAGGCAGCATTCGGAAGCATCCTCGTGCTTTAGAAACTTCTGTAATTCAGATCCCTGATAATTTATCGTTCGAGAAAGCTGCGTCAGAAATCATGCCGAGCATGATTGCCTACCGTGCACTGGTTGATATCTCTCAACTTGAGAAGCAAGAGCGAGTTCTGATCAACGGCAGTGCTGGCAGTTTAGGGCAGTCAGCCATTCGGATTGCTAAGAGACAAGGTGCTGAGATCTTTATCACCGTCACTACAGAGGAACAAAAGAAATTCTTGGTAGGCAATCTGGGTCTTCAAGAAGACCATGTATTCCTCTCTGAGGGTGGCTTTTTCGCCCACCAGATATCCCGCGCCACAGGTGGCCAAGGTGTTGATGTCGTTTTCAACCTACTCCCTGGTCAGGACGTATTGCAAGCCTCGCTGAAATGCCTTGCAACAAACGGTCACTTTATCAGTGCAAGAGGTGCGGATGCGGATGCAAATACTACTCTCACGTTGAGCCAGATGAAAGCAAACGTGTCTTTCGCAACAGTCGACGTGTTGAGGTTAACGCCTAAGAAGACGGCCAAGCTGCTTCAGGATACATTAGATTTGATACAGGAAAGTTCTTATCAAGTCAGCAAAGATCTTGAAGTTTTCGAGGTCTCTGAAATTGAGAAAGCTTTCCTGCATCTACAGAGTGGCGAGCTTAACGGCAGGGTAGTTGTGACACCCAAGGCGGAAAACCTAGTGCCGGTAAGGAAACTCCCATCAAACTTGATTGAATTTCATGGTAGCTGACTATAACATCTTTGAAGCAATTCTCCATCGACGAGAGATCGTGGAAGTTTCTTCCAAATGCATCATATCTCGTGGCAGGAGGCTCTGGAGGCCTTGGTAGAGACATTATCAAATGGATGGTCCGCAGAGGTGCACGAAATCTCATTGTCCCATCGCGGTCGGGCGCCACTTCAGAACCCGCAAAGACGTGGGTGTCTGAGCTGAAAGCGAGTGGTGTCAATATTGTTACCCCTCTTTGCGATGTAGCTTCACACGATGACCTTTCCAAGCTATTGGATGAAGTCTCAACTACCATGCCCCCCCTAAGGGGCTGTATCAACGCAGCAATGGCTCTGGAGGACGCCATATTCCAAGACAACATGAAATATTCACAATGGGATGCTACGGTCAGATCGAAGGTCCAGACCTCGTGGACTCTCCACAAACTTCTGCCCAAGGATCTTGATTTCTTCATCATGTTCTCCTCGCTCGCCGGTGTAGTTGGCCAGATGGGCAGCGCGAATTACTCGGCCGGATGCTCGTTTCAAGATGCAATTGTCCGCTACCGCCGCTCACAGGGACTCGAAGCAATCTCTATCGACATTGGCTGGATGGTCAATGTTGGCATCATTGCAGAGAAGTTCACCTTCCAGCGCCAACGTCAAATCGCCAACGACATGCAATTACTCACCGATCTGGATCTTCTTGCCCTTTTGACGATATGTTGCGATCCTGACATGGAATACCCGCAGTTAGAAGAGTGCAAGGGTCAGATACCTTTCGGACTGGATAACCCAAGGAGGCATCTTCTGTTGAATGAACCGGTACCGCCCATCTTGGACCGGCCTCTTCTATCTACTTTCTCATACGTTACCGGCAATAGCAAGGCTGATAAAGGGGCCAAGGACGATGAGGTAGAGAAAGCAGTAGCCTTGTTCCGCCAATCGTCCGACTCAGCGGAGAGGGTCGCGCTTGTTTTTCAAGCCTTGGCTGCTAGGCTTGGACGGGCCATGTCAATTCCAGCAAGTGACGTAGAGCCAAATAAGGCTCTCTCTGCTTACGGTGTCGATTCTTTAATGGCGGTCGAACTCAGGAACTGGATTGGAAGGGAGTTGGGTGCTACTGTGGCTGTATTCGACATTGTCGGTGCCATGCCCATTGCCAGTATTGCAGACCTCATTGCAGAGAGAAGCACCGTTGGGAAATCCGCAAAGTAAGGCCAGCCCTGGGATGAAGTTGGTAGAGGCGTATTCCTATTGAATATTCACTTCAGGTCATAGCTATATAACAAAGTGTGATAGGTCTTTGGATATTTGCTAGCCTTTGCCCGTTATTTGTTATCCTTTGGCAAAATCCTTTCCCAGCTCACGATGACTTCTGCAGTGTCACCGTTCTGTTAAGATAGTATAGTTAGCCAAGAACTACCATGAACCAATGATTTGGGAAAGGCGGCAAACTCACTTCGAAGGTGAAAGTCTGAACTGGTCGAAGGATCAGCAACGGGCGGCCGTCTTGCTCCTCTATCGCCACTTTTCGCACCTGGTCTCCCCCAATCCAGTTTGGATCTAAGGAGACATCGACTGCAGTGCTTAAAAGGTATTCTCCCTCTTCTGTCGCTTCAGTCACCTTGAAAGGACCGCAATATGTCAACATAGCCCTTGCTGCTCGGACCACTTCCTCGTCGGTGGCTTGATACCACATATCAGATTTATGCGGTACAATGGCCTCAGATGAGGTCATATGGACAGACATATAGCCGTCCTGTGTAAATGTGACATATCCGAGAGGGTTCTTCCCTGCAGGTTGAATAGTTGAAGTGCCTTTCTTGGAAGATACGGTCATATCATATGTTAAAACCTTCCATGTTCCAATCAAAGCTCTCTGTAGGTCAACCATGTTGATATTAATGAGATACAGTCCGATAAGGCGCGTAAAGAGGAAGATAGAAAGAAGAGTCTTGAAAAATCAGTAATTCCAAGCGGGAAGTCGACTCTTATATACACTCAAGGCGACGAGAGATGACTAAGTCGGTGGAGTATAGTAGACCCTGAATCCCTCTTGTAAAGGAATCAATATCAGTGACAGGGGTTATTATATTCCCCCGTTGGATCCAACTTGATGGAGTAGGTAGACACGGTTCAAATCGTCTCAACATACCCCAACCGCCATCGCCTGCGAAAAGACTGGCTGGGAAATTTAAATGAATAACTTTTAAGACAACAAATATGTAGATTTCCTAACTCTCGGATCAAAATAAATCAATAAATAATGACGGGTCCTGCGCAAGAATAAGGCGGTTGCTGCGTTTCACAAGGCCAAAGGCTCCAATTGCCTTGAAGTATTTCCTAAGATACCGCCCCAAGGTTGAATTAAAGGCCTTATAATCCAAATCATTACTCCAGTTTGGTGGCCGAGATTTTCTGGTTTCTTAGTTAACACCTTATGACAGCTCTTCAACATGTGATTGCTCAGAGCCGTGGACAAAAAAATACTACCAGAAGTGATATCAAGATTTTAAGCATACATTAAAAAATTGCATACCAAGATATATACTAGTAAAATATCGCGATAAGAGTTATCAAATGTTCGGTGGATTGTCAAAAAGATTTATTTGGAGTATTTCTTCGGCCCTTGGACTATCAAGAGAGAATAGTGTCATAGCCTACTTGAATAAAAAAAAATTCTTTAGATGGCCGTTAAAATTCGTCTGCGTCAGACTCGCAGTCGTAGCCTTCATCTCTGTCCTCGGAAGAGGATCCGTTGCCCTCCGTACCACTGTCATAATTGCTACGGCTAACCTTTCGCTTCTTACTACGATGCCCCCTCTCATTTCCATTCTTTGGGAGGTTCTGTAACTCGGGCATGTCATAGACAGAATCGGGGATCTCGACATCTCTCGGTGCCGTAATGATGCCAAACTCGCTGCACAACCCAAATTCACCACTATTTCCGTAAAAGCCAACGATCTTGTGACCATCGTCTGGGACTGCAGATTGAAAGCCGTTAGACTAACCTAGATCAAGACATAAGAAGATTATGGAAGACATACCCAATGGTGTGATGGTTGAATTTGACCCATTTTTGTTCAAGGCACCAATGGCCTTCCCATTAGAAAGCACCAAGCGCAAGCCGGATAGAGTAGACCCTTCATGGTGTGCAACCAAGACCTTGGCTATCTCCACGTTCCTTGGGATTTTGATCTTCCGTGCTTGGTGCCCGCCCATGTCTGGATCTGCCCCGTGTTCACCGCGGGGGCCACACGGAATCTTGGTCCCGTCTTCGAAATACACCTCAGCCCCGTCAAGCGCACAGCCAACTCTCACATCGATCTTGTAAGCCCTCGACATGGAGCCTTTCCGGTTTCTCTTCTTGAGCATGACGACCCATGGCCAGTCATTGTCGTAGGTCTCGGGTCGGCTCACCCCCTTCTTAAGAAGTCTGATGCCAGTTCCATGGATAGGGATGTACGTTCGGCTGGACAGTAGCGACCACACGGGGAAGTTGGTGTGCTTTCCGTTCATGCTCAATATCCGAAGCTCTAATGGCTTTTTCTTGTATTTCATCTTCTGTTCCAGTTCATTCACATCAAGCGCTAGTTCTTTTGTTGGATTTGAAATAGGCGCAGTCTCAACGTCGTCGCCGTTGAGCTTGGCGGAGGCAATACCAGCTTCGCATCGTACGATAAGGCGGCCGGGGTCGGTATCGTCATCCAAGATGGCAGTTGGGCAGGCAGAGCTGCGAGGAGTATCCGAAGGAAGCTGGAAGTGAGGTAAATTGAAAAAGCGCAGCATGTCTTCCAAGTCCCAGTGACACAGATGACTGGTCTGATTAGTTATGGGAATCTCATCCTTTCGCTTCAAATGTTCGCTGTAAGCGACGATAGAGAGAAAGCACTTGGTCCAGTCCCGCGAATACCCTCGAGCCATGATGCCGGTAGTATGTGGCGCAGAAAAGGCGTGCCCGACCTCATGGAGAAAGGCGCCTTGGCCAATAGCACAGGCCTCCCAATTTGTAGCACATTCGCCATTGTCGTTGCCTACTGTATCTCCTGGCAAGGTTGTGTCCAGGAGACAAGCTGGGACTTCCTCAAGGAACCTTGGCCACGAATAAGTGAGATGGCTACCAAAGATACCAAGAGACAATCCATCTGGATTATGCGCCCCGAGGGCGGCGTGACCTAGTATCATGTTCTGCTGCTGATCAAAGGCGGAATCTAAAATCAGGCCGGCAACAACAGGACGACAATGCGACTGGAACGGCGCGCCGTGGGCCTTGAGAGCGTTGGAAAAGATCCGGTGTAGCCCGTCCCTATCCCGACCCTTCTCGTTCTGTTGAGCAATGTTCGCATCTCGAAGTTCAGCAACGGTCTTCTCCGTTCGGACAATGTGGACTTTAATTGTTGAGCCCATTGCCTTGTTGCTCTGCGGACTTCTGAAACCCCGTTCGCTCAGAGTGTTGCTCCCCCATTCGTCCTCGAGCCGGAAAGCGCGTCGGCCGAGACCAGCAGCCCGCATCTCCTCAGCTGTTAGAGCCTGCCACATGCATGCGGCCATTCGCATCTTGGCTACCACAGCACTCAAATCTGAGTGTGCGGAAAAAATGAACCCCAGCTTGTTCGGAGGGCAGTCTACCAGGAGAGGGGAATCTTTCGCTACCATGATTGCGAGGTGAAGAGGAGGAGCGTTTGTAAGAGGGATATGGGTGAGAGACAACTACGTTTTCCATGTCAGAATTGAAAGTCGCATGCGTGTATCTAGAAGACAGTTACTTACCTCGGTAGTATGTTTTCCATCATCAGTACTCAACTTGACGATATTCTTGCCCGGAGTCAACAGAACCAAGCATTTGAACCATCCCTTACATAGGGGCCAGTGGTGAGATGGAAAGGTTTCGATTCCAGACTCATTTGTTGTGTCCACTTGCACAAAGGTATCTTGTCGGTTAGATCCTTCGCACTGGCCAGTAATGAGAAGACACCTCTGGTAGATGTCCTCATTATCGTTGATATTGTGAAGCTTAAACATTTTGCAAGTGACTATAGTAATAAAAGAACTGGAGACTAATCGAAGAGCACCTGAAAACCGCAACCAATGCCAGCTCCTTTATACCTCACCGGGCATTTAGAAATGTAAGATGCTGCCTGGATGCTCCTATAATCTTGGCAATAGAACGGAATTAGTGCGCTTCGATGTGAGCCTGCTAACGGTGTTCCTACATGGCCTCACAGGGGAACTGTGAATCTGGGACCGAGTTATCCGTACAGAGCAATTTACCAAGGCACAATAGTGGGGATATCTACGAAGAAGCCTGCAGAGAATCGCCAGGGTCGTGCTATATCCCTGGTCGATCTAGGCAACCGGCTCCTATTTAATTCCACGGGCTGAGTTGATTGGCCAGGACCAAGCTGACTGGGGCCATCTCTGACTGGCTTGTCGGCAACACTGCCGAACAGAACGAGATACAACGATGTTGAGTGTTGATAAGCCCAAAAAGTTCTTACACTGATCGTGGCTCGTCAATAGGCTACATGTATTTGGGGCTGAAGATTTAATATTGTCAACTTACGAGCATGGGTGCACGTATTGATACCAAGCCAGTCTAAACCATCAATGATTTCATGGACTCCGTGCAATCGATACGAATTAACTAGAAATCTACGCATGTATTCAGTTATTCATAATGACGGAAAGCGCATTCATCCTGACTATAGAAAAACGAGGCATGTATACTTTACTTTATCTTTTAGTAGCTGCCGCAACTGTTGCCTTTGTCACGCCAATTATTTGCAAGGGTTATGCTCAGTCTTGTTTGATCCTCTGATGCAGGGTAGTTTGTCGGCTCTGACAAGAAACGCGCTTCCATCGCAAATCTCGCGATTGGATCCTTTTGATCAAGTATACGAGACCATTCTAAGATAAAGGCTAGATGCCATTGTGCTCTTGTTTGTATGTATGAGTTTCATCTCGCTTATCTACCTATTGGACTTCCAATTACCTGGGCGCTACATTTCCCTTGTAAAATTTAACATAGATTACGCTGGAATGAGCACGAATCACGACAACGCTTTTTATGAAGTTTGTGACTGAGCCGTAGAAAAATAACAATAGACAAGGTTGTGTCGTTGAACACGCTATTTGGCTTGACAACCATTAGGTACATGTACCTTAGATTGAAGTTTACGCGAGGGGCGAGCATAAGTGGAATTGTTTCTATGCATAACTAATTAGTATTTGCTTATCTCTATCTACGATAATTAAATGGTGAATGCAAAAAAACTTTGACTAAGATGAGAGTGAAAGGCCAGAAAACTTGATGATCTAAGCCAAAGGTCGTACCGACGTCTGGCCAAAAGCGAGTGGACAGGAACAACTTATTGTTGATTCAAATTCCAGAGTCTTGAATACCGCACTCAAGAACGTCGAGGGGTGGCTAATATCTGTCTCCAGAAGAAAGGCGCGTGTCACCGTCGGTCGTGTTGACCCATCGAGAGACGATGATATGCGACCGCCCATGCCACAACCTCGGATTTGCCTCGCTCTACGATGCATGTTGGGGAACTTTCTCGGCCGAGGCATTTAATTACGGCGTATCAGTCGATTCTTTGGTAATGATAGTGTATGGACAATGCTTATAGCAATATCCCGATATCCCCGACACTACGGAATATCACACTGTTCTGTGTTTTGGTCGGGATATTCGGAAAATATTAACACTTCTATAAAAGGAGAACCTTTTCCTTGCAGTAAGAGCACTTAACAAGTGTCATCAAGGAAAATAAAGAACAAGAGTTCAACATCTTTTTCTGATTACTTATCAACCCCGTTTCTCGGAAACACACCAAGACAAGGACAAAATGAGCGCTGATAATCTCAAAGCAAGCGACTCGATTGATTTCGAATCAATGAAAGCCTCAATCAATTTTGATAATTTCCTATCGGCCGGTGCCATCGATACCAAAGCCCAAGCTCTTCTCCGTCCTAACCCGAAGCTGGAGCATGCGCTCACAAACTCCGCTGCCAAGGGCCTGCCACCTATCAGTGTCCTACCTCTTGCAGGCCAATACCTCTCAATTCTCACAAAGCTCATTGGAGCAAAGACCGTCCTAGAGATTGGAACTCTGGGCGGCTACTCTTCCATCCGCTTCGCCGAAGCGGGCGCCAAAGTGACGAGTGTGGAGATGAACCCGAAACATCACGAGGTTGCCGTCGAAAATGTTCAAGGGCTTGACGTCGAGGTGATCTTAGGTTCTGCCCTTGAAGTCCTACCGAAACTTGCAGAAGAAGGGAGAAAATTCGATTTGGTATTCATCGACGCAGATTGGGATCACCACTGGGAGTATTTCGACTGGGCTGTGAAGCTTACGCGACCTAATGGGTGTGTATATTTGGATGACGTTATACCACCACTCTTCAAATCAGGCAAAGTGGAGGATGAAGCGGCATCGGTTTTCACAAAGATCGGGCAGGATGAGCGAGTGGAGGCTACGCTTGTGCCGCTTGTTGTTACTCACCCTCTTATTCCGACACCTGTCTTTAATGGTTATGTTCTAGCCCGTGTGAAGGAGTGAGCGTGGTTCTGCTATAATCTATCCAACTTTGAGACGCGACAGTCGTTAATCTATTTACAATTCCACTCTTGCTGCTAGAGACTTATGTTCGGTTTCCTGGCATATCTCAAGTATATAATAAAAATCATATTTTAACCCAAAACAAATAATTGACCATTTTGATGAGGGTATTACCAGTCGCACATAGCATACGCCGAAGTTGTCTAGAAAGCTGAAGCTAACGTTCCATCTGGATCACGAACCGGCCATGGTTCAAGCTCAAGATATGAATAGGCCAATAAATGTAAATGCCTATTGATTCATTCGTTCCTGATATCTTACTCTTGGTCGAGTCCTTGAAGCAAGCTAGATGCCATCGAGACTAGCAGATATAGTCATAAACAAGCTGAGCCACGGCAAACTTCTCTCCCTTCTCTACCAAAATTCGAACACAGTAATACCTCTCATCATTGACCAATCTGAAGCCAGTGACCTGCGTTCCCTTCCAGCCTTTGTCCCGACTTTCCGTGTAGGTTACCATTAGCTTGCTGTCTTTTCCGTCAAAAAGCCAGCCTTCTCGCAAATACTCATTCTCAAACTCATTGACCTGTGCCCATCCATGCTGCTTGGTTGTTTTACCCCAGAACATTGTCTTCTCGTCAAGAACTTTATCATCCAGGATCCGAACATCCGTGGTCTCTGCAACACCGGACAATCTCTGGACTGTCTCGACACACGTCACAGTCTTCTGCTTGCTGTCCGGATCTTCCGAAGGGAACACGCTCTGCCGGATGGTGTAGCTTGGGCTCGCAAGCTTTATAGCAGCTCGTGCAAAGTATGGCAGGCCTTGAAGGCGCAGGACTTCATCGATAGACTCGGAGAGCTTCTTGTTCTATCCAGCGATTCTATTAGAATAGCTTCCAGCGTTCTATGACGACCTGGAGTTTTCCTCCCCTCGAAACGTTGAACAGAGAAAAGGGCTTGCTTACCATAGCCCACTCCCCATCAAGGGTATGGAGGGTCTTGGAGCCTGGAGCGGCCATGATTTGACGTACGTATCTTAAAAGGGCAAGTAATTATTATGGAGCGAGAAGTAGCCTCGTCGTCCTGAGCTCTATTTCATAAAGTCCCTGATGGAACGGGAGACGTGGCCAGTTACTAGTTACGGCAGTGGACTAAAATGAGATTCATTCACATACCAGTTGTTTTACTTTTGATTGGTGGCGGGTAGAAGTTTCAAGCTAGGGAGAGAGAAACATTGAATTCTGCAGCGTCAAATTTCCATGGATACTTATATAACTAAAGAATAAGGAGGATTCCACTGTCGCCCTGAATGTGTCTCAAGTCCACAGTCGTCATGGAACATTATTCTCCGTGCAATTTCCTACAGCTTTATCGAAAATGGCCCATAACATGGATCAAGATGATCTTTAGATACCAGAGCAATAGAGGGCTATCATCACACCATTAGGAGGAATGACTAGCTCTGCTGAAAAGACTCAAGCGTAATATATGCATGTCTTTACTCTCCTTAAGAAATTCCGTAGCCCCACAGGGATGCAGGCTTGTCCTCCACTGTCTTCACCTTATATGGATGATTTATAGGGTGGTCAGCACATTTGAGGCCAAGCTTTCAAGCCAAAAGTTCAAGTTAAGACATAGGGAAGGAAACTACTCCAAGGCGTTTTGCTGGGCACGTAAAAGCCAAATAATCCTGTGCATCGCATTCAACGCCGTGGAATTCAGGAGGAAGAGCGGTTCACCGAAATACTTCGAGGAAACCCCTAGCTGCAGTTCCTAATAACGAGGGAGGGTACTGTGCAGGAGGGTATCCCACTTATGTCTACGAATAATGCCAAGGCTCGTGTGTCGAACAACCCCTGCGAAGCACTGATCTAGGCGCTCTTCTCTCGGTCTTGAAGCTGCAAGTCTCGTATCTCGAACACGGCTTCGTGGGCGAAGGCATTGCCCTGCCTCATTCAGCCAAAATAGTGGCAAGTTATGTACAACACAAAAGAACCAGCTGGATGCTGGATGCATAGAGATGACAGGCTGTATCATCAAAACCAGGCCGTCACTCGCCCGGCTGAGAGATTAATAGTAGATGTTAACATCTGTGACACATCTCTAATTATTGTCGCCTAGCACATATTCTGATTTGCGTATAGGTCTGATTTTTGTATAGACATGACTCTTTATTTCAATTTTATTTGGAATTCCACACTCAAATGCGGGCTAGAGTTCAATGCGTTTATTTAACAATCAACATGTCTTGGGTAGTTCTCCTGATTATCCGATGTTTATGGGGGTACTTCATGATGTTGCCTATGGGTTAGCAGATATGATTATGATTGTTAAGTGTAAAGGGGACACCCTCGAAACTGTTATTCACTGGCTTCGCTCCTCGCGGTTGCGCGAGAAGTTGTGGCAGTTTCACAAGCAGTACAGGGAAGTTTCCTCGCCATTCAGACGATGCCCCAACGAGTGGCATCCATAAGCAATACTTGATGCGACATTCGTCCCGTCTACTTCGAGAGGCTTCCGCAGCCATAGGTGGTCACCTATTATTGGCTGGATGGCAGAATTGCACTTCATAGTATTGCTACCCGACTACGTCATAATACACACCTATGCATGTAGGTGCATGTATGTGGTTACCTTGGGAATACGCCCAACATGTCAGCTGGGCTGAGTAGAGCACATTAAGCCAATAGATTGGCTCCCAGCATCTGCTTACGCCTTCGCTTGCAGCGATATCATGCCATAGCACAGCCCCGCTTGCCTCTATTCAAGCTGCTTCAAAAGTTCATTCTTCTCCTTAACGACATCTTGGTCTTGATAGCTGTATCTCTTGTTTATGCCCGGTCCCAAGTCATGAGCGACATGCGAAAACTGTTTCGGCGGCGAGAGAAGAAGCCGTCGACCGCGCTACCAACATCTGCGCCTCTGGCGGCCTCTGTGCCTCCAATCTCCGCCCCTTCTACTGTGCCTCCGGTCTCCGTGCCTCCGACCTCTATGCCTACATCCTCAGAGATTCCAAACCGGAAGAAGATGCTCTCATTAGGAATCAAGGCCCTCTACAGCCCAGAGCCCTGTGATGTTGAGTATGGATCGCACACGATCTAATTTGGCACTGATATTTAGTTATCACTATATTGCTAACGCTTGTGTCACCTTTAGCATCGTATTCATACACGGGCTATCTGGCGACAGAGAAAAAACATGGACTGGTCCCAACCAAAATGAGCCCTGGCCCAAGACGATCCTTCCAGACCGGATTCCAACGGCCCGAATCCTCGTTTTCGGATATGATGCCAAATGGCTCAAAGACTCGTCATCGAGGAACAGAGTCCAGGAACACGCATCAAACTTACTTGCATCCCTCGGGCGACAACGAGACGAGGATAACACGGTAAGCTTGACTAACGCCTATAGCGAGTCTGACTATTAATATCGCGCGTATAGAGCAGTCGACCAATTATTTTTGTATGCCATAGTCTGGGAGGACTAGTTTGCATGGATGTGAGACATTCGAGTTTTCTATTGCTTTCTGTTCTATCTATTTACAGTCTGTACCAGGCTCTAGTGCTCTCAGAACAGCAAGGCGGACAACATAATCTTCCCAAAATTCATGAGCAAACAATTGGCATTGCATTTCTTGGCACTCCCCACCAAGGATCAGACCTCGCTCCTTGGGCTAAGCTTATTTCACGTTACTTTTTCCCTATGAGACAGACCAACAGTGACATCACCGAAGTACTACACCAGCATTCCGAGGAGCTTGCTAGAATCCAACATAGTTTCCATTTAAGGCTTCAACTACGGCCTCAGCTTGGACTACCCGCAATATCCATCACATACTTCTTTGAGGAGCTACCCTCGCCCCACCTCGGAGTCGTAAGTAAACTGACCATGTGCACATGATCCTACATATTTCAAACTAATTTTTACTTTCTTGACAGATTGTCCCCAGAGAGTCTGCCACAAGGCCTGGTTGCAACAATATTAGCATACATGCCAATCACTCCAACATGACCAAATTTGAGGGAGCTGATGACGATGGATTTCTGAAAGTTACTGGCGAGCTCCGCAGATACATCGAGGTCGTAAAGCAAGCTGGCTCCAGTACTCGACCAGATATAAACGAGCAGGCTAGAATGGCTTGTGAGTATTCTTAAAGCCGAGGGTTCTTATTCACAAAAAGCTAACAGGGACCAGTCACCGTACCTTATTCCAGCAACGAAAACTTTATTGGACGTATAGATATCCTCCGGCAACTAGAATCATGCTTCGATCTAAGTAACATTAACCGCACTTGGCAACCTAGAATAGCCCTGTACGGGCTCGGAGGTATTGGGTATGGAGTTCGCGCACTCCTGATGAAGACATGCCGCTAACGATCAGCAGAAAAACACAAATTGCTATCCAGTTCACGTACTGGCTGCGATATCATTTCCCTGACGTGGCTGTATATTGGGTACATGCAAGCAATGCTGATCGCTTCCGTCAGTCTTTCACTTTGATCGCGCAAGAGTGTGGCATTCCTGGTCTAGATGATCCTGAGAATGATGTGTTGCCACTACTTAAGGCTTGGCTAGGGAAGAAGGACAACGGACGGTGGCTTATGGTGATAGATAATGCCGACGATGAAGCCCTATTTACAACGCATCATCAAACTTCAGCATCTTCTTCAAGAAGTAGTGGGAACTTGGGAGGATTTATTCCCGATTGCGCGAATGGAAACATACTAATAACGACTAGGAACAAGAAAGCTGGATCAAGGCTTACCAAAGGGAAACAACTGATTGAAATCGGCAAAATGGACATCTCGGATTGCGTAAACCTGTTACGTCTTCAGCTTGACGACTCTGCATCTACAGAATCTATCGGCCGGCTTTCTGAACAGCTCGAATATATCCCTCTTGCTTTGGTCCAAGCGGCAGCCTTCATAAGAGAAAATGCTGTATCAATTGATTATTACTTGAAGCTTTTGATGGAAAGGCCAGTCGACCTCCTAGGTGAAGAGTTTGAGGCCGTGGGACGAGACGAAGAAAGTTTGCATGCCGTTGCTGCAACTTGGATGATTTCCTTTCAACAAATTCAACAGCGAAATCCACTAGCCGGAGAGCTCTTGTCACTGATGTCATTCTTTGATCGTCAAGAAATTCCCCGCGTATTTTTGCTCAATTACTATGAACGCCGCAACGAGGGAAAGGACGGAGCCCTTGAAGTGACAAAAGCCATCGGGCATTTGCTCAGCTTCTCTTTGATCAGAGAAGAAGCGAGCCAAAACATTAACATCCACCGACTTGTGCAAATAACCACCCGGAAGTGGCTCAGTATTCTGCATCATGAAAACGCTTATGAAGGGGAGGCACTTTTAACGGTGTTGAATATGTTCCCAGATGGACGAAATGTTGAAAATTGGTCAACTCGCACCGCATACCTCGCGCACGCTCAAGTGGTCAGAAGCTTAACGTCACCCATAAGGGATAGAGAGGCGAAAAGGGCATGCCTTGTCACAAAAATTGGGATCTTTTTTCGCGAGGAAGGCCGATGGAAGGAGGCTGAAGAGGCACATAAGGAAGCCGCGATGATCTGCAGAGAAATATTTGGCGAGGAGGACCGCAACACGCTGAACAGTATGGGCAACCTAGGCTTGATTTTCCGCTCTGTGGGCCGATTGGAGGAAGCCGAGAGACTACAAATCAAGATCCTGGATCTGTGTAAGAGAGTTCTTGGCGAAGAAGATCCTGACACATTAATAAGTACAAACAATCTAGCCTCCACCTTCTGGGATCAGAAGCGCTTTGAGGAAGCCGAGCAGCTGGAGACAAAAGTCCTACAGCTGCGTAAGAGGATCCTTGGCGAGGAACACCCTGACACACTAATAAGTATAGGTAATTTAGCCTTAACGTTGTGGGATCTAGGGCGACTAGAGGAATCTGAGCAGCTACAGACCAAAGTTCTGGACCTGTGTGAAAAAGTTCATGGCCAGGAACACCCTACCACACTAAATAGTATGGGCAATTTAGCTTTAATCTTCCAGCAACAGGGTCGATTTGAGAAAGCTGAGCAGCTACAGATCAAGGTCCTGGAGCTGCGTAAAAGGGTCCTTAGCGAGGAACATCCTGACACGCTAAACAGTATGAGTCACCTCGCACACACGTGGAGAAAAATGAACCGATCAAATGAGGCGATAGAGATTATGATGGAATGTATGACGCTCCAGAAAAAGATCATTGGCGGAGATCATCCTCGAACGCTGGCATCTATCAAAGCCATAGATTATTGGCTTTCTTCTCCAAAAGTTGCATCCACTGCACTAGAACAAGAGCATTGTTAAGACACTTTTTGTGTTGGTTAAAGTCAGGAACCAAACCATATAAACAGAGACCTTAGTAAACAGTTCCGAGATAAACTTTACTTAAATATACATTTATTTTCAACATCATCTGCAGTAACTGAAGATCCGGTAGAAGCAAGGTTCTTGGATCGTAATGCCCCAGGCCAAACTATCTATGAGGGAGCAAATAAATTATATATTAACTACTTACCAGTTGGGCGAATGCTTGTTGATAGTTATATGGTAAGCTGATTAGCAACAGCCAGAAGCAGTTTAGTTAAGAAACGTCCGATGTATTTTAGGGTATATATATTAGGGAAGGCTAAGCTATTAACCCATATTATGTCTTTAACAATAGAGAGAAGTGATGTTCATTTGATTTTCATTTAATATTAAAGAGTTAATAGAAAAAACCAAGTTAATTTTAGAATTATTAAGACTTGGAAGTGTAGAAAGACTAGTCTTTTTAAAGATGCTTTTGAAAAGAATATATACCTAATAAAAGAGATAGTCATTATATTGGGATGTCGGGGCTGGCCTCTTTTATTGTTGGCTTTTACTTTATACTAAACTCTCTCACAGCATAATAATAGAGAAACGTCTACAGATTTCCCAATCATAGGTTCAAAATAATTGGACGTTTTACAGGCCTAGCCTAGGACATTAAATGGGCCAGGATCAACATACACCATCTATTTACGCTTTTATCGTCGCCATCATCATCCAGGGCTTATACTGGACTTCGATATCGGTTGCCGAGTGGCGAGTCCTGCCGTAATATGAACCCCCACCAAGGAGGTTCTTGGTGTTGATAACCCAACTAACTATCCGCCTCTTCCAGGGTTACTTGGGCTAAATAGATTCATCCCCTGGCGTGTTAAGTTGTCCAACATCGTATGGGACAGAACCACTACTCCGATTTCATTGATCATTACTAAACACGGCTGCTTCCATTATTAGGTAGCCAAGAGTAGCTACGAACATAAACCCCCGTATCTCCACAGTTCCCCTTTTTTTCAAATACTTGTCATCCCGCAGTTGACATCCATATTAAGTTGCGGTAAGCATTCAAGTCCCAATCCACCAGATCAAAAGTGGGGGATTGCGCGTAATGGTCCTACAAACAGATCCAACAGCTGCTTAGCGCTTACAGGATTTCGCCTATTCCAGGCAAACATTCAGATTAAAGCCGGTATTTATTCCTAATCTCCGATGGCTAAGCCTGATCCAAGTATAAATTCGAGTGCATGGCGCGCAAAGAATAGAATGACTTCTCTAAACCGATTTACAACACAATGGCAAGCCCTAACCAGTTGATCAAGTTCCAAGTTTGCATCCACAAGAAGGATGGCATTCCTCAGGAGGATTTCGTGAAGTGGTGCACCGAGGATTATCCTCCCCGTGCAATTCCTCTCATGAAGAAGCACAACATGGTGAAATGGACCGAGGTCAGTTCCCTTTCAGACATAGATGCTTTCAACAACCATGAGCCCCACAGAACGCTTATATATCCTTCTCACAAAGACAATCATCTCGCCAGAAGCCGTTGAGGGCCTACGCCATACCCTCAAGAATGAAATGAACCGGCCCAAGTGGACAGTGCCCGAATATTCCATCATCATGACCTACTGGCTTCGAAGTATGGATGACTTGACGGCATTGACTACCGATCCGGAGTGGTTCGAGCTCGAAAAGGATGCACAGAAGATCTCCAACCCGGAATTTGGCCATATAGCTATTGGTCATGAGATAACTTTCATCGATGAGGAAAGCAAATTGGAAAAGGAAGGAACAGCAGCCTAGGAGATGACAGTTGATCAAATCTCTGTCAGCTTGCATAACAAATATCAGTAGATATTTATTCTAGAATGGTAGAGCTGAAGAGAAAATAAGAACGAGACCTTCGGGCGACGTTGATATGAATAGTATTTCTCTCTTTAAAACCGCGAGAGGCCTGAAATATGTGGTTCATCTTCATCCCGGCTCCTATCAATAACCTTTTCTAGCCTCAATTATCCGGCAGTACCGACTGTATGCATATCTGAGTCTTTTAAATTCAATGTCACTCTTTTGAAATTGGCCCATGATCCCAAACCGAATAGACTTTAACTACTTAGCATGTGTGGAATGCATAGAGCGAGCTAGACTAAATCCCACAAAACGTGCCTTAAAACATTATTGATCAAGGAAAAGATCTACCTTAAACCCTTCTTAATGCAAGCTAAAGTTAGGTTGCGAAGGGGTCGAATCCGCAAATGCTTCCAAACCCGCCTTTAGGTTGCGAGGTGGGTTAGTCTCAAAAGATGGCAATGTTGTTGATCACGCCTTCACATACGCAACGGTCGCTACAAACCTGTAGACAGAGTCACCGCCGTGGCATTTATAGCTGGAAACATCCCTCAGACTCTGTAAGTAAATATTGAGGCCTTATCTAAGCTCCAATCAGCCAATAAAGGGAGCAGAGACCCTGTTACAATACAACCTTGCAGTCTCTACCAATCACGCTGGAATGAAATGCCGCAGAAGGCTACGAGCAAAAACGAAATTTTCAAACTCTTCCCAAAACGAAATATCAGAAGGCGAGCGCCGATCTCAACCCGGCCAATTGCTTTCCGGATATCCTGAGCTTGGGATCATGATTGAACTATATAGCAGGCAAAGAGACCCTCAGCGTTAACCATCCCAATAATGAATCTTAAGGGAGATGAGTCCAATTACGACAAGATTGGTCAATCATGAGGCCATATATTCTCATATTATACCTTGCTGCCCTCGCGCTAGCAATACAGACCCCCGAGCCTCGTCCGGCGATCGAGTGTGACGGCAGCAGCCCAGATATTGGCCTCAACCCCTGGAGGTGCGATGGAAAGAGCTGCAAGCCGGGCGAGCTCTGTGTCCAGAACAAATGCTGGCCCCTGAACATCGGTGGCAATCACGAGTCTTGCGGTAGCAGCAAGGCTGTGTGTGTTCCCGGCCAGTGGTGCAATGCTGGCAAATGCGACCCTATCCAGATCATCCTAGATCCTCTTGCCTGCGGCTCGGAGACTTGCAAGGCTGGGGAGCTATGCGTCAACGGATTCTGCGTTTCACTCAATATTAGCACGGATGTCAACAACTGCGGCGCGACAAACAGATCCTGCGCCGCTGGAAGTGTCTGCGTTGACAAGGCCTGTGTCCCCCTGACGGTCGGCTCCCCTGATATCATCATCGGGACTGATCTGAACAACTGCAGCGGCAAGGGCATTCACTGCGAACCTGGGAATATATGTGTATTTGACCAATGTGTTGATGTGGGCATGCAGAACGGCACAAGTCCCATTCGTCTTGGGACTGACTACTCCGCCTGTGGCAGCCAGCTGGACGGGTGCAAGCCTGGAGAGCTTTGTATCTCTGGTAATTGCGTCGGCGGCCTCCCAACCTGTCGCAAGCAAGATTCCATCGACAGATACTGGTGGAGCCACGATGATCAACATCGCCTGTCAGATACATATACGCCAAAGGGCGATGGCTCGTGGTACTGGCCCGAGGAAGGATACTGCCAACGCGGCGGGGTGTTTGCTGCTGGTGTATGCTGTGATATATTTGGCCATGTTCAGGCGTGTGGCCAAAAGGGCCATGTCTGCCCGCCGAATCATATCTGCTGCCGCGGGGAGTGTCTCGCTATTGACGATGCCGACGATGGTCCAATCTCCAACCCTAACAATTGCCGCGGCCAGAGCTGCGGGTCTGGCCATTGTTGTCTTGACAATCAATGTGTCCCTGTTGTTATCGACTACAATAAGTGCGGCTATGGCTGTGGCCATGGATATATCTGCCTCTCTGGCAAGTGTATCCAAGCCAGCCGCGACCCTGGGAGTTGCAAAGGCGTCCGGTGTCCCTCCAACAGTCTCTGCATCATGGGCAAATGTGTCCCTGTGATCGACGATGGCCGTTGCCATGAAGGTTGCGAGCCTGGAAATATATGCATCGACGGCATGTGTCTCCCTATTGACAAGCCTCCGTCGTGCAAACCGTCATGCCCAGCAGGGACAATCTGCATCGAGGGCGCTTGCACTGCCATCATTAATCCAAGCCAGTGTACTTCGAATGGGCTAAACTGTCCGCCTGGGTTCATCTGCGCGTCAAATAGATGTGTACCATGGTCTCAGCCAGCTCTTTGCGGCTCTGGCGGCAAAGCATGCCCTGATGATACTGTGTGTGTCTTGGGTAACTGCGTTGCCATTGAAGATGCAGCCAACTGCGGCACGAGTAACAAGAGGTGCGCTGCAAACGAGCTCTGCTTAGGCGGGCTCTGTACTGCCCTTGACGCCGCTAAATGTGCCGTTGATACTGACTGCAAGGGTGCGCAATACTGTGACAAGAAGAAGTTGGTGTGTATTGAGCCGGAAGCGTGTGAGGCCAACGCTGCTTGTCGAAATGGAGGCAAATGCTTCATTGGCTACTGCATGCCTCTATGCTCAAGTGATCAGGACTGTGCAGGATGGGGTGTCTGTGGAGGAGACCACTGTATCCCGACCTGCAATCTGCCTACGGATTGTCCCAACGATTTTCTCTGTAACGATGGCGTCTGCATCCCACGATCAGCGTTCTGCAGAAGCACCGATGACTGCAAAGAAGGGCAGCTCTGCGATATGGAAGATCGTATCTGTGTTCCTGGGACCGGATGCGAGAAGGACAAGCAGTGTCTTGACGGCCAGATCTGCCACAAGAAAACCTCCGTCTGTGTCAATCTGAAGCTCTGCACTACGGGCGCTGATTGTTCCAACAGAGACACCTGCGTGGACGGATACTGCACTCCGACTTGCACTACCGTCGCTGATTGCGGGAGCTGGTCTCTCTGCGTGAACAGCCGTTGCCAAGATAAATGCAAGACAGAGAGCGACTGTATTTTTGGTAGCATGTGCGGCCCCGATGGTGTCTGTGTTGAGCTGCCCTCCGACACCTGCACGTCCAATAACGACTGTAGGAGTGGCCAATTGTGCTACAACGGTGGCAAGTGCCGTAACGAGCGTGTTGGATGTCTGGTGGACAATGACTGCCCTCTTGGCCGAGCCTGCGGCAAGGGAAATGCTTGCCTTGACATGACTACGGCCCCTTCGCGGTTGAAGCTGGGATTGGATAACTCTGCTTCGGATCAAGGTGCCAACGCTTCTTCGACACCAGCTCCAAAACCTCCCATCCCACGGCTTGCATTTCCAAAGCAAGATGCCGCATCGCCCAAGCCCGCCATTCCCTCTACGAAGCCCTAAGATACGATACCATCGGCTCCAAATACGACGTAGTTTTGTTAGCTCTTCAGTTCCCACGTAACCATACTCGTCATCGAATTGTGTTCGTTTATGAATTCCACAAAACTGTCGACCCTGAAAGTTCCTGTGGCTCTCTACGCGATCTCTGGTCTTCATACACTCTTGATTGTAGAATAGGAGTGAATCCGCGCTTGAGTCTCGCAGGGCCCCAAGTGAGGCACACGAGTGAGCTCACTCAAAAGCACGATAACAAAAACTGAGTTCCTAATCATAAGGTATATATCCTACTCAAATGCCAATATTTCCCATCCAATTTTCCAGTCTCATTGGAAAATATTAAACAGACCATCTTTAATCAAAGAAATAATCATGACAGATGTCGCTCTCAGTTCGAGCGTTGCCCGGTGCATGGAACTTCACCTACAACTATAACACTTGGCTTCCAGGATGAGGCTTATATTGAACACCCAGCCATTTCAGGCCCGCAAAAATTTGGTCAAGGCAACTGCTGTTGGCGTAACTTCCCACTTCCTTGGGGTTCAATACCCAAGTTTGGACATTTCTGCGAGCAGGCGCTTCGATTGACGTATCAATCTGCTGTGCGATATTTCCGGCACTTCTTCGCCCAATCGTACCGCTTCCTTTGCAAGGGGCTCGGCTTTGGCATATTGTCCTAGCTCAAAATATGACTTGGCCAATCGATGCATGAGACCATTCGTCGTTATTTGTTTACTACCCCATCTGACCTTTGCCAGATCCAAGGCAGATTCACCTACGAGCACAGCCTCGCTATATCTGCCTATTCTGCTGTATAAACTGACCATGAAATCCATGCTTCTGAGAATTCGTGCCTGGTTTGTTGTCTTTTGCTGGTAGATTTTGAGGCTAGAACTGGCTAGGTCTGCAGCTTTCTTGAGGTCGCCTTGCTTCTCGCTCAGCCGTGCTTGTTGGTCCAGGATTATCGCAGCTGCATAGCTTTTCTCTTTTCCGTCATCCCTACAACGGCGCATTGCCTGGCTGAGCAGTTGATTTGACTCTTCAAATTTTTCCTCTTCGAAGAGAATTCTGGCCTTCAACGTCAAGGTTTTCAATGTACTGGCATTTGTGTTGCCGAGCACCTCCCGCTGGAGCGCATACACTTGGTTTGTCATATCCTTAGCCAGCTGGTCGGCGCCATGGAGAGAATATGCTTTTGCGAGCTGATACTTGATGAGGAGGGTGTCTGGATGTCGTCCCCCAAGAGCCTGTTGACAAATCAACACGTTCTTTTCCAGCAGTTCAAGGCGCCTGACTTCGAGGCTGTGGCCACGACCCGCGAGGAAGGCACAGACTTCATGAAGAAGCCTTGCTGCACGTATTGGCGTTCCTGAAATCTCAGCCCACTCTGCTGCTTGCACAGCATGTTCGACATACTTTTCACTTTGCTGCCACATTCCCGGCTTGGAACCTGGGAAAGCGCTCAACATCACCTTAAGCGCAATTGCAGCGTAATATTGTTCACCTTCGCTGCTCGTTCCGGATCTTAGCTCATCATCCATCAACCCGGCAGATAGTCCAAATCGGGCGGCATCTTGCACCAACTTGTGCATATTATAGCTCTTCTGCTTTCCATTCTGGTGTATCTGTATAAATGAATACTCTTTCAGCCTCGCCAGCGCGATCAGTATCTCAATGTCTTGCTCGTCTAAATCGTCGTCTTCAACCACAAGCAGATCATTTGTGCGGCCCCTTAGGTCTTTGCAGTCACATGGGGCTCTTTTCCCATGACAATTTGCGAATTCTGCCACCATCAATTCCGATATGCTCTGATTGTTGACATATGCCAATGCATTCAATATGTGATAGGCCAGTTGATTTTCCTTTTGCATGCGCTCGATGGAGATATGCCACGTTCCAAGTAAACTGTTAGGAACCCCTGGCGTCTGCTGGATTCCTGCTGTCTCACTCGCTTTGAATAGTGCCCATCGGTGCTTCTTTTTGGAAAGCATACTCAGATACTCATTGGCCCGGGTCTGGGTTCGTCTCATAAAGGCACCAGCCTGGCTGATTGCTAGTGCTAACCACTCAAGCTCTGCCAATAGCTTGGTGATTGTGGCATCTTTGGCACCGCTGTCCTTCTTGTTCCATTTGGTGTACAGCAGCTCCCGTCCCTCTGCCTCTGTCATTCGGGAGATCTCAATCGCTCGGCCGGATCCAACAATTTCGTCAATCCTCTCATCCCGGCTCGTCCACAGTACTGTTCCGGACTTTCCAGCTGACTGGGGGATATAGCGGATCAAATTCGCAGTCTTTTTAGCACTTTGACCAGGGAGGAAGACTTTGATGTCATCAGTATTATCAATGACAAGTACCCAGCTCTCCAGAGATTCGATTCTGTCTCGGACAGCCCCCAAGAGGTTCTCTTCATTTTGGGTGTCATCCAAGCCCAGTTTTCGGGCGATAGTCTTATAATTCTGGACGAATGTAGCTTCCATGTCAGCATGTACCCAAAAAACGGAGCAATCTCGAGCATCCCATCTTTGGTAGGCGTATTCTAGAGCTATTTGCGTTTTTCTAGTCGCTATTAGTGACGATCCAAGAAGAAAACCTCGAGAAGAATGGGACATACCCTGACCCTCCAAGTCCCCAAAGAGCGGCCACTTGGCATGCCGATGAGTTTGAGAGAAGCTGGTGCAGTTTTTCCACTTCTGCTTGGCGCTTGACAACCTCCTGGTTGCGGATATAAGGAATAGTATGGCAGTGAGGGGGAAGCCGACGAGGAGCATTCGAATTGTATCTGCCCAGGATCGCCTTCATCACGGAAGCCGCTGTGGCAGCCGCAAAGTCTTGCCATCTTTTATCCTTGTGGCTGTCCGCATAGTCGCAGATGCCCTTAACAATGAGACAGGGAACCTCGTCCCAAACACCTGCTCCCTCCATTTCAAATGCAACAATGTCATGCTCCTCGGCGATTCGATCTCTATCCTTGCCAGACTTCATGACGGTGCTACCTGACCCGATTTTTCCGATAAAAATTGCAGGTTTATAGTTATCGTCATTTCTATCCGAGGACCGAGTTCTCAGAACCAATTTGGAAGCACTACAGCCAAGATCGGAGCATGAGGTTTTAGTTGCCTGCTCACATGGTCCTCGCCGACACACATTGCATCCTTCATCGTGTTTGTGGATGTAATCGGCCTTGTAGAGTCGATCTTTACCCAACCCCCGGTTCCTGTATTTCCGGCCACCCTTCAGACGCCGCGGGCCGGATGGCTCTGTTTTGTTTTGTATGTCTTGGAGATACCTTCCAGCCTTGTCTTCCAGTCGCGCCTTCTCCCGGTCCGTTTCGAAGGAGGCGAGCAATCCCCGAATATCCTTGTTCGCCCGCCCGAGGCTATCTTCCGTTGTTGCTTTCACTTCGAAGCGGTCGGGATATCGGCGGCCATAGTCATACTGGACAATACTCCTGCTGATGACTACATCGCCCAAGAAGGCATCAACGCCATCGATCTCGGGCACTCCGCCGCATATGCCGACTAGGAACACCAGCTTCAACTCGGTGTAGCTAGTTCTAAGACTCGCCGCCGCTGCTGCTGCGTTCTGCGTCCCCATCCCTGGCAGATGGGCGAGGACGATATCATGCTGCCCAATCCGACCGTTCGTGTAGTGGTTTGGGTCGCCCTCGGCGCGGCCGTAACTCGAGTCGCCGTCGTCCCAAAAATGATCAAAGAGTAGGAAGATGGCATCGGCTTCTAGCGGGAGAGCGCAGAAGATGGCGACGCGAAAGTCGCTGCGGTCTCTTGGTCTCGAAGTTGACGCCATGGCGGTTAGGTATCAAGAGAAAGATTGCGTAGTCTGACAGGAGGCATTTCAGGGAGAGTGAGCATTATATGGGTGGGCGAGGGGCTGACAGCTGACCAACGTTGCAGGCGGCTCAGCCTACTCATATCCAATTGTAGTAGCTTGGAGGGATGCCTCACCGTGGAAGGCGAGCATTATTAATAGGGTCGTACTCTATGAGATATCTTTTAACATGATCACATGTGGCCAATAGTGGCCGAGTCACTTCCGCCTCGTCGTCCAAAATAAGTTGGGTCGGCATGTCGGCGTAGTAAGGACACAACATGACACTCTACCCCCAACCTCTGCTGCGAGTTTTTCCCATGTAGCCGGCCACGACTGCTGTCAGTGCCTAAATATGCATAGCTAGACTGTTAAACTCTGCAGACATTGCTTGCCTGTCCAACAAGTGACACAGTTTAGCTGCGCCTTGTTCTCGTCAACATGATATTGATATGATATGCCAGGTATGCCCATAGATCGGTAGACTCGAACACGCCCCAGAAGTTCATCTCATTGATGAAACTTCAATGTACAGTTAATCCCACCACTCATATCTAGATGTCACGTCTGATCAGAGGCCACGTAGCTAAGTACAAGAAGTGCAAAATCAGGCATCAGGCATCCTACGCCTCTCGTTGGCCAACTACAGGCTGCACATTGGGCTGAAAAAATGTCAGCATGGGGTCTCCAATACGACCCCCATCATCCTACTCTTCAATCGTAATATTTCCTAGTTACATCGCTTGTACCAAAGTGGAAATTCCGCATGTGGACAACATACCTGTCGAAGACCTGCCAGCACCGAAATTGCCACATCAGGCCCTAAGGCAGACTTTGCGGCGCATTCTCTCTGATGATCCTCTCACTGTGTTCTCTTTGATCATGTTTTAGGGGCTAAAAAGCATTGCTGTTAAAGCCATCTTCCAATAAACCCTGAGGGATGTAAGAAACGAGGGTAGAAAGAAATAAAATATATGGTATGGTTAGACAAAGAAAAAAAGCTTGAGCGGCCTAACCGGGACGAACCCGGGATCTATCACAACTTCTTTTACAGAATTCGAGTTGAACAACCCGAAACAACAATATGCATGAAGCTTATGATACAACTGATTTTAGTAGAATATGTGCGTATGTGTTGACAAGAAGACAAATAGTACTAAATATAGGTAGGTCTTCATTGAGTTCACAACATACCGTTCATTCGCTCGATTCTCACGCAAACCCCCATGGCTTTACCGGTTTTGCTACCAAAAGTATGCACCTGTTCAAGTTTAAAAGCCTTGCAATCCATTACGTTACCGACAACACAATCCATTAGCGATATGTGAAGGCTATCATCAGCTCTCCCCGTAATTGGTGTATCAGGCAGTGCCCAAGCCACTTTTTCCAGGACGTGGTTCTCTATAAGAGTATAGGCAGACAATCATACAATCTTGAGCATCTGCAGCATCGTGATGTCGTGGTCATCATGGTGACAGGCTAAGAAGACGGTCGTGAAAACCTGAGCATATCGATGACTTATTTCTTGGAGGAGGAAACTCAGTAATCTATTGGCCCAAGGGGGACATCCTTATTGTTCAATAGTAAGAAAATTAATTCCTAAACTTAGCCTAGTTTCAAAGAAGGGTCATCCTAGCCCTAACCGCCGGATTCAAGTTCAAAAACAGCCCATTTGGAAGCAAGCTAGATTCCGTGAATATCTGGATTTTGTTTCCCTTACGGACCGGTCCGGTGGCTGTGGTTTCAGGTAATGGGGTAGTTGCGCGAGAAATTAGGTTTCCAAAAGAGAAAGTATAGGAACTAATCCCACTGATGCCTTGAAAGTGAAAGTTTGCCCAGCCCACAGCCCAAACCCAATGGTTAGCTACTTCGTAAAAGTGCAGGTTCGCCAGCCGTATCATGCAGGGTGCAATCATGGCTAAATCAAGCTTTTTATCGAAGACACAGCCACCGATGGATTATAAATGACTCCTCCACGGCATCTCTCTCGCAAAATCTCCAGCCTTCTCCCCCTTTGACAGCCAACCATACACCAACAATTTTTCAGTTTTTGATATAAAGGTACTAAAACTCTACTTTAAACTGAATTTTTAGAATGATGCGCAAATAACTGAATAGGGAGAACTAACAGCAAGCAATTTTCAGGTTCAATCTAGAATCTAGGCACGCTTCGTCAGGATTCATCGCCATCTTCGTTGCCGTCAGCTGTCACCTACCATCACAATAGCAAATCCAATAGCCATGACAAAACTCGAATCCTCTCACCCTCGGCTGGTCTTAGCAAACGTGGCGGTAAAGTGTACCAGACTTGAAAAAGAATTGGGCGCATTCCAAGCGAAAGTGGAGGAGGACCTGTCCAGGCTCGGAGCGAAAATCGAAGGGAATCTCGATACGTTACTGGCGGCAGTCGATAAGATTCAGGCACAATCCGACTCCCGTAAAGAAGAATCCAGCCTTCATAATATCACCCTCCAACATCATGATGCTCACGTCAGAGCTCTGGAGGATCAGCTCAGAGCTATGCAGGTCAGGGAAGAAGCTGTTATGGTTCGAAATGACAATCTTAATGGTCGGAATTCGGTTCTCGAGGCTTCAAACTCAACGCTTGAGGAGATAAATAGAGTCCTTGAAGCTGAAATCGCAACTCTTCAAGGACGACTCCGTGAGCTATATTGACCATGGTGTGTTTTCCCAAGCTCTTCATTTATCATTTTGTTTATTCTCTAACCGTAAGATTGGGCACAGGAACCTATTTGGAGATTTATTGAAGTGGGTGAAACTATTTGCAGAGCCCAATTTACTGGAAGAATGTCTGGGATGAAGTGCAACGCAGCTCACCCTACAGATTTCGTTAAGCGCTACAAATCAAATGATATTGAATGGCTCCTGTAATCAAGAAAGTTTAATTTTAATTCTAAGTTGTTGGTCAAATACCTCACGAACTGTCTGGCTCGAATGTATACACATAGAAAGCAATTAGCACGAGAAGACCTTCTTTCAAATAGAGGTTTCAAAGAAGACGAGAGAGGCGTAAAATACATATCCACTCTCTACATCTGGGTCGACTTTCTTTATTTATTACCAAGTTCGTCTCATGTCAAGTGGGTTCCGAGTCAAATTGTTTACTTCTTGTTTGGCTGGACATTCTTCTCTTAACCTTCCTCATGGTAGGCGCCATTGTGGAATTGGAGTCAAATCGTTTATTTTGTTCGTCTCTTTGCTCTCTATTTTAGCTTACTCTATGATACAAAGATGAATATGATTCCATCAACTACCTACTTGGCTCAGGCCACTCATAAGAGAAACTCTGAGCGGCGCCGAAGTTGGGAGACCCATCCGAGTTGGCGGTCAAAGGCTGTACCATGGCATATCTCGTATCATCGCAAGCTCCGGACGAGGCAGATGCAGCATGGAAGGTGATCCAGGTTTCGCTGCCATCAGGGCTGGTGAAGAAAGAATTGTGACCCGTGCCGTAGTTCCCATTGCCGCTCTTGAGCACACAGCCGTTTGACTTGGTCCAGGACGAGGCGAGAGCAGGGTCGCCACCGGTCCACTCCAGAAGCGCAACACAGTAGTCGGCGGTCCAGCAGTAGTTTGCCGAGTACGCAATGTAGGTCTTGCCCCCGAAGTAAAGAGCATTCGGTCCCTCTTGAACTGGGACCTCGCTCTGCTCCCAGCTCTGGTCTGGCTGGGAAATGATGGTGAGATCACCGGCCGTGACATAGTCGCTTCCAAGCTTGCGCACGCACGTTGACTGGTGGGCGACGCCAGTCATGCAAGAGTACACGAAGTAGTTTCCCCAGTCATTGAAACGGACGATGGTACCGTCAATTCCCCAGTCAGGGGCGATCTGGCCTGCGTAGGACCACTCATCCCACGGAGTAGCACCACCTAGAAAACAAAGCCGAGCGTTAACGAGCGCATTTCACCTCCCGGGGAAACTTTACTTACCCTTCAAGACGTGTGATCGTTGGAGGTCTAGATTCGCACTGCTGCCTGCGGTGTAGTAGAGATACCAGTTTCCGTCAAAGTAGTGAATCTCCGGTGCCCAAACATTGCAGCATCGCGAGCTATTGCTGTCGGTGTAAATTACCTTGGGCTGGGCGGTCTTGAGACCATCAATTGTCTCAGCACGAGAGATTTGGAGGTTTGTCCACTCGGTAGACACAAGATAGTAGTAGCCTCCGGACCAGGTGACTTGGGGATCGGCGCCGCCAGGGTTTCTGATGGGGTTGGTGAAGGCTGTCGCAACGCCAAAAAGGCTGCTGATGCCTACGGCAAGTGTGGCAATGCTGTGAAGAAGCATGATGGAAGAAAACAACAAAGACGCGAGCACTTTCGATGATTCTGTGAGCTCTTACAAGTGGCAGTTGCTGGGCTTTATAACCATCTCCACCACGATGTTTCAAGCAGTCGGATTTGGAGCCTCGGAGCCATCCTCCGGTCTGGTCGCCCATTGGAGCGGCAGGGCATTAGTGTTGATCTCCAGAACCCATCGCCTGCTCCTGGAATCAATGCCCCATGCGCCGTGAAACAATTGGCGCGCATTTGCCATGTCTGGATACCGAGTGCTCACGGCTCTTGGTTTCGGCGATCCAGACCATAATCAGACTGGATGATGATGGCCATCATCGGACTCGGGAGATAGAGTAGGGTGATCGACAAGCACTTATTCTTCAAACTCACCACTTCCAGAATTCTTCCGAGCTGGGGAGGTCACTGGGTCAAATGACTGGCTCCACGTTTCTGTTTCTCGGGGCTTGTCCCGACGAACGAATGTCAAACGTCTTGGCGATCCGCTCACTTCATTCAAGCTTACTTTCAACCTTGTTTTATATGTCACACAACAAGAAGTTCAAGAGAGAAAAAGCGGCCGAGGATACCAAAGGCTTTAAGAATTGCAGATAGGCGCAAGTCAAGTTTCACCAGTCAGAATTTACTTAAAAGCGCCGTCCAAGCACAGGCAGAATATAACCTTGTCGGAGGTCTGGTTTACCCTTATGATCGCGTCAGTATCAGTGCCAGAAGCCACGGGTGTACGACCTGTCATCGCCACTAGAGAAATTTAACAAATAGGTAGTTCGGCCGAAGCACTAACGAAGTTGAAGTAGGGAATTTGATGATTTAAATTGGGACCTCGATAGATGAGGGAGTAGGAGGAATGCGCTGTCCTATGTCGAGCTGGGCAGTCCAGAAAGTCGCCCATCAGGAAGTTTTGCTGTCGATGTCCGAACTCAAGGTCGTTGTCAAACTTGATGCTAACTTAAAATAGATCTCAATCTAGGCCTGCCTTGGCAAATTGAGCATTTTCTATTCGAGCATAACAAAAATTTATATTCGTTTTCTCGGTTTAGCACAACCTGATTCATACGGACCTACATTATGTATGGTTTAGGGTAGGCAGTTAAGCGGGACACAAAACCCACGGCCAAACCAGAGCCGAGCCTCATGTATATGAGGTATCAATGCAACACTTTTTGGCTCACAACAATCGCTCTGAAAACTGAGAAACGATGATTCAATATGAGCTCTCTTGAGGTTTTGGGAGCCTATCGTGCTGTATGTGAGTCCAGCAGCAAGTGAAGCCACGCTCTGGTTCTGTGGGTCTCGCCTCACCGCCCTGCCAGCCTTGGCCTGGGCTGGCAGAAAAACCATGTGGGGTTGGTTGGTGGTTGGACAATCGCAGATAAGAAAAAAAAAAGTCTCCAAAGCCTTGAGCCTGGTTCCGCTGAAAGATCTTGTGCCTTCCACCGTGTATCCGCCGCCATTGAGAATTGAAACCTCGCTGGGTGTGCGCACACTTTCATTCGACATACACAATGGCTCCTCCACGTATATCAAAGAAGAGAAAGGACGTCGCAGAGTCGGACGAGTCAGACGATGGTCTCGCTGGGACTGCGCTCGAAGGCGTCCTGTCCGACGACGAGGCCAATGATTCCGGCTCCGAATCTGACCCCAACTCGGAGGACTTTAATGACCCCGATGACGATGATGTTGGCAACGATTTCGACGCTACGAGTGTTTCTAGCGCAGACGACGACGAGTCAAAGCCCAATTACAAGGTCGTGAAGGACGCCAATGGCAATGAGCGATACGAGTATGCCGAGATCGATCCTGTCTACGACAGCGATGATTCCGACGCCAACGAGAAAGGCAATACCATTGGAAATATCCCCTTGTCTTTCTACGACTCTTACCCTCACATTGGTTACGATATCAACGGAAAGAAGATCATGCGCCCTGCGACTGGAGATGCCCTCGACGCACTCCTCGAAACCATTGAGATCCCCAAGGGATGGACAGGTCTCACGGATCCCCAGACCGGAAAGCCCTTGGAGCTCACCCGGGAGCAGTTAGAATTGCTTCGACGCCTCCAGACTTCGCAGATTCCAGAGGAGAACTATGACCCATATCCCGTAGGCATTCACCACTATAGAATTGTCTGTACCATTCTGATCGGTTACTAACAAACCAATGCTAGGATCTGATTCCTTACTTCACAAGCATCGAGGAGAAGATGCCCCTCAGCTCCGCTCCCGAACCCAAGCGACGCTTCCTCCCATCCAAGCACGAGGCTAAGCGGATCGCAAAGCTGGTTCGGGCTATCAAGGAAGGAAGGATCCTGCCATACAAGCCCCCTGAGGAGCGAGAACGAGAGAAGGGTGAGGAGGAGGAAGTCCACTACGACATCTGGGCAAACGAGGAGGCCCAGGAACGCCACATCATGAACATCCCCGCCCCCAAGCTGGCGCCTCCTGGCTACGACCTCAGTTATAACCCACCTCCGGAGTACCTGCCTACACAAGAGGAGAGGGAGGCCTGGGAGAAGATGGACCCCGAAGAGCGCGAGAAGGAGTACCTGCCAGCCAAGTTTGATGCCCTGCGCAAGGTCCCCGGATACGGAGAGTTTGTCAAGGAGAGGTTCGAGCGCAGTCTCGACCTCTACCTTGCTCCCAGAGTGCGCAAGAACAGGCTCAACATCGACCCCAACTCATTACTGCCCAAGCTCCCCAGCCCAGAGGAGCTTAAGCCCTTCCCAACTGTCTGCCAGGCCATCTTCAAGGGTCATGAGGGCCGTGTACGCACCGTCTCCTTCAGCCCCGACGGAGAGTGGATTGCCTCTGGCGGCGACGACGGCACTGTCCGCATCTGGTCGCTCAACGGCCACCAAGAGTGGGTTGCCCGTCTCAGCACCGAGGAACCCGTCCAGGTCGTCAGGTGGCGACCCAACAAGGAGACCTTCATCCTCGCCGCCGTCGCCGGCGAGGACCTCTTCTTCGCCGTCCCCCCCCTGGTCAGCGATGCACTAGAGAAGGCCAGCAGAGACGTCGTCGACCTTGGCTTCGGCCACGCCACCAACGGAGCCGTCCCCACGACCGCCGACGGCGCCAAGAAGGAACCCCCAGCCAAGTGGTCCCGGCCGGGCTCCAAGCTCGAGGCCGCCGGCGTCCTCCTCAAGGCCACCGTCCGCGCGTCCATCAAGACCCTCAGCTGGCACCGCCGCGGCGACTTCCTCTGCACCGTCTCCCCCACCGGCCAGCGCAGCTCCGTCGCCATCCACACCCTCTCCAAGCACCTCAGCCAGATCCCCTTCCGCCGCCTCCCGGGACTCGCCCAGGCCGCCCACTTCCACCCCTCCCGCCCCTACTTCTTCGTCGCCACCCAGCGCATGATCCGCTGCTACGACCTCCAGCGCCAGGAGCTCGTCAAGGTCCTCCAACCCGGCGCCCGCTGGATCTCCGGCTTCGACATCCACCCTGGCGGCGACAACCTCATCGTCGGCTCCTACGACCGCCGCCTCCTCTGGCACGACCTCGACCTCTCCAACCGGCCCTACAAGACCATGCGCTTCCACTCCGAGGCCGTCCGCGCCGTCAGGTACCACCGCGCCCTGCCCCTCTTCGCCGACGCCAGCGACGACGGCTCCCTCCAGATCTTCCACGGCAAGGTCGTCAGCGACCTCATGGAGAACGCCACCATCGTCCCCGTCAAGATGCTCAAGGGCCACAAGATCGTCAGCAAGCTCGGCGTCCTCGACGTCGATTGGCACCCCCGCCACCCTTGGTGTATAAGCGCAGGCGCCGACGGGACCTGCCGACTCTGGGCTTAGGATGGGACACGGAAAAAGATGGAGAAAAGAAGGACATGTGGTATAGTGTCGATTTTGTTTGGGAACAAGTTGGACATGAGGTGTGGTTACATGGCAATATATCCAAGTGCCTCGTGGCTCGCAGCAGATTCAATAACCTAATAGCGCTGGCGTTGGAAAATGGAATTGCTGAATATATAAATAAAATAAATTACAATGCATCTTCCAGACATACTACATCAAGAGGGAAACACTACGACTATGTACCTACATATGGCGTGGATGTGTGCTAGGGGCACGTAGTTCATGCGGCAGACATCAGTTTTCATGCACTTCAATATAGTGAACGGAAAGATTGCAACAGAGGATGGTACTAGGATAACAAACTTCATAACTCTAAGCCATGTTGTTTTTGGAGGAAAACCCCTCCCACTGTAAAAGAAACGTGCTTCCCTAACGCACCAGAACTAACAATATCAATCGCGTGTCCATAATTCATTCACCCATGAACCATCGTGCAAGAACGGAGATGTATCACTCCGTTCAGTTCGATGTTTCTAGAGGATAGGATTAAGTAAAAGTACAATGGAGCCTTCTGGCTCGTACTTTACAGCTCTTGCCTCAGCTTCTCCTCGGCCTCGGCTGCCTTCTCCTTGGCAGTCTGGCCTCCAAGATTGAGTTGCTTGGCAACCCAGTTCCAGCCTTCCTTAGCGGACTCCTCGACCTTAGCGAAAAGAGTCTCAGATGGCGTGGAAGTTCCGTACTTGAAAAAGGTCGATTGCTTGCGCGCCATGGCCTTCAGTTCCTCAAGCTTGGTGCCTTGGTGAACGGGGATACCGTAGCTATCGAGGTAGGCCTTGAGATCAGACTCAGTCCAGGTATCAAACGCGTTGCTCTTGGCAGCCTCAGTAGCAGATGCGAGATAGCTAGTAGCGGAGGCATATGTGTTACCTCCAGCAGTAGAAGCGGAGGCGTATGCAGACTGGGCTGCGCTAACAAGCTCATCACGAGTGGCGTCCTTCTTCTCGGCGGCCTTCTTTGCAGCGGCATCTCCGTTCTTTTCGAGATAATTCTTAAGGTTGTCATATGAGAAGTCATCAAAAGTCCAAGCGCTCCATCCGGAAGCAGCCTTGTGAGTGTTCTTTCGAACCAAAGCCCGCAGCTCGTCGGTCGTGGAGCCATGAGGGACTGGGACGCCTCGGGCATCAAGGTAGGCCTTCAGGCGGCTTTCAGACCAGACACCGACAGCGTCGTCAAAGACTGACTCAGCTGCCAGATAGACACGGTCAGTTGCCTTGGCATATTCATTCTGAACGTTGGAAGTGGCAGCTCCAAAAGCCGATGAGGCGCTGGAGGCAACGGTATCGCCAAGGATAGCAGCTCGGTGCTTGCGAACCAGAGCACGCAGCTCGTTAGCCTTTGTACCCTGGGGAACAGGAATGGCATTCTTATCACAGAACGCCTTGAGCTGGGACTCGCTCCAGGCATCGATAATGATGTCAGTCAAAGTGGCATAGGAAGCCTGGGCGCTGGCTGTAGCGCTAGCGGCCTGGTCTCGGGCTTTGAGGTAAGCAAGACGTGAGTTGCGACGGACAGATGCGACAAGCTTATCACGGCTGGTGGGTTGAGGGGCTGGGAATCCATTCGTATCAAGCCACTCCTTCAGGTCAGATTCTGTCCAGGTCTGATACAGCCAGTCTCCAGGGTACTGCGCAGCCTCTCCAAGCTTTTTGGCAGTGGATTCGTAGGCCTGACGAGACTTCTGGAGAAGGGTATCACGGTGACGAGGCTGGGGGACTATCAATCGTCGCAAGTTAGTACCATCCGCACGCGACTCAACTAGAAAGATGGACAAACCTGGGATATTATGCTTGTCGGCGAAAGCCTTCAGCTGGCTGTCGGTCCAAGTATCGAGAATCCAATCCTTGACACTGGTCCAGGCCTGGTAGGAGTTCTCTTCGGTTTCATACCAGTTGTTCTTGACCTGCTCGACAAGGCTGTCCTTGGCAGATTCGGCATCAGCCTTGGACTGCTTGCCCTTGTCCTGCAAGTACTTGCTCAGCTGGACGGTGTCCCAGCTGTTGTACGGGGCCACAACATAGTCGTTCCAGTTCTTTCCCACCAGAGTCTCGAGATCCTTGCGATCGGCGGGGGTGGGGTAGGGGATGTTGTTGTCTGAGAGCCAGCGCTCGAGCTCGGTTTCGTGCCATTTGTTGTAAACTGCTTTGACACGCGCGTTAGCCTATTTGCTCATCGGAAAGGAATGTATAGTCAGGTGACGTACCGGTCTTGGTGCCAGGGAACCAGCTGCTTGCTGCCACGCCGGAGACGGCGAGCGCGACCGTCAAGACGGTAGAGAGGGGTCGCATGGTGGGATGTTTACAAAGCCGCTGCTCGAAATCGTGAAGCCCAGAGGTTTGATTTGGAGAGAAACAGGGAGGTCAGAGCAGTTAAAGAAAAAAGGGCGAGATTGGCAGATGAAATAGAGGGTATGAGAGGAGAAGAAGAAACGTGGAGGGCGAGAAGTGAAGTATTATGATGTAGTAGAGTGATGTTAGGCCCGCCTGGTAGGGGGCAGGAGCTATGGGCAGCTGCTTGGTGTGTGTTTGAGCACCTTCTCACCAGTCTATCACGTCACCGATTGTGCTACTCCAGCCGCCATTAAGCCATTCCAGGGAGTACCTGCTGGATGTACCTTTAGATAATTTGCTTGAATGGACAGATTGCTCCTGGCCGTTTGTTACAGGTACTGTCGCTGGGCTCTTTCACATGATTTACAAGCTCGATCACGGTTCGCTACCCTGTCACCGCTTTCTATAGCTCTGTTTCTGATCGCATTGACATGGCGAGTGCATACATCTACACAGACATTGCCACGAATCCCCCAACTACGTGCCTTCGACAGATTAGACCACGATTGCGCAAGTACAGCAACATCGCTCGGTAGGGCAAAAGCTTGTGATGTTTTGACGCGATGCCGATCGACCTAGCGATTCTGCCGTAGTCATGACGTAGCCCTACATCATCTACTAGCGGCCTGTACCTCAGTTTTGTGAAACCCCATCCAAACATTCTGGTACATGCGCATAGCATCAATCGTTCATGCCATGGCCGTTTGCACCTTTGCAGTTAGAATATTTCCTGTGTAGAAATCCCTTGTCTCATTTTATTTGATTATCTAGCTCCATCAGAAGCATTTTGTTGAAGGTTTCCTCACATCGAAAAGCGACCTAACTTGACCTCCGCCTTATGTAAGGGCGTTGATCCCCAAATCGCCGATGGGAGGAGCAAACCACCCGCGCTGGGTTCAGCTCAGGCCATCTTTCCCTTGGGAGTAAATAATGATGAATGGAGCAATCCGGCGCTTCCCATGTTAGCTGAAATGGATCACACAATTACTGACACCTTACCAAATTGTAATAACCGAAACCCAAATCCGATCATGACTGTTCAACCCCAGACGTGCGCCACAGGGCACAAATCACTACACGTCACGCTTGCATAAGTTGAGATGGCTTGGATGAACCGTAACACATAGCTTAGTTCTAGGCAGTTTAAACGACCGTCTCTATTGTTACAATTACCCACGCTGGCCATCAAGGCTGCTTTGCCAATGCCCTTTGTTCTAATCCAGATCACGGTCGTCCATTTTGCGCCCCAGGAATACGAGAAATTAAGCGTAAAAGTTGACGGTCTGCGAGGATTAAAGTTAGCAACATGAAAGCAGACTCGCGCGTAGGGGTATAAACTTACGTCTTTCTTCTTGGCCTGCACTTCTGCGATTGCGTCGACGTAGTGCTCGTGGCCAATCTTGTTCTTTCCGGACCGTAGAGCAATCATGCCAGCTTCGACACAGACGGCCTTGAGCATAGCACCACCGAATTCGTCTGTGCTGCGGGCCAATTCACCCCAGTTGACTCCGTCAACGAGCTTCATCTTACGCGAGTGGATCTTGAGAATCTGTGCACGTGCCTCCTCGTTTGGTAGAGGAAACTCGATCTTGCGGTCCAGACGACCAGAACGGAGAAGGGCAGGGTCGAGGACATCGACACGGTTGGTGGCGGCGAGGACCTTGATTCGATCGTCCGAGGCGAAACCGTCCAGTTGGTTAAGCAGCTCCAACATGGTACGCTGGACTTCTCGATCACCACTCTTTTCACTGTCGAAACGCTTGGTACCAACGGCATCCAACTCGTCGATGAAGATGATTGCTGGCGCCTTCTCCTTTGCGAGGGCGAAGCAGTCTCGAACCAGCTTGGCACCGTCACCTATAAACATCTGTACCAGTTGAGGACCTGCCAGCTTGAGGAAAGTGGCGTCTGTTTGGGCTGCGCAAGCTCTCGCGAGGAGGGTCTTTCCGGTACCGGGGGGGCCGTACATCAGAGCGCCTATGGTGTTGAGGTCAGCAGCTACTTCCAAAAACACAATGTTCTGATAACCTACCCTTTGGTGCCTTGATTCCGATCTTCTTGAAGCGTTCAGCTTCCTTCATGGGCCAGACAATAGCTTCAACCAGCTCCGAGATTTGCTTATCCAAGCCACCCACATCACCGTACTGTTCTGTGGGCTTCTCGTCGACCTCCATCGCCTTCACTCTGCTGTCGTACTCGGCGGGCAAGGTGTCCAAGATCAGATAAGAATCCTTATTAACACCAATAAGATCGCCGGGCTTAAGCTTATCGGAGTCGACCAAGCCGATCAAGGGCAGGAAAATAGTCTGTCGCGTCGATGTCTTGATCACAGCCGATTTGCCCACTCTCGTAGCATCCAGGTCGATATTTGCACCTTCCTCCGATGATTCGGCAGTGGGGTCGAGATCGAGCAGTTCAACCACGTTGCCGACCAGGTAGGGTAGTTGTCTTGAACGGTATGTTAGCTTATATTGCGATCAAGTTGGCGTATGGTGACATACCTGTTGTTGGCAATCTTGTCCATGTTGTCTTTGATCTTCTCCCCCATAGCTGCCTTCTCGTGTGATAACCGGGATAGCTCGCTCTTCATAATTCTGGAGTCGTTTTCGAGTAGCCGCTTCCTCGTCTGGATGTCCTGTGTGCTGAGGCTCAAGATCTCCTCGTCGAGAACGTCATCCTCCTCATCAGCTTCCTTCATCTCCTCGTCTCCATCCTTGCTCTTCTTGCTGTCCTTGTCCTTCTTGCGGTCATCTCTCTTCTTCTCATCCTGGTCCCGACGATCAAGGTCATCGAGCTCTTCAAGGGTGGACATGATGGGGTACTGGCGGGGTGGGACGGGTGATGAACTCGAGGTAAATGCTGAATTCGTGTGTCGTCTTGTAAAATTGAATGTATTAAGGGAATGATGGTCGTGGCGGCGCTGGGAAGGGATAGAATGCTACGGAATCCACAGACTCTGCATGTGCTGGTGTTGATTAAGGCTCCAGCTGCAGGCAAGGCAGTGAGTTCCATGCGTAATCAGCTTCGACCTAGACTAAGCTCCCTGTCCAACAAGTGTGGCGGCGCTAAGCCCAGTTCAGGGTAGGTGTGGCTGGTGCTGGAGGCTGGGTTGATCCGGACCCATCGAGAAATTCCGCAAGTTCTAAATTCAATATGCTGTTCACGCCCGCCACGGTTGAGTGAAGAGAGGGAAAAAGAAAGGCCTTGAGGGTCAACCAACTTTACTGCTCGGTCAATTGAGGCGTCCAGGACGGAGCGCGTCTCGATTTCAGAAAAGATGACCCGGCGGGTAACCCAAACGGCAGGCTTCTGCCTCCGGCGACTGCGATATCAGCCATCGATCCCCCAAAGAAGTTGTGCAATCGCAGTACAGAACTTCTCGACGACCTCGAGGAAGAATGCCACAACCGCAACAGCTCCAAAGCCTGCTGGCGTTCAGGTGCCAGTCGATTTCGCCCCGACGACAAAACCCCCCAGCGCACGACCAACAGAGACGAGAAAAAGTCAAATGATCCGAACCTACACTTCGATGCTACGGACTACACCCCTGATCCTGTTTTTCCAGCACAGTAACATCACTGCAGAGGAATGGGCGGCTGTCAAAAGAGAGCTCAAGAAGGCATTAGAGGCCGTACCAGCTACGACCAGCCTCCCAGGCTCGGCACCCTTGAACATCTCACCCCACGTCAAGCTCGAGGTGGTGCGAACCAACATGCTCAACGTTGCGCTCAAGATTGTCGAGTTCCACGATCCAAAGGCTTCTGCGGCCAAAGCCACCACCGCCCGAACATCTCGAGGCCCCATTGTCCACGATCTCTCGGAAGCTGCCTACGAGGCTATCAACAGGGATATTCCAGAGGATTCGGCCTACGCTCAGATCCAACCCCTCATGGTTGGCCCTCTAGCTACCCTCGTCATCCCAGCAGTCTCGCCCGCACACCTCGCAGCGGCGCTCACCGTCCTGTCGCCAGTTCCAGGGAAATTCCCCGCCCCAAAGAAGAAGAAGAGCCCTGGGTTCCACGACCCAACCTGCCAAAACGGTCTAGCAAAGCTTCTTCTCGTTGGTGGACGCATTGAAGGCCAAATCTTTGACCAGAGTGGCGTCAACTGGGTTGGTGGCATCGAGGGTGGTCTTGACGGACTCCGCGCTCAGCTTGTGCACGTGTTGCAAAGCGCTGGTCTTGGTCTGTCGACCGCACTTGAAGGTCACAGCAAGAGCCTGTGGCTTACTCTTGAGAGCCGCAAGACCCAGCTGGAGGAGGAGAGTGGAGAAAAAAAGACGGAGTAATTTGAAATGTACTATTTGAACGCAAAATCAGGCAAATATCATGAGCCACATGTATTGATAGGATGTACGTTTGCACTGTAGCATTAGACATACATACAGACCGCTGAAAAAGAGCCATTGACGTCTTTCATGTCTCACGGGAATTTGCTTGCAGTCTTCTCGAGGAGTCAGAGTTATCTTGTAAGCCCATGCTCATTTACAAGTCTATCATGCACTGCGTATAGGGATCCCAAATCCAAATCCGGACAGCCATAACCAAAGCATCCTTTATGCTTCCCCCAGCGAACAAACTCAAGATAGATATACGAGGTTCGCATAGGCGAAAAGCATTGACTTCATTTACGTACATGAATGCACGGCAGGTCAGCATCTCCCGGGTGTGCAAGCCGCCACAGCTCCGGCGCAAAGCAGATGATGCGGTGGGTTACATCATGCATGCTAACACATAATTGGACAGTGTTTCATCGACACGCCAGCTGCCTGCGTAAAGCTCCCTCCAAACAAGGCCTCCAAACAGGGCAGCTCCAGCACGCGACTAGTCCAATCGCAACCGCAAACGACCAACCTCCGAATCCCATCACCAAACCCTCGACTCGAATTCCCCTGCCTCCTCCAACCGTGATGTCCCCGCGATAGAAAAGCATCCCCGGACGGTAAATTTTCTTTTTCTCCCTCCCAACGAACCACCCTCCTCATCCGTAACCATGGACTTCGCCCCCTATCAGTCCTCCCCGCCAGAGCATGGCCGCATCGCCTCCCCCGACTACAACTCCTCCCCTCGAGCCTCGACCGACGCCCGCCGCCCCTTCTCCCCCGCCACCGCCGCCCGCAGCCCCCCTCCTCTGCAGCACCCCCAGCCCCATCGCGGCTGGGGAGGCTTCGACGGCCAGGCGACGGGATGGAACGCCGGCAGCGACTCGGGCGCCCCTACAGCTGTTGGTAGCGGCGGCGCAATGCCCGGTGCCTACCCTGCCGCCGAGGTCAGCGAGTTCGACACCAGCCTGGGCCTCAGGCTCGACTACGAGGCCTGCCTGGCGTACCTGGCCTTCCCGCCCGTCGGCGCCATCATCCTGCTGATCTTGGAGCGGAATAGCGACTATGTTCGGTACGATACGAGATCCTTCCCCTCCCTCCGGAGGGTTTACGAAGTGAGAGGAAACTAACAGCTTGGTAAAACAGGTTCCACGCCTGGCAGTCGTCTCTGGTATTCACAGCCATCATGCTCTTCCACCTCATCTTCTCGTGGTCGGGCTTCCTCAGCTGGCTCTTCTTCATCGGCGACATTGGCCTGATCGGCTTCCTAACCATGAAGGCATATCAAGATGCTGAGATCCTCGATAGGTGCGCAAACCTACTCAGCACTTTGATATTTTATCCAGACGAGGAAAAGGCTAACACAACCCAACAGATATGAAGTTCCCTTCTTTGGAAGAATAGCGAGCAGGTTCCTGGACGACGAATAAACCATTGCGTTCCTCCTTTCTGAGCGCATCCCCCCACGGCGTTTTCATGCATAAGCAGCTATGCGGTCTGCTGCTCCCTAATGTTCTTATACCCATCCTCCATTGCTTCTGAGGTGTTGCGTCGCTCGTTTTGGAACAAGAAAGTAATGATTATTGTTAAACGGATTGTAAAATTACGACTCCCTAGGCGGTTTAGGTGCTTATAATATACACATGTTCCGATTTTCATAGTTAACCGGCATGCGTTCAGCTAAGCGAGCTTTTTCACAAGACAGAATTGTGCTGGCGTTTCACATTAATCGTTACGAAGACCCTATGGGTTCTAATAGGTAATGGGGTACCCCTCGCTCTAACGGATTGATAACACCGGCTTCACTTCTCCCACCACCGTGGGCTTCTCCTCGAACACCACTGTCTTGATCTTGTTTCCCTCCGTAATGCCTTCGTCAAGCCACTTGGCCAGCAAATCGTTGCTCTCTTTTGGTTTTACAGTGCTGTCGCGGGTGCCGACTGTGATGTGTGCCACTCGGTTCACACACTTCCATTCGTCGTGCTCATCACTAATTCGAACGACAATTGCCATGATCCTGTCATCAAACACCACCTATATCTTGTCAGTATATACTTTGATCATCATTTGTGACAACCTGGGAAGTACTTACTCGCTCAAGCATCACGTCGCAGATGCCGACCTTGTCCTCAGGTTTGCCCTGATCCTCTCCCCACTTCTGCAGGATCGAATACTTTTCCCAAAGCTCGGGGTATTCTTTTGACATGGCTCTGTGGAGGAGAGTGACGTGGAACTTGGCTTGCACCCGCCGAGTCTGCTTCAACTGCATGTAAAACCGAGAAGTCTCTGGGTCGGTATTTTGGAAAGCCTTGTCGAGCATCACACTGATACGCTGGCTCGGAACGGCTACCGACATATACTCAAAGCTCCGCCTATTCTTCTTGGCAGGTGCCTGCTGGCCCTTCTGGTCATCCTTCTTGTTCTTTCCTCGGTCTGGGATGTTGTGTTTGAAATCCGGCCGGTACCCAAGGGCGTGTTCCATGGCAGCGTCGTATTGTTCAGCCGTGGGGAGTTCGCCGATCAGGTCAGGGAAGTATTTCTTCAACCCAACCACAGCGGTTTCGAGATTCTCTCTGCTAGCCAGAGTAGGGTCGAGCTCAATCACCACGTCGAATCCATCATCTGGGCGGACATGGGGAGTGCAGGGTTCGAAGCGATTGAGGAAGCTTTCCATTACACCGATGAATTTGTCCTTGTCTGTTGAGATGTGGATCGTTTGATGGTTGTCGCCTCGTTCAATCACTCTTTCCTGTGTAACCCGTCGGATTTCCTCGATGGTATCCTCGTCGTGTCGAAAGCTGAAGCAGACCATCTTGGCCGTTTTGTGTTGGGACTTGACATCATCAAGTATCTGTTTTCGCTCGTGCTTGGAAGCATTGTTGCGATCAGCAAAAACCACAGGATGGTTCTTCAACTGCCCTAGAACTGCTTTCACAAATCGAGGAGGTCGACCCTTGCCGGATATATTGTCATTCTGTACATGGCCCCATCCGAATAGGTGTTCCAATGCCAGGGCCAGCGTGGTCTTTCCGCAGCCAATTGTTGCAATAGGGTTAATGATGACGTCCTTGGTTACATTAGGCATGATGACAGTATCCAACTCGTCCATGTTAGCGGCGTCGGAACCATTCAAGTTCTTGAATTTGAGGAAATCATCCCGCAAGGCAATAATGCCGTGATTCTTATTGTAATCCTTTCCAAGCTTAGGATCCTTGGCCAGGCGTCTCTTGGCATAGAGAAGATACTCTTCTGTGATCTTAACATGTTTGCGTATCTTGGGCATCTTGCCATTGATGAGTGCCTTGGTGCATTCTCTCCATTGGCGGTACATCAAGTAGGGCTCTTCGAACTTGTACTTGAAAAACCAATCCCGGGCAGGCACATCAGGGTGGTGTGTCATCTTGGTTCGGATCACAAAGCCTTCCACGTCGCGGCCATCGTGGGCACCGGTCTCGGCGACCTGTTCAAGGAAGGTCTTCACTTCGTTGATGTCGTCCATGACAATTAACCCGGTCTTGACGAATCCCCACAGATCAGCGAATTCTTGGACGGCTGCGCTTGGGTATGTAGCAAACTTAGGCAAGTTAAGGTTGATGCCATGTAGATACAGACCAGCCTTCTCAGGTCCATAGGCCAGAATGTGCTCTTCAAAGCTGTCATCACACAGCTCAGCAACAGCAGTAATATTCCTCTTTCGCAGCTCCCGAGCTAGATCAACCTTGGTCTTTCCAAGGGTAGCAAGCTGCTTTTCCAGTAGGCGCTCACCAGCACTGGCATGGCTCAGGTCGACATCGCCTCGGTCTCCGGTTGAGTGCTTGCTGCACACGATAAGTGTATCATCTTCAAGGCCGGCAATGAAAATGATACACCCGTTCTCCTTGAGTGTCAGCTCATAAGGAGCCTTTGTTCGAGTAAGGATCTTGGGCCACTTGGTCTCCTCCACCTCGTCGGTATTGAAAAACTTGTCGTAACCTCGAACTGAGATCTCCTTGTTACCATTTCGCAACCTGGATGTGAAGAGACCTCGGGCATAGGTTGGGAGATCTCGGCGTTTGTAGTCCCAGTCGTGCATCTTCCATGAGTCTACCTTCAGACCTGTGGGGGAGTCCTTGACATGAAAAGACGTCTTTTTGCAAGAAAATCCTCCCTTCTTCTTCCGGTCACATGCCTGCTCAAGAGCAAAAATCATGTCCTTGACCTCCTCGGGGTCTTGGGCAATGTAAGGTGCAGTATCCATCTTTGCTGGTATTTGGGGGAGAGTTGCTCCGGATGAGTGTATGGTGGAAGCGTGTTGGAGCCACAGGCTCGACCAACTTATTGAGGTTCAAGATTACCAAAAGGAGATGCAACAGACGGCCCCTGTGATTCTCTCTTTCTCGAGAGTCGGAGCCTCTGTTTCTCTGATTTCTGGCTGCTGATGAGTCTCGAGTATGTAGGCACAGAATAAGAACTTAGGAAGAAGCAGCAATCAGTTTATATCGTGGGCAAGTCAGACCCACCTAAAAGGAAATCCACTGCAGGCAAGGCGCACTCTCAGTAAAGAGCACAGCCACACCTCGTTTTAGAGGTATTGTTTCCAACATCACTGTGAGTCATGCCGGTATTAATTTGGCTTGTTTGGAAGCCGCCACACTCCAGTAGTTTGTGGCATTGGCGGACAGTTTGCGGGGGGTTGCTGCACCTAGCAATTCTCAAGCAGGGCTGCCGTTTGAGTCATACTGACGATGACAGTGAATCAGGCACCTGCCCCTAGTAACTTAGGTACGCCTCAGTGGTAGGAAGGTACTCGCTTGTGGCTGAAGTGGTCGCGAAGATCCGCCAAAAAAAAAATAGCATGAGCTTGGAAGCTGCCCCTCCAAGCAAATCACCCCGCATTCGTCAAAATTTCATTGCCATTGGGATAGCACACCTATCGATTGTACTTGAGACGAGACAGAACCCTTACTTCAATTGTCAATAACAGATCTTTTTCACCTCTATACATCCATCGGAAAGATCGGAAACCATGGCAAACCCATTCCTGCTCGCTGCCGACAACAGCCCCGAGCTGCTGCCCCTCCTTCGCGAAAACCCAGCCCTGGCGTCGGCCCAGGATGAGCATGGCTACTCGCTAATCCATGCCGCCGCAAGCTACAACCACCTCGACCTCCTTCGCACGCTCGTCAAAGAATTCAAGGTCAGTGTCGACCTCAAGGATGAGGACAACGAGACCGCATTGTTCGTTGTCGAAACCGTCCAGGCCGCCAAGGTGCTTGTGGAGGAATTAGCTGCCGATACCCTGCATCGAGGATCCGAGGGGCTGACAGCCCGCGAAAAGATTGAGGCGGAGGGGGATTATCCCGAGGTTGCCGCGTATCTGAGTACCATTGAGGCCAAAAAGGATATTGAAAAGACAATCGAGCAAGTTTTGCCCGAGACGATCCCGCCACCTCCAGAGGGTATGAAGGTCACCGTGGGGACCATGGACGAGACCCAGGACATCCCTGAAGTCGACACCGAATTCCGCCGTCGCATTGAAGAGCTCGCCCAGCGGGAGGATTTCGATACCGCCCAAGGTCAAGATGAGCTACGCAAGCTTGTCGAGGACGCCGTTCTAGGACAGGGTCTTGGCGATGAGCGCAACGTCCGAACGAAGCCGGAATAGATGCGCATCATCACTTCGTTCTTTTCACCTCCCACATGAGATACTCCTCTGGTGCCTTGGGCGGTCGCAGGAGCATCAGTTCATTATGCGCGCCGGCAACATCCGTTGACAGCTCTGTCGCACTGAACGACAACCATGACTGCGAAGAATGATGCGTGACGGTCTCGGCGAGAAGTTGGCGAATCCAGTTGGTGCTCATGAAACCCTGCCAGGTGATCTTACAAACCTCCATCTCGTCATCCGTTCCATCCGGGGCCTTGTACTTGGAGATATACGGATCCACGTCGTCATTTGCAGCTATCCGAGGACTCTCGAGTCGAACAAGTGACAGCCACTCGTACAAGTCGCTCGCCACAAGTTCCAAGTCAGTCCTGTCGCCTTCGGCTAGTACGCTTGCTGGCATGTTCAACGTCACCTGCGTTGTTTTGATATGCTGGACCACTTCTGGCTTCACATCAATCCTTGTCGCCGAGAGTTTTTCCAGAAGACCAGAATCAACTATCGAGATTTGTGTATTAGAGATAGTTCTGTTCCATACAGATCAATGTAGCAGATTACTTACTCGACTGGCCAACGTCGGAGAAGAGCCATTTCATCGGTTGGTTCAGCACCTTCTTGCAGGCATATACAAGTCTATCGAACCCTTTCTTGCCGTGAAGCATCGAGGGGCTCCGGAGGTCATAAGTGACAACTGTAGGAATAATTGGTCAATATCGAGGATTGAAGAAATTGAGAAATCAGTGGGCTCAGGCTGGGCATACTCCATCTCGGTTTGAGGCCTCTGTCGCCTTTGATACCATAGGGTTTTCCTGTCAAGCCTGCTCGTTCATAGACTTCTTTCTCCAAATACATTGTCAAGGTGCCTATAATTCCATACGTTTAGTTTAGGAAAACTGAATACAGAGGACTTGTTGTGCATCTCACCGTTGATGAGAGTGAACATGTTGTCGACCGTAACTTTGCCCTCAGAGAGCATCAGCACATTGCCTAGCAGCTCACGGTTAGTAAAAAACAGTCAACAATAATTAATGAACGTGCCTCGTTTTATGCATTCCGTGAAAAAGTCGCCTTGTAAAATTTGTTCCAATGTCATGGAGACTTTGTAATAAGCTGTAGATGTAATTCCCGGTCCCAGTTTCTGACTCAGTCGCTCATAGTGCTCTTGGGGAATGAGCAAATCCACCTGGGAGCTGGTCAGTACTTTGCCTACAATTCAGCATACGAGGGCTCAATTCGTACCTTGTGGACAAAATCTAATGATCCCAAAGAAGACCACGGCTTGCTCTTGTGAGGCAACTGCTTGGGATCAATGTGGCCCATGGAGCCGTACGTAACGAAACATTTCGACGACTGGTAGATTGACGGCTGAGCCCGGGCAAACATGCTGGCTTGCTCCCCTGGATAGACCAGTGCCCCCAAGAATCTCTCGATAAGTCCTTCAATAATAAAGATAAGATCAAATCCAATCGCTTTGCTGAAGTTGGAAGTCGTCGAGGCTGATGGGCTGTTGCGCTTGATGTGCCGGTGTTTTGTCGGTCGGAATTTTTTGACACCCACAACCGCTAAGCAAGTATTTTCTCTGTCCCGTGAGCCAGCCTCGTTCGTGTAACTTTCACAACAAACCTCAATTTTTGGATATTTAGCCTTTTTATGGAGAGATACTGATTAACGCGAAAATAGAAACCTATTCTAGAGAAAAGTCTGGTATATGTCAGCTTTACTGTCGCCACTCCTCTGTCCCGCTGAGGCCTTGCTTCCGAACCATCGCAAATTTTGATCCGTCTTGAGTCACCAGTTTTACCTTGAAGGTGTGGCATTCTTAGACGAGGCGATACTTGTACACCTAAGGAATGAATCCGAGATAAATCATTTTTTATTGTGCCCATGGAGACGAAATCATCATGGAGTTTATAATCAAATTCGCCCAAACCCATGAGACGTTCAGGGTAGCTGAGATTGAATCCCTGGCCGTGGTAGAGAAATTAGATCTCAAGATCATCGAATACGACGCCGATGTGAGTCTGTCCCAAGAAATCCTTTGAAAGCAATATACTTATTCCATCAGTCCCCAATATGCGTCGTCCAGCTACCATCTATCGAGGCCGCCAAGCGCCTTATTAAACGCTCAATCCTCGCCCAGTCCATCCACGAACTCTGGGGTCAGGGCCTGACGCTCGACGACCTCCACGAGTCCGTCAAGAGGAACACCCCGCACCTATGGCCGCAGTACAAGACGGCCTGCTTCAAGTTCGACGTGGACGCCTATCGCGGCGCCCACACCTCCAAGGGCAGGCTGGGCATCATCAACACCTTCGCCTACCTCCCCTTCGAGGGGACTATCAGCCTCTCCAAGCCGGACGAGGTCTTCACCGTCTTCGAGCAGTGGAAGCACAACAGCGTGCCTCTGGGCGTCGAGTTCCCCGACAAGGTCTGGATGGGCCGCTTCCTGGCCGAGTCGGCCCGCGACCTCGTGCTAAGGTACGACCTCAAGAAGCGAGACTACATCTCCACCACCAGCATGGACTCGGAGCTGGCCCTCATCACGGCCAACATCTCCCTCGCCGCCCCCGGGAAGATGTTCTACGACCCGTTTGCCGGGACGGGTTCCTTCCCCGTCGCCTGCGCGCACTTTGGGGCCATGGCCTGGGGGAGCGACATTGACGGGCGCAGCATGCGCGGCGACGGCGGGAAGAAGAGCTTGTATGGGAACTTTGAGCAGTACGGCCTACGGGCTGGGTTCGGCGACGTCTTCACCTGTGATATGACGAACTCACCCATCAGACGGGTTCCAATGTGGGATGGCATCGTGGCAGACCCCCCATATGGCGTCCGGGAAGGTCTGAGAGTGCTTGGTCTCAAGGACCCGGAGAAGACGCCCTGGCTGATCGAGGCAGGCATCAAGAAGGGAAAGTGAGTTAAACTGCTACCCGTCTTTTGACTAATGTCAGAGAGTACATATGCTCACCATGATGTTCTCTAGGGATCCTGATTACGTGCCGCCCAAGAAGCCGTATAGTTTCCTAGCCATGCTGGACGACATCCTGGTGTTCGCTTCCGACACCCTGGTGGAGAATGGCCGAGTATCGTTCTGGATGCCCACGGCCAACGACGAGGACCAAGAGATCCCAATGCCCACCCATCCTTGTCTGGAGACGGTCTCGGTGTGTGTCCAGGCCTTCTACAAATGTAAGCAACCAACTCCCCATCACCCCATAGCCGCGCCCTTGATAGGCTGACATGTGATAAATGTAGGGTCACGGCGACTCATCACATATCGTCGTATTCCAGACCGCGAGGTGTCGCAGGCCGCTCTCGAAGCGTATGCGGCGCGCCAGAAGGTGGTCAACACCGGCACATCCGCAGACGACCTCAATCCCTTCCGGAATGGCTATTTCAAGGGTTTCAAGACTGACGAATAGAGAATGAATTTCGCCACCTTTCGGTTCCGCTGCCTTTGCATAAATGTCTGTCTAAGCCAGCGATCCCGCGATATCGTTAACACCAACCACAATGAGCCGCCCAGACCATTGAGTTCCATCTATGTCCCATATGCCCCTCATGTACAAAGGTTCGTTCCCATATAGCCCCGTGATGCAGCGCGAGTTGTGACTTATACGTCCGACCATCTTTCGGAACCATATTACAAAATAAAATCCCATGCATCAGAATGTTGAAAAGTGAAAATAAATATGACAAGAAAAAAATCCGAGATAGTGATGGCAGGCGTGTCGAACTGGGCCTCACTACACAGTCGCTTCAAGATTATTCTGCTTGTAAACATGCGTCGCAAATTATTAGCTACCGGAATTCCACTGCATTGAAGCATCCTCGGTCCGGTACGTGTTTCAGCTCAAGCTGTTGAAACCTGCAGCTCGATTTGTTAGTAGTTGCCAAATGAAAATCGGAAAAAGAGTGCACTCACTTCTCGCTCTTCGAGTGGAAGTAGATACCGCTCACTTCTCCCCTGATTTGGTTGAAGCAGATATAGTAAAAGCCTTCAAAGCTGGCACCTGAAATCGTCCGAACACGGTGGTCAGGTACGAGGAAATGCTCTTTCCATCGCATGAAGATGTTTTCTCGCTGGGCCACATCCGAAATGGCGACAGGGCCCCGTCGAGCGTGCTTTTGGTATGGCCTGAAGGCGCTGAACTTGGACCAATGACTGAGATCCACCTTGTGATTGGCACCCCAGTCATCGTGTTGGGTGAAAAAGTTGTGTTTGGATCCAATGATCTCGCCCTCGAAGTAGGTTGTGAGAGTCGGATGATCCTCAGTTAGGCCTGCTCAAATGTTAGAAGAAGCCCCTTGTGGCTAGGAAGTAGACTCAGCTTGCCTTGGATTCGCAGGTAGCCGCAAAGAAAAGATTCGTGCATGTCAACATGCTTGATTTCCACCTGGACGTCATAGACCTGTCTTTCCGACTGCTGTGTTCCATGAAATCGGCTTCCTGGTCGCAAAAATGACGATGGGAGGGTGGGTCTCGTCTACATGTGGGATGAGTTAATGTATACCGGATGAGGCGAGGAGTCAATAGCTAAAGTCTTACCCTGCGGCTTGGATAATCTATGCCCATCGAGAGCGTGCAGAAATCATCCTCTCCATCAGTCGAGGAAGAATCTTGTTCATGAAGATAGTCGTTTGATGTTCGAGCTCGGCTCTGATTAGGCAAAGGCTCGTTTGCCTTCAATTCGGTAGACCGGCCCAGGCCATCCTCAAGTAGCTCTGATGCTTTGGTTGCACCGCGATCTGCGTCTGATGAGGTAGGGGATGTGCCAATGGTTTCGTGTGATTGCGGACGAGGTGACATTGTGGTTGCTCTCGAGGAGGATTCGGCTGATATTTGCTCCATGACGACATCGTGGATGACAGCGCCGTCGCGCACACCGATCATTTCGCCGGCAGGTGCAGAGTCGGACTCGTCTCGAACCTCCATATTGACATCGTGGTCTTCGCTCGTTGCGCCATGCTCGTCGAGATTCCACCCTGGGCGTGGGGATATCTGGGAGTCGTCGGGACAGGTTACGACATGTGGCACTGGAGCCTCCGGAGGCTGATTGGACGACGGAGTCGGCATTGTTGCGATAGCTGGAAAAAGCGGTTCTTCGTAATATCAATCGAATGGAGCTGGTTCTGGGAGGAAAATGGGAGGGTCGGATGAAGTCGCTCGAATTTTTTTGGCCGTCGCGGTCGTTCTCGTGATGGTCGTCAAGAGCGTCGGAGACAAATCGGCGCGACCGCCAATTCAGAAGCCGCTGTAGTTGAGAGCAAGAATAATAGACAGAGAAGAGAAGTATTCGTCGCCAGCCACACCAAGTTTGTATTCACAGAATCCACAGCCTGATAATGAGAGGTAAGAGTGCTAATACATGACAAGGGTGCTCAGGAGCAGACAGCTGTAGACATCACGAGTGTCCGCGTTGGGAGTAGGGGAATGCCCAACACCGATGCGCCGGGAATGACTAGACGGAAGCTGAGGGCCAACCACGGAAGATTGATGCGCGCCAACCCCGGGGTATTGAGGAGAGGGATGGAGTTTGGGGGTAGAGACTATGATGAGATGATGGAGATGGGTGTCTGGTCGTCTGTTTATGGAGGCGAAATGACATGGCCTGCCCAAGGCTTGTCGAATCTGATTTGCTGATTTGCCTCCTGGAAACACAGAGGTCGGACTCAGTCTGCGAGCAGGGTTTGGTAGCGGCACAACACCTGGGCCCAGGCACTATGACAGTGGGCTGCGTCCCCATACAGCGCGGGTGGAGTCGCCGCGGCGGGAGGTAGCGAAGGGAAGGGGATGTAGCAGATGGGGTCCAAGTGTGGGCTCGGGGGGAAGGAAAGCATCCCATCCATCCCATCATGGAGCACTCTGGCCCCCTTCCTACACCCAAATGCAGCGGACGGTATCGTGTACCTACGTGGTACGTTGGCGTGGGTGGTCGGTGGCTCCGCTGCCCGTTGAACCAGCTGGGGCGCCCCAGGCACTCCCCCCGTTGTCGCATGCAGCAAACATAAACGACCTGCGCTGGCGTTGATTCATTGCGCCTGAGCTGATGTATCTTCTACCAGCTCTTACTACATGTGCAACTAGCAGCCTGCAGGTATGGGCGCCAGTCCTGATCCCAAATGCCACACACTGGCTGGCGTGTGGGGTCCTATCGCCATCTGCTGGAGGCGGTAAAGCTTAAAAAGCCCACCGCCTAGAGGGACAGGGCTGTGTTCTGTATCAATCATCTCTGCAAGGGTTGCATGATACGCGCTGCCTGGCAAGCAGAACCCGGCAGCTGCATGCCATCAGATCATGCCATGGCTTGATGGGGAGCATATGTTTTTTGCCCGCCATGAACAGTTGCTCACCGCATATGGCATGTCTTTTGTGCCATGTGGCA